AATGCTAATTTGATTTCATGATTACAAATGAGAGTTTAGTAATTGTTGATTTCGTGTTTAGGGACTAATTCCTTGAGAGAGGATTAGTCTATTTTTGTGATCCATGTTCTAGAACGGTTCTTAATTAATTACCCTTGATTTATTGATTTCGTTTTGTTCTTCAATCCCTGAGAAATTTCCTAAGACCCAGCGCTTTAATTTTATCGTTTAACCAATCGTTAGTTCGTTGTTTATTTTATCGTTTTACTTGATAAACCCAAAACAAAACAATTTTTCGCTTTAGCTAAGAACGAGTCTCGGAAGTCCTTAGAGTATCTTTGGTCCTTGTGGATCGACCTCGAATATACTACCTAGCGGTTAGATATATCGGGCAATTACTCGAGCAATCAAGTTGGCGCCGTTGCCGGGGACCAATTGTGTTACCTAAGGATTTAGGATTAGTTTTTAGTCTAAAGCATTTTTTTATTCATTGCTAACTTTCATTTGTTTTTTTTTTTTTTTTAATGCCATGGAATACAATGATTGGCCGCAAGAAGAAGATGATGAGCCATATGTGGAGCCACCGTTTGATGAGAGTGTTCTTACACCGGAACAAAAAGTGAAGTTGGATGAATTTCACAACGAAAATCCGACATTGGTAAGGAGTGATTTAGCGATTTTGATCCGGTTGAACCTCTTATCACACCGGGCAGCGTGTGAAGGAAGAGAAGTCACATTCTATGAAGAACAAGAAGCTCATGCGCTTGAAAAGGTAATATATTGGGTTCCACCAAGCGAACTAGAAGGTACATGCGTTTCAACCCTTGAAATTCATGATGTTGAGGACATTCATATGCCATGTATTGAAGATGTGACTTCTAGTTTGCATACTCCCATAATCATTGATGAATGTTACAATTTGATATGTGAGTCTCAACAACTAGATACTTTAAGAGCAGCAAAACTTGCTAGGGATTACCATGATATATGTTTTGATATTGAATATCATTGTGCTTTGAATGTTCATGATCTCGAGTTTAAGTTTTCAATGCCTGAAATATCTAGTTCTCTTCTTGATGAATCTTTCCTAGGAGTTGTGCTTGATATTGATAAGATTTTGCATGAGAATGAAAATCCTGAGGTTGATTATATGGATGGAGATATTGTGCTATATGAGATTAATGGCGATGAAGTTGATTATTTTGTTCAAACCTCTTGTAACCAGGAAATTGACTTTATTTTTCCTCCAAATGCATTTCATCCTCATGAGCATTCAACCATCAAGGAATATTTCAAAGTATATGCTGCATTTGTAGTAATTTTTCTTGATGTGAATTTTATCTCTTTACCATGGATAATTGTGTGTTACTTGGCACATCTCATTTCTTTCACTAACAGGAGAAGGACAAAAGGTCCACTGGCACAACCTTTTGATTCTTATGATTAATATTTTGTGTTGAGTGGTCAAACTTACGACCTAAAACAAGCGCTTTGTGGGAGGCAACCCACCAGGTATTTCTGATTTTCCTACCTTTTATTTATTTTCCTTTTGCTTTCTTTTGAGTGTGTATGGCATCTTTTCTTTGAATTGTTTTCACACCGAGTCGGTGTGAAGCAAGTCGGGGGGAGGTTGTCATTTGTCTACTAATCGAGTTTGCTTTGGTTGTTTCTTTTGTTTCTTTCGTTGAGTCTGTTTTTTATCGAGTCAAAAAAAAAAAAAAAAAAAAAAAAAAAAAAATTGTGTCTTTTATTGAGTCAAAATTTGTTTGAGAACTATGATATTTTCTTGGGGAATTGCACCTTGCTTGATTTCAATGCCTTGGGACCATTTTAGCTTTATTCGATAACTTGGAAGTTCAGGAAAATCCATCACTAGATCGCTTTATAGTAGTCCCTATCTCTTTGAAATTCGGATGAATTGAGCTTTATCTTATATACTTGAACTTAATCTGGACTTAATTTATCTCACTTAGGGGCTTGAGAATCATGTAATGGATCATACATTCAGAGTTTTGTTTGCATCATTTTTTTTTTTTTTACCACTCTTTGCTAACTCTGAATGGCTAGACTCATTTTTAGTCTAGTACCACACCTGTTCCCCCACCCATTGTTTGAAACCTCATGCATTCTTATATAATCATCATGATATGCATCCATGTGCGAAAACTACGGAGTATACGGACCGACATAGCTTTCCTTTTGTTAGGATAGTGAGTTGTAGTTTACTGGTTGTTGATATGTGATGAGATTGAGCCATTGTGGTTTAGAGGTTATTTTCATGGGCATATGCTACTGTTTGCGGTTTTTCTTGATGCAGACTTTATGAGACACCGGTTCCACTCCCCCGTCTAAAAAAAAAAAAAAAAAAAAAAAAAAAAACGAAAATAAAAAGAAGGAACGGGAAAGGAGAGTGATTGGAACCGGAAATGTCGAGTTATTATTAGTTATATTGTTAAGCATCAAGGGTACTCATTGATTTGATTGGGATAATGTGTTGGTTGATTTGATCCGAGTTTAAGGGAAGCTATGTACCTCCTAGTTGGTCTGTGTCTCACTGTGATTTCGCATAATGACATGCATCCGTTTTACACTATTTGAGAACCCGAAACACTTGAGTCACCAAATAATAGCCCTTTCACCTAGCCCATAACGTGTTTGATATCCCCTTAGTGAGAGTACACGCCTTTGTTAATGAATGTTAAATGGTTAAGTTATCTGACTCTGAAAGTTCTTTTAGATCTCGGGACTTAATTTTGTTGCTACGGTTATGGCGAAGTACAGTCTAGTACGGTTTGATGAGTTTTGTGATAGTGGTTTGCAGGCAATTGATAAGAGCATGATCCCGAAGAAAATGTGAGTTCTCGTGTTTTCAAACCTCTTCTCTTGATAAGGATTTCTGCTTTCCTTGAGGACAATCAAAGATCTAAGTCGGGGGGAGTTGAAATGTTGTGTTTTTATCGGTTTTGAGTATTTGTTTTCTTTTCTAGATCATATATTTTATAGAGTCAAAGTGTGTTTTTAGAGTCTTTTAGTCCGTTATCGAGTCTTTACAGGTTTTAGGTTGGTTCGGAGGGAAACGAGCTGTTTTGGGATAAAACACACATTTGGAGATGCAGTTTCGTTTAGAAGTATCAGACGTTTGGCCTCAGATGGAAGACTTCCCACCGTTAGATCTTTCTAAAGTTTTGGCACAAGCTTGATGAAGATGTTAGCTTGATTTTCCAAGTGATTTGAAGGAAATCTAACGGTGCATTCAGAAGTTATACCCGATTTAGTGAAGACAGGTCATTCTGGCGAGCATTTGAAGCAGGTGCAGAGTTTGGAACCAGAGAAGGTTAGACCGATCGGTCCAGGAGAAGACCGATCGGTCCGGAGCTCGACGGCGGACCAGAGAGGGTTAGACCGATCGGTCCTACACTAGACCGATCGGTCCGGAGCTTCGACGGCGAACAGACTTGGTTGGACCGATCGGTCTGATTTCCTGGCGTCCGGTTTTGGTTTTCCTTAACCGGATTTATCTTCTATTTTCTGTACATGGGTATAAAAACCCCAGAGACCTAATTTTCTTTTCACGCTTCTTTCTCTGCAACTTTTTGAGACTTTTCTTCTGTAAGCTACTATTGGGATTGGAGATTCATCCTCTTTGACACTTTGGAGAAGATTTCTAATCCCTTATCTTTTATATTCATTGCAATTCAATTATGTCTTCTTTATCTCTTTGTGTTATTCCTTTTGCTATGAGTGAGTAGTCACCTAGTTGGGTTTTAGGGATTTCATAAAGGGGATTGATGGATTGTTAAATTGAATGATTAGATATTGGGTAATATATGTAGGTTTCTTCATCTTGAATGCGTTTAATGCTTGAATTAGATTGATCACCTGATTTAAGAACATAGGTTATTTTACGCACCAAAAGTGTTTGATGAAATACCTGAATCAATTTGAGATGAGCAACATTCTTCTTGCCAACGAAAGTTGATGTTAGAAAGTGTTGTGAACTTATTGGACTTGAGTTTAATGCTAATTTGATTTCATGATTACAAATGAGAGTTTAGTAATTGTTGATTTCGTGTTTAGGGACTAATTCCTTGAGAGAGGATTAGTCTATTTTTGTGATCCATGTTCTAGAACGGTTCTTAATTAATTACCCTTGATTTATTGATTTCGTTTTGTTCTTCAATCCCTGAGAAATTTCCTAAGACCCAGCGCTTTAATTTTATCGTTTAACCAATCGTTAGTTCGTTGTTTATTTTATCGTTTTACTTGATAAACCCAAAACAAAACAACTTTTCGCTTTAGCTAAGAACGAGTCTCGGAAATCCTTAGAGTATCTTTGGTCCTTGTGGATCGACCTCGAATATACTACCTAACGGTTAGATATTTCGGGTAATTACTCGAGCAATCATTTACTAGTCCGAGTTTCACAAGAGATGTACCCTTAGATATGAGAACTGTTTAAAATGGTTTCTGTGTTCTCTACGGTGCTATTATGTGAGTGATTGATCGATGACAACTAAAATAGATATTTGAAACACCTTTGAATCCAATTGTGAATTGCGGCTTAGAATAATTCCATGCATAGCCAGGAGATATTCACGAAGCTCAATCCATGGATTTTTCAACTCAATCATTAGCATGGTTGTTGTTGCATTTCGAAGCCATGGTCGTCTACGCGTTCCGATCTTGAGGATCGTGGATTCAATATATATTGAACGTCAAAGCTCTTTTAAAAGATTGTGAATCCAAATGAAGATAAATTCTATAGGAAGAAGGTGAACTTTGGTAGCTCTAAATAATAATCATCCAAGTCTGACGAGTCTAATAAAAACAAAGTGCTGTTAAATAAGCCATGGAATCCGCTATATCCCCAAAGGAGATAACCACGAAAGCAAAAAGACCGAGATCATAATCAAAACAAATCACATAACATAAAGGCCCAATTAACTTAGGATGAAAATGTCTTGCATTAATTTGGAAAAATAGATTTGTACAATTATGGAGGAAGGTATCCTTATCTACAACATTACAAGGAAATTTCATTCAAGAAAGAGTAACATTAAACACACAAAAATAAAACTTGATGTCAGTTTGGAAGATGTGCAACGATCACACCTAACCTCTTTGGTCAATCTTTATTTGTGATTTCTCTCATAGCTTCTCTCATCTTACGCATCGCGCTTTCATGTGCTTCGGAATTCTGTTTAAGCCTTCTCTCCAACTGAAAAATAAATAGACTATATTACACCAAAATAAACAAGTGAAAAAATGAACTATAGTTCAAAGTGTGTCAATATGAATTTACAAGTTGTGTCATCCGTCTCATTTTTTCGTCATGCTCCAATTCTAAATCACGCTTCATCACTTCTATTTCTGCTGCAAAGTTTTTAGACTTAACTTTCCTTTGTTGTTCCCTAAACTTATCACTCTTTTCCTGGCAAAACCGATGAATTTCGTCACTTAAAAATACCATACGAGAGATCAAACACACTTTTTATATTCAATGCATATCAAACATAAATTGTCTACCTTTATCATGCGATGCATCTGGTTAGTATATGGTTTCCCACCATTATTCTTTTCAATAGCTTCGACATGGGCCAGAAGTTGCTTGACTTGCTTAGTGTTCTTGACTATATCCTTAGTCATGTTATTAAACAAGACTTTTCGACCACCACACAATCGAAGAACCCTCTGAAATTTTACGATTACTTTGATTAACTAAAAGAAGACATGTACCGTACCACTAGATGCATTATAAACTTTTTTGAGGATTATAACGTAAGAAAACATACTGTTAAAAACTCAGGACAAACTTCACGAAAATAATCGTCCAATGTCTGCTCGTTTGCTTCTAGTTTGTCACCCCCAGTGAACACAACAATAATATAGTCAAGAATTTTACTGTCGAAAATCAACTGCAAGGTATCAAGTGTGGACTCTTCTTCTTGTGTAATCCGATTCCCGGCAGATAAAACAAACAGGAAGGCATGAATTCCTCCTTCCGCCATAGTTAAGCAATTGACGATCTCCGTAGTAATATAGTTAGCAGACACCGACGAATCAAACAGACCTGTTTCACGTACCATAGTAAATTAAGTATGACTTTGATGAAAATAGTTTTAATACAAGGTTGGTTACATCACAAGTTTTTAATGGAACACATACATACCAGGAGTGTCAATCACATTGATTATTGGACCATCTTTTATTGCAGTTCTATACATCTTACATTCCATGGTAACACCTCCTTCTTGTAGTTCCGAAGCGAACATTTTCTGACCTAGGATGGTGTTCCCTGTTGCGCTTTTTCCATTTCCAGTACGCCCTACTAGAACTATGTTTTTGATTGACTCTAAAGTATTGGAAATGAGAATGGAGAAATATAGAATTTAATTAGCTGAGTATACGAAAGGGAAGCTCACACAAGCTTCCTTGATCTTTCTAAGTGAAGAAAAAAGAAGAATTAGAATGAATGAACAAAACCATTTACCAAGTAATTAGAGTTTTACTATTAGATTGGTTGTCCGGGCCTGAGATTATGTGTAGGTGTATTAGTCTTTCTATTTCAATCTATAAGTTGTTTTAAGGATTTTATTTGATTTTGATTTTCTCATATTTGTATGGCTTTAAACGGATGTTGCCTAAACCGTTAGCAGACTAAACTATCATAGTTTTAGGGACTATAACAATCCACCGTCGCAAACCAAAAAATGTTTAGAACATGACACATTTGCAAACTGTTTGTGATATTAGCTTCAAAGTGTTGATAATTAAATTCAAACCTGGCATCACATATGTCATTATTGACATTAAAAAAATTTGCACTTGAATTGTATACCTGATATGGGAAGTGGAGACAGATATGGATCATACTGAAATGTGTCGTTTAGGGAATGCGACTCTTCTTCATGTGCTGCTACACTCTGTTTAGCACATATGATTTCAAACAAATCATTTGCTTCACATAATTGTTAAACAATAACAGCAAAAACAAACTTTGTATAAATAAGTAATAGTATAAATGTATTATAGTAAAAGTATATAACTACTTTACAAAACTAATCAAAGCCAGCTTCCTATTAGTCCTGCCAAGAATTGTCCATATCAAAATTAACCTTACATGCCTCTAATATCACAGGTTCTACTCCTGACTTGAAGCCTCTCTCTATCACTAATCGAACCATTGTCGCTACTATAGCCACTAAAACAACAACAATATCAGAATCTCTCTCTTCCTATGTTACTACCATTGATGTTGCAACTTCATAATATACTGAAACATTAGGAGATGCAATGCACTATTGTTGGGGGTCGTAGGAGCCGTGACCATGGTGGGCGAGGCAGCCGTGGTAACCGTCACAAATGATCTTGCTCTTCTCTATATATCTTTCTCCCTATTCTTTATTAGCTAATGCTATCTCATATCTTTTTTCTCATGAACTAGACTAAGTGTATGTTTTTTTCATCTCTCTAACTCTCTTTAAGATAATAACTATGAATTTTAATTGAATACGATTATAGAAAAAAAAATCTTACCTTTATATGACGATACATATCGTTAGTATACGGATTTATTTTCTTACTAATTGCTGCGACATGGGCCATAATCTGATTGACTTGTTCAGCCTTCACGCCTTCATCATTAGTCATGTTATTAAACAAGACCTTTCGGGCATTGCAGAATCTGAGAACTTTCTGAAATTCCAAAACTAATCATACTCAAAAACAAAATAAAGAAGGGAAAAAAAGTTATGTGTGGACAAAGAATTTTTGCATTTTGAGAGAAAGCAGACCATAAGAAATTCAGGACAACATTCCCGAAAATAATCTTCAAACTCGTTCGCCTCGAACTTTTCCCCGTTAGTGAGCAATAAAATCATATATTCAAAGATTTTACTCCCAAATATGCGCTGCAGGGTATTAAGTGCATACTCTTCCTCTTGTGAGATCCGATTCCTTATAGATAGAACAAACAACACAGCATCTATGCCTTCTTCCACCAAAGTTAAGCAATTGATTATTTCTTTACTTATGAAGTCTTCGGACACGGACAAATCGAACATACCTGTATCACGTACATACCATAGTAAAGCCAGAGTTTGAACAATTTAGCCTTGGCCAATATAGCAAGGAACTCTTAGATACCAATATATTATGACTATTGTTAAGGATATACATTAAGATTGTTAGGCTAAATATGAAGTTTTAATGGAGTACATACCAGGAGTTTTAATCACATTGATCATTTGACCATCTGGTGTCGTGGTACTATACATCTGAGAGTGCCTGAAAGCACCTTCGGAGCTGAACTTTTTTTGACCGAGGATGGTGTTCCCAGTGGTGCATATTCCATTGATAGAACGCCCTACTAGAACTATGTTTTTAACCGGCTTAGGCACGGACGTTCCCATGTTCTGATCACCAGCAATGTTTATGTTTTTATCCGGCTTAGACGCGGACGAACCCATATTCTGATCACCAGCAAGCAATTATTTGCTAAATTCCTGGACGTACCCATGTTGACCAAAGAAACAATTCATGAAATGATACATAGTAAACAAAAGGGACAATAAAGAACAGTTTGTAGTTGTTGATAAATTTTTTATATTCCGACAAAAAAAAACGAAGAACAAAGAAGTGGAATAGCATTGTATACCAAATGGAAACTTGCAAGCTTTCTTGTCGTTTTGTGAGTGAAGAAAAGAATGAATTTACAAAGTTTATCAACCAAACAATTCAAGACTACATGGACGATTACCTGCCTAACATTGTGTGTTGATTTTGGTTTGAGATAAACAATATTCATATATTTTGATATGCCATTTGAGTTTTTTTTTAATGTGTATTGTGCTAGTGTTAATTAATTAATTTGCGTGTAATATTAGTGTGTATAATATATGGTAGATGGACACGGTAAACGAATCAGAAGCCCAAGCCACGTTTTTGAGTGAGACGACTTTTTACGATTGACTTTTGGCAGTTCGTGCCAATAGCCATCTAGGCGAAGAAGAGTTTTGTTTTTTTTATTACTAACTTTTAGGAACTGGAATCGTTAAACGAACAAGAAAGGCCACTGCGAGGCTCTAATATTTGAAGATCTAACTTGTTTGTTTAGCTTTGTCACACCACCTAAGAGAAAAAAAAAAAAACAAATAGTAAAAAAGAGAACACACTAGGTTTATTGAGTTCAGGTCCAAACCGGTATCTTATATCTCGCCAATAGATTTGTACGGTTCTACAAACTTATGTGAACTCCTTAAAGAATTAAAGATCACCCATGTAATATATCAGAACCCATCCGAAAACTAATCTATCGATTTCTTTAGATTAGTCTCTAATGGAAGAGATGACTTGTTGTTCTTTATCTCGAAAGATTTTTCACATAAAAGCACAATAAAAAATCTCATTCAATCAAGAATATTTTGTTTGGCGAAAGATTTATGTGACGGTGTGGAAAATGAAAATGAGCATTCGACTTACCAAAAAAAACTGGTAAATAGCTAGGTAAAGAAAACTCGAATTTGTCTTAAAAAGAAACCATAATCATGCATATGCATTTCAAAACCCTATGTGAGAAAATTAAATCCATACTATGTTCAAGTGAAAAATAATCGAAAACAATGAAGCAATTAATCATCAACTGAGAAATATATAATCTAGCCAAGAGATCAACATGGATCTTCAAAAATTTCTAGGTGATTCACGAAACATCATACGATAAATAAGGGCGACAAATTCCAAAGCTGATGATTCTTTACAAGAAGGATAAATCATTGTCCCCAATGCAAATAAAATGCATTACTAAATGCATGAAGACTTTTATGAAAGAAGACATGGATGTCTTTTTTTTTTTTTTTTTTTTGGTCAAAAAAGACATGGATGTCTATATATGCCTTGTTTTCGATTTTTTGAAAAAAATTGATTTTGTTTTTTTTTGTTTTTGTTTTTATTGATACATAAAATAGAAACTTCAAGACTCAAAATACACAAGAAAAAATTAAAGAAAGAGCGCAAACCACAAGATTAAGTCAAGAGAATATCTTCCCCCTCTTTAGTTTACATTTTTCTGGAGAAGAGATATTTACAATGGAGGAGAGGACCATACCTTAAACATAGTAGTGAACCTTAAAGTGTGGACGGAATGATAGAGTCTTTGGACTCCTTGTTGGATCCTTTGAGGTAGATGCGTTTTCTGCGATCATGTAGCTCAAGAGTGATTTTCTTCATTAGCTCATCAAAAATCTTTTGACCTTTCTTTTGTATCGCTGGAATGATGATTGCCGTGTATGTGACAAAGAGTTTAAGTATGTTGACTTTGTATTTGATTTTTGTTTCCAATGAATCTTAGCGGAATTAAGGTCAATGTGGTAGAGTTCTTGAGCTTGTATATATGGCTTCCCCCTTTTGCGCATACACTTTTTCAATCATTGTTCTTCTTCCTCTATGGGGAGGGTGGGTGGTTGGATTTGTACCCCATTTTGATGATATCCTCGTTGGGCATCTCTTTTGCTTTCTTCCCAAATGTTGGGAGAGAGTTTCTTTTGTTGTCTCAATAACGGGCCCGTCCTCCATTGAGTTTACAAAAAGAGAGTCTAGATTTGGAGTACTCTTCATCTAAGAAATCTTCATCTCCATGATTTTCAAGAGGGACTTGCACACACTTCTTTTAACAAAAATATTGATTGCTTTACAGTGAAATCTTTCACTCCATCTCCCTCTCAATGCAACCTCTTACCGCAAGGCAGCCTCTATTCACGAGGCATGGAGTACTCTTGATGATATCTTTGGAACCTCAACCCGAGAACACACCTGACAACAAAACAACGAGCGATTACATGAGGACTATGAAGGCAAGAGCTGATGAGTTTGCTCTTCATCATTCTTAACTATAATTTAGACCAATTTGGTTCCCGGTTCTAAGTCATATAACTCTGTTTTCATCAACCTATCTGTTTTCTCTCCCACATAGTCACCACAACATTAACACCAAACCGACTTGAATCTACAAATATGTAACAATAGAGTCCATTGGCTGGGTCTTTATTGTAGTACGGCACCAAAAATGGTTACATTATTTTATGTGAAAAGAGTAGACGAGGCAAATTAGCAGACCTCGTTTGTTTTGTCTTTTTTTATTTGCAGATTCGGAGGTTTTAGGCCCATGAGCCCCTACATCCTCCTAAGACAGAGTCACGACCATGTAATTTAACTTTCCTTTAGAGAGAAGAACCTCCTAACATGAATCGAACTAGTGAACTCCAAGATCCCAACATTTTCGGCAACCAAAGGTTTAACCACTAGGCCAACTCGTTGTTGAGTAGAAACTTTTATCATGATCTCATCATATCCACATGTGTAGGTCATATTAGCCAAAACAGGTCAAAGTTTTCCAATATAAGTCACCTGTCTTTATTTCATCATTAATAAGGAAATTTAAATAAAAGTTGTCAACAAACTCTACTTGTATTACAGTCGCAAAGGAAATCCATAAACGCAAACAAAAGCAGAAATCACAAAACACATAAATAAAATAAGAAGTATATGAAATGTGCATAGCCAGACCTTCACTATCTTCCTTGATCTTTTATGAACACGGACTTAGCTGAATTGGTACACACCGATCACAAGATGTTGCATTCCTGCTTCCTCGCTGCCTGCTGCTCCCGCTTCTCTTCATCTCTTTTACGCTGAGCATCCTTTCCGATAATTGAAATTTCCATAAAGTCTTTCATCATATTCATTTGTCTCTCATTTGCCGCCGCAGATTCTTTAAATATCCTCTCCATCTGATAGAAGACAAGAACAAATAATTAAGGACTAAGATTTTAAAGGCCCCAGAGATAATGACAGTTTCGACCGGAATAATTAGGAAATTGTAAGCTACCATCTGTGCCATCATGTTCATATTTTGGCTATACGACTTGTCTAGCTCGTTCTTCAACTTTGCTTTCTCTTCCTCTGCAATGTTCTTTTCTTCAATTTCCTTCTCTTCCCTTTTGACCCTTTCAGCCTCTTCCTGAGAAACCGTAAATTGTGAAGCATTAACAAATATTCTATTCGGACAATAGTCAAAAGAGTGATGATTTAGATGGGAAGCATCAATCAAATCAACTATAATTTCACCTGTATCCTACGGTGCATCGTGTCCGTAAATGGATTCCCACCAGTTTCACTTTCGATCGCTGCGACATGGACGAGAAGCTCATGGACTTGCTTAGCCTTCACCTCTTCATCTTCCGTTCGGTTATCAAATACAACCCTTCTACCTCCACATAGTCTGAGAACTTTCTGAATTGCACCATCCAATCCAAAAACATAAATTAATGAGACAAGAGGAAGCATACATCGCCACTATCTAAATATTTAAACATGATATGAACTCATACCTTTAGAAATTCAGGGCAACCATTGGACAAATAATCCTCTAGTGTCATCTTCCGATCTTTCAACATATCACCGCAAGTGAATACAACGATCAAATAGTCAACGATTTTACTCCCGAACAGCATCTGTAACGTACAAAGTGCATTTTCTTCCTCTTGTGAAATCCGAGTCGACAAGGATAGAACTAACACGACGGCATGTAGCCCTTCTCTAGCAAGAATAAGGCAGTTGACGATTTCCTTACTGATAAACTCTGCGGACACGGCCAGGTCGAAGAGACCTGTATCAACCAAACCATAGTAAACCTTGTGAATTCGAATTACTTAATAGTTCCGAAAAAATACTCTAAATTACGAAAAGAAAAACAAAAAGTTACAAAACTAACACTTTTTTAGAGGAAAATACCATCAAATCCATAGGCCAAGAAAAAAAAAACTCAAGCAGAGGATTGTTTGTTTTTTAAGTCATATGAACTCTAACTACTCAAAGTTACAAAATAATTGTCCAAAAATATTTAATGATTTATTATTTTTTCACAAATAAGTACCAAGTTAAATTTACCATTGCTTTAGTATAGAATATTATATTTACTAAACATTCTAAAATTTGTGGCTACCCTGAAAATATAAAATCTAAAAAAGTAACCACTCTAAATAAAATGTTACATTTGCAAATTTATTACGTGGTGTTACTTTTTTCTGTTTTCAATATTACAACGGTCTTAATTTCCTTCAAACCTTTTTTTTATCTTTTTGGTATGCTCTTGAACTAGTTACTCTACCAAAAGAGCTTCTGCAACCGCATGTCAACATGGTTTAAGGTTTTCCAGAGTTTTTTTGTTTCCCTTGTTTCAGTTAAGATTCTAAGTTTTTGAGAGAGGAAAGAAATCTAAACTATTGCCGGTAAAGCTATGCTATTTGTAAAACCACTTTTGTTAGGAATATCCATATGGAAAATGAGAGATGACATATACGAGCATATAAAAGGATGAGTCAATGCACTTATTGTCAATTAGTTTTGTGTCGAAAGCCAATAAAATTTAACATCTATTGGAGGCCAATCACAAGCTGTCCAACCCAAACCGAAATCGATTCTATTTAAAATCGACTGGCTCCAAAATTAGTCCGGCCAAGCTAACCTAAAATTGACCCTGTATTAGAATTCAGAGTACAAAAGCCATCATCTTGAAAAAGACATCAATTAGTTTTTGAGTTGGAAATTAAACTATGATCAAACTTAAAATAGAATTTATCAGAAAATATAATTAATATCATTAAAGAGAAAAATCTAGCTAAGAGAAAATGTGTGAAGATACTAAATCAACCATAGTTCAGAAGATCAAAAACAACAAAATAGATGTGTTTTTTTTTTTCATTTTCTATAGTAGTATTTATTATTTGTGCAAGTATAATCACAAGACTCATGTGATCAAGTAAACAATAAATTCCATTCAATGTTTGAAGTGGTCTCATACCAGGAGTGTCAATCACATTGATTATCGGGCCATCCTGTGTCACAGCTCTAAATGTCTTACATTTTGTGGTAACACCAACAGCTTGATATTTGGACTCGAACACCTTTTTTCCGATGATGGAATTTCCAGTGGCGCTTTTTCCATTCCCAGTACGGCCTACCAGAACTACGTTTTTGACGGGCTCTGACGCTGAAGGCAACTCCCAACGGTCAGTTGTGTTCTGATCTTCAGCCATCTGAAAAAGAAAAAAAAATCTTGTATTAGTAAAATATTTTGATTCCTTACAAAATATAGAAGAGTAGAGATATTTCATATCACAAGTTTTGGTGATGCTTGTAGTTGTGTTTAAAAATCGTGAAAATTTTGAAATGCGGAGACAGTTGAGAAAACTTCCGTTCATTACAAGAGCATCATAGTGACTAAGATTTGTTTAAGATAGAAGACATATAACTAACCGAAAGATACTGAAAACTAAAGTAGCACACTACGGAAACTCACTTGTTTTCTTAATCTTTTTCTTACCAAACAAATCAAGAAAAGCACACAAACAGAAGGACAAAACTGAGAATGAATGGACAAGAAAATACATGATCTAATTTAAGTTTAAATAGGAGATGGCTTGCCCAATAATAATATGTGCAACAAACGCAAATTGATATTTAGTAGATTTCAGTGGAAACTACATTTATTTTATTTTTTAGCCATTTGAGTTTGTTATGATATTGTAATAGTGTAATTTGCTTGTTATTATATAAGACAACGGAAACGGTAAACGAATAAGAAAGGACAAGACGACTTTGGCTTCGAGAATTTACATTTGTATTTGAGCTAGCTATCTTTTTTGATTAATCGTGCTAGCTATCTTGTCCTGCGTGGAACACAAGTTATCCTACGGCTGAAGAAGTAATGCGAGAACCTTTTTTTTGTTTTGCAAAATTATATTTATATCATTTGATTAGTCTAAGTTAAATGTCAACTCTACAACGTCCCTGAAAAACTTCAAGGAAAATTTAGTAGAATATATAAAACCAAAAAAGAAAAAACAAATAATAGAATAGTAGAATAGTCTTAAATGAGAGTGAATTTGTGAACCAATACCTTTTCAAGAATTGGTAAACTTCAGTCTTTTTAACTAAAATTCTATTGTTTTATATATGAATATTATTTAAGAATTTAGAGAGATATAGTTGAAAAATTCATGACTAAACAAAAACATGTGGATGGTAATGCAAGAATGATTTGATTCTTATGTTATGGTTTGGGGTGATTTTCCGTTACCGTATAAGAACCCGACATGTGTCTTTGACATATGAAACGATCCAAGAGAGGCATCCGGAATCATCTTCATCATGAATTAGACGGTGTAAGTTCCCATAGAATAGAATTCCCGGGAGACAAGAGGATGATGTTTTGACCCGGACGCTTTCAGCGGGCCATCTATTCAACTTAGGCGCAGCCTGAGACATAGCAAGACCAACAAGGCATTCAGTACCAAAAATTGTGCCAGCCACAAATTTCGCATGTTACTCCATCAAAATATGACGTTCCATCTTGGCGAAGCATGTCAACCATCGATGTTCAGTCCCATCGTCACAACCAGTAGCACGCGGTTCACAACATTATAGCCCTTACACCTAGGTGACCCGACACTATAGTTGGGTACTATAAATACCTCTTTTCTCATCAAGAAGTTGAGGAGGAGAGCTTGGTTGATTGTGGACCAAGAAATGACCAAGAGGTTGGTCTCCAAGACCTAACAACACAACTCATCACTCGACCCTACACTTGGAAAATAAAAGGACGTGTGAGATCTCTCGTAGTCCTTTTTGTACGTTCTCTATCTTACTCATTATGATCCCTCATGATCTGAGTTACCTCCCAGAGTGTTCTAACACCACTCCGGGCTATCTTTATCTCTTCTAAAACTTTCCACCAAATGATTGATTGGGCCTTAAACCACTTCATCTAATTATCAGAACGTTAACCGTAACTTTTCTCTCGATCGGATACTTGATTTCTTGATCATTCACATTGACTCATTCGATCTAGAGCATCAGGGAGTACTTGGGAGGACCAACCCTTTTTCCCTACCGTAGTCTATCTTAATCATGTCATTATGATAGGATATTGCCCTCCAAGAAGGAGGTGGAAAGGGAGAACCTTCATCGAACATTTCAGTGAGCTTCTTTCTCTTTTTTTTTTTCTAGTGGATGAACCACCTATATTATGCTCTCTGATTATTTCTGAGCATTCAACATGTTTTCCGAAGAAGAAATTCAACCGTCGGAATGTTCACAAATCCGACATGAAAAACTATTAAAGCCATATCATCATTATAGTAAAAGCTGCGTGGTGAAATATACCCATTATTTTTCCCTAATTGTCACTAAGTTTGCGATGACCGACAGTGTATAATATGTCTCTAAATCATCACTAAGTTACCAACGATATACTTTGATGTGATTGGTTTCATATCTAGTCGTGAATGGTAATTCTTCACAAAATGGATCGAGGCTAATCGTCGCAAAAGTAACATAAAAATAACGTTCAGATATATTTAGTGCTCGACAATAGTCCACGGAGAATGTTACCTAGCTCGGATTTGCCACGGGTATGCCAATAACGCAACGGTTTGTAGTGATGGTAAGCATGCAAATAAGGCATGGTTAATGGTTTCTTCCCCCATTCCACATCTCATAAATTGTGTATCACAATCCATTCTTCAAGATTTTAGTCTTAAATCTACCGCTAACGCAAACTGATGTCAGTTATCATAAAATTATTGTATGTTGTGTGCTACACAGTAACCTGATTTGACTATAGATTTAATTTATTTTCTTAAACGTGTAACTAATTTTATCTATTTTAAAAACTTTCATAATCGGAATTCCTCAAATCCTCAAGATTTCTGCTGAGTGAGAAAAATTCTTATAACATGCTAATATTCTATTCTTTTGCCAATTGATTAATCATGTGATATACTATAAGACTCGGGGGATATATGTGTTCCCGTCTTTGTGTCGACCGTGGCTAATCATCGGGGATCCATTGATCTCTCCAAATTGAGATTGAAGTCTTTGAACCCACATCTTTAAGAAGACCTTGTTCCATTATAAACCAAGATAATATTATGCTCTGACATCGATAGAAAGGCGAGTATATCGCTTGTCTATCATAGAGTTTGAATCAAGATAGTAAATGCTTTTTAAAACCCTTGCCAGATTGGTATAAAGATATTGTAATGGTTTTTATAATTCTCTTGCGACCAAACCTGAATTAATTATCAATCCTGCCAAATTTGAATTCCCTCACAACTAATGTTTTGCATATATTCTTCCAAGTTTGCCAATGTAAGCCCATTTAAACAGCACCCGTGCTCTACCAATATTTTGAAATGACACTTGTAATTTCGAAGTTATTGCCTCGGAAAAACGGAAGCATAACGTAATATATATAAGTAGAGCCGATGCAACCGATGAAGTTAAATTATAGTTATTGCAATATACAGCTATCGATCCCTTAATTGTTCATCTAAACTGATATCCAACAATAAACCAAAACGTATCTCTCTCTTTGAACTCTTATGGATCAAAGTGGCTTTCAAATGACAAAACTATCAAGTGACAATTACCAGAAATTTAGGTGAGATTATTTTATTTTTACATAACTGAATATGTCATCAGAAAATTAATAATGAAGCATGCATATGCATCAGCTGGCAATGATAAGCAATTCACACATAATGATAGCCTTAGTTTTTCGGACGAATTTCAACACCTTTAACAAAGAGCCCTCCCTTCCAACAGCCAGATTTGGTCTCATACATGGAGAAACTGATCTCTCCCGCATTATCCAGTGACGTTACAAACTCACCAGCTGATATATCTATCCACCGTTTCCCTATATGCTCTTCCAAGCACACGCTCCGCTCTTGTGGCCTTTTCTTACTATCGGGCAAGGTTAACTTCAGATTCACTGGTATTTTCCATCCATAAGCTGTATCTTCTAACTTCACCACATACACAACCTCATACGTTGTCGCTGGTGTCAGTTCTCTCGTGTCAACTTTCCATTCACATCTAACCAACAAACTGCTTCTAGCACAGCAGCATCAGTTAGTTCTTGGCTTGAAAAATAAAAGACGAAAGAAACTTTAATGTTAGGAATAGCTGTCCCACAAGCTTACTGGTCATACTAAATAATATCTAGAAGTATAGTTAAATTACAACTTTCCGTCAAATATTACTTTCGGTTTACTCTCATTTTATTTCTGTTTTTAATCTAAAAATAAATAAATATACTTATTTTGCTCATATTTCTCCAAATTAGAACCATGTCTTTTTTCTTTTCTTAAATGAAGTATATTTTAATTCTTCCCTCGTAGTAGTCAAAAAAATTTAAATTTCTAAATCCATTAATTTATTTGGGTTGTAACTTATAAATACAGAAACCAAATCCAAAGCTATTAATTACCATTGAGTTCGGGTTGTCAATGGTTTTGTATTCTTTTTATTAAAAAAAGGTATCTTAAATTTGGGAGACTTTCCAATAAATCAAGATTTTAGTTGATGTATTTACCTTTCCATTTAATTTAGAACTTTCTATACAGTTTTGTTTCAATCCGTTAAACAAGATCGGACACTCACACCACATGTCCCAATTATGAAGTTTTTATAGAAGATATAAATCAAACTTATAAGAACTCTATACCTTGATATATCATACCGGAGAGGAAGCCATGACCAATACTCTTCGTTGTCCGACCATGCTATGCTAAGATCCATTGCGTAGATCATGTGTTTCTGTCCATAAATTATCATTGTATGATGCATGATACATATACGTAGGAGGCATAATTGATCAATCTGCTAATCAGATCGCATATTTGATACACATGCCCGGTTAAACTTTCCCTATAACAAAAAGACATTATGTACACAAGTAGAACGCTGCGGTAACCTGAACAAAGTATGTACTCACCATCATGATTGATGAATTAATGATGACCTCTAAACGCTATCTTTTGTTAGTATTCAGTTGATGAATGAGAAGAATCTGAAGGTGCGTCGTTCAAAACTTGTATCCCGAGATTGGTCTATACAAATTAAAAAAGCAATGCAATACAATTTGGTTTGGCAACTTGATGATTTTAGATTTGACTTTGGTTTTATATATTGTTGTTCTTTGTTGATTGGTTCAAGAAAAAAAATTATATTTGTCGAATTTTTCTATTCATTTACATTAGACGAATAACTCATTAATCCTATACTAATATTTGGGAAGTACATCCTAAGGATCATAACTTAAATTTTGTAAGAAATTACAATATATGCCATTATATAATTCTAATCATAAAATTTATTCCATGTCACTAATATATATTAACGGGTCAACGGGTCAACAGGTTTAAAGATATTAAAAGATTTTGTTTATATAATACATAATTAATATAATTCGAGAATATTATATACCAATCAATATTCGAGATTATATAATACATAAAAATGTTATATAATACATAAAAGATTTTGTTTATATAATATATAAAAATGTTATATACTAATATACTAATATATTATTCGAAAATGTTATTGAAAATTAAAAATGTTATTCAATTTGTTATATAGTAATCCATTATTCGAACATCTTATAAAAAATGTCATTGAAAATGTTAATGAAAATGTTAATGAAAATGTTGAAAACATTTTATATCAATCCAATTTATAAAAAATAAAAAATGCTATTTTGAATTATAATACTCATATAGTTCGAAAATGTTATATAAATTGAAAATGTTATATAATTCTTCATTTTTAAAAAATGTTACTAAAAATTGAAAATGTGTCTACGTTCTTATAACTAAACAAAATTTATTTTCAACTACAATTCGTAATCTTTGACAATATTTTCAGTTTCCTAAATATCTGTTATCATCTTTGACAATATTTTCAGTTTCCTAAACATCTGTTATCATCAATTTCATTGTTTTTGATTAAGCTAAACAATACAATATTTTCAGTTTCCTAAATCTTTGTTTCTGACTTCAGTTGATTATATTGTCTAGGTAGTATATTCATTTTTTAATTACACGGGTCATTGGGTCATCAGACGGGTTTAATTATACTATCTAAACAATATAATCACATAATTTTGTAATTAATTAATTAGGGAGATTTCGTAAATAATAAAATCAATTCAAACTAATAAGGCAAATCCTATACTATTATTTGGGAAGTACATCCTATAAGTCGTAACGTTAATTTTGTAAGAAATTATAATATATGCCATTAGATATCTCTAATCATAATCATTTTAATTCCATGTCACTAACATTAACAAATTAATTAAAAAACGGGTCAAATAACGAAAAACGGGTTTAAAGATCTTAAAGATATTAGGTTGTTATATTTTGTTTAGATATAAATTCGTATTCAAGCAATTCGTAATCTTTGAGAATATATTCAGTTTTCCTAAAATCTTTGAGAATATATTCAGTTTCCTTAAAACCCTTTATAAAAAAAATAAGTTATAATAGTTGTTATATTCTATATCGTTTTTTGTTTAGTTTTACGTTTTTTGTTTAGTTTAATCACGCATCAATATAATCAGCTATTCAGTTTCCTTAAAATCTTTTCTAAAGATTGTCAAATCTCTCTGTTATATAATTTTGATCCTATATTCCAAATAATCTAGAATATACCTTTCTAAAATATTATCTAACTATTTTATGTTAATTAATATATTTCTGAATCTCCTAATTATCACAAACAATCTACAACTATAAATATCCATTTAGGCTTGACGTACCTTTCTCACAGAAATCATCTCAGCACCATTCTCATATCCTACAATTAAAAATACAGCATAAATGGCTATGGTTAGTCCCTACACTCCTATTAACAATTTGAAGCATGTCAAGACTTTTTGCTGTATTCAAGTTAGTATATTTCATTCGTGGATTCATTTTACAAAAGGTTCTGGCATATCTTTGGAAATGATTTTGAAAGATGAGCCTGTAAGTACCATTGAAATTTTATACAATTCTCTTTGTAATATATGTGCCGTAAGTTTAAAGTCATCTTATTTTAATTACAGGGTAACAAAATTCAAGCAGACATCAAATAGGAACAGATCAGCAAATTCCATAGGTATGTTAAACCGTTTTTTTTTCTTTTTTTTAAACCATGAAACTAGGCCCCACAAACCCAATATAATCCATTAAAAAACTTAGACCCAATACAACTATTTTTTTGTTTGTTCACAATCACACAATAAAATTATCAATTCCTAATTGAACCAAAGAAATTATTAGTCTCATATACAAAAATACAAATCTAATGCTGCTAAATATATTAAATTCTAAAATACAATATTCTCTCCTTCTTTAGTCAAATAAAATATATAACATTATATCCAAATAGTAATAAATATAAAATATTAGTATGATATATTCCCTTTTATATTATACTATTATACTAAATTATTCCTTATTTCTTCGAACAAAATATACAATTTAATTCATGAAAATATTAAATCCCGTGCTGTATAGCACGGGTCATGATCTAGTTGATAAATACTTTTGTAACAGAAGGTAAAACGATTCGGACAAATTTTATCGATCGTATCCTGCTAATATTATTTTTGAAATAGAAATACATTAGGAAAAAAAACCTTCCGTAATGTAATTTATTACATCATTTTCAATGGAACGGAAAAAAAAAAATTTAATTGTGAAAATATCCTAACAGTGAAACCAATTATTACCCTAACCAAAAAGAAATTTCATAATTTTTTTTTTTCTATTATCCACACAATCAAACATGCATGTCAGTAAATATTTTTACAATATTTTCTACTACAAATACCTAGCTGACTAACATGATCCATAGCATAAACAATTACAATCTTATCAATAAGTCAATTCACATACAAGCTAAACTAAAATATTTAATTCACATGGAGGCAAAATAACAGATTTAGCTAGGTGACATACTGACATACAATTTACTTAGAGCATTTTTAAACACCCTCGTGTTGAGGAAGGGATCATTTTCAAAATGGGTGTTTTAAAGGTGCATTGCGGATGTGTTGTGTTTTTAATATCGTTCTAATATTTATTTTGAATCTTTTGTCGCGTCAAAATCTTATTTTGTATCTTTTCGGTTGTGTTTTGAATCTTGTTCAGGTTTTGTGACGGATGCTGGAATTGAAAGCTATTGGTCGCGTTCAGGTCGAGAAAGAGCAAGAAAAGGCGAAGTAATAAAGGAGGCAGTGCCTAAACTAAAGCACCCTATCTATCGAGAATCTAGCAAGCATCATTACAATTCCTCTCATTTTTTCTTTTACTTCCATTCCATATATGTCTGAAAACCACTACCCGGAGCCCATTTTTCTTGAAAGCATAAACAACAACCACAAAGACCTAACATATATGCATACCAACCCAATACAATGATTTACTGTGAATCTATTTGTTAATTCTATAGTCTTTTAACAATCCTACTACATTAACCAAGTGATGTCCATAATTCAACTAGTCCAGTTACATACGATTGACGGTCATGCATCTCAAAAGACCTTTTCAATTTATTTTAATTTCTCTGTTATATATGTTTTAATTAGTGTAGAAAACAAACTAATGACTTGTTATTGGACTTCTTCGTATTGACGTATTATAGGAGAAACCCATGGGACATAGTGCGGGAGCGACGGCTGGGGCTAGTGGTTACTAATAAAAATAACAAATTCATTTGGACTTTTGTTTTAGAAGTAAAATTATACCCCATGGTTCTTATATGAATTGTTGGACTACTTCGCATCTATTTAATATCTCTGTTACTTACTTATTAGATATTACTAGTCAGCACGTACCCTAAGGTTGTGTTGTATTAATGAATAAATTGATTATAAACATTGGTTAAATAGTTGTGGTCGAGCTGATTGAGAATTGTATTGGTCGTCGATGCTAAAGACGAAAAGTTCGACTCTGCATGTCATCCACGACACTTGCATTTACGTTTTTTTTATTGTTAGTTTTTTCCTACCATTTAAAAACGTTTAAACATAAAAATTGATGGAAATTTGTTTGAGTTTCGAATAGAGAAATTAGAGTAGTAAAATAGAGTTAACAAATACACAAAGAAGATAATTCCCCAACTGCTGAAATATAATACAGTAAGCACTTAATGAAATATTTTGAAAGAGGACCTCCTCTTCCTGCTCCGGTATGTCTTCCAAGCCAGTGGCGGAGCCAGAAATTTTGTTTATAGGGGTCAATATATATAAATAAATATATTTAATTAATTTTATAAAATTAATATATTAATATTAGATGATATATTTAAAGTATAAATTGTTATTTAGATGGTTACAAAAACATTTAAAAATTTATACTTAAAATAAAACTTAATAATCTATTTTCTTGAAATATATATATATATTTTTTGTTAATCCACTTTGCATTAATCAAATGTTTTGAGAATACAAAGCAAGTGCTTTTTTGGCAAGAGCATCAGCTACAACATTAGAAGATCTAGGAAGAAAACAACAGGAGAAATTGTTGAGGCGTCTGGTACACTCAAAAATATCCAACAGAATGCCATGAATCTCCACGAGAAGAGACTTAGAAAGGATTGCTTTAACGAGGATTTGACAATCCGAGAAGAGCTGAATATCCTGGTAGCCCAGAGACACCGCAGACAGAAGAGCCGTGCGCACAGCCAAAGATTCCGCGGCTAGCGGAGAAGAGACATGCTCACAGAGAGCAGAATTCTTTTTGAAAGGACATCCTGGGAAGGAGAGAGTCCATCCCAAGCCCGAAGCCTTAGAAGAACTATCCCACGAAGCATCCGTGTGGATTACCAGGGAAAGAGGATTCTTCCTGAGGGTAGGTACCCTAACAGGCACCCTACAAGGTTTGGCAAAGTTTGGTTCCTGTGCAGCTTGCCACTCTTTGGCGTCTTGGATAGCTTTTAGAACAATTTCTTTTTCACAGAACATTGTTTTAGAAAAAACCCTTTGGTTTCTAGAAGTCCAAAGGGTCCAGCATATCCAAGGGAACAAAGCACATTGCCCCAAACCCACTGGAGGGAGGGTTTTCCTCTGCTTGAGCCATACCAGACCCGAGCTAACATCTGTAAAAACAGGTAATAGATCCATACCTTCAAGGGGTGCCATCTTCCACACCCTTTGAGCAAACTGGCAATTAAACAAGATGTGGGCTGTGGATTCCAAATCACTACATCTGCTGCAGGAAGGGTCAAAAGCAGGGATTCTGGTGGCTAATTGGTATCCAGAGGGAACTGCACCACTAACAGCTTTCCACAGGAAGAGCTTAACCTTTGGGGAACACAACAAATTCCATACATCATCAAACCACTTGAAAGAAGGAGCCAGGACATCCGGAAAAACAACAGCTTCCTCCTGGTAAGCAACTTGGTAACCCGACTTTGTGGTGTACTCTCCATCTCTGTTAGGCAGCCAGACCCTCAAATCAGATCCCCCAGACCGGCTTGGTTTAATGGCTAGAATGGTTTCCTTGTAGAGAGGGAGGCTTGCTTCCACCAGTTCTTCATTCCAGTCCACAGAGTTAGGTAGGAAGAGATCACAAACACTTAAGTCCTTCAAAGAGGCTGGGGCAGGACCATACGGTTGGAGAGGACAATTGTTGGACAACCAAGGTTCCTCCCAGATCTTGACATCAGCCCCATTCCCTATAGACCACCCAAGTTGCTTCTTTATCAGGTTTCTTCCAATTAGGATCCCTCTCCAACCATGGGAGGCAGATTTGGGACAAGAGGTCTCCAAAAAACCTTCAGAGGAACAGTATTTTCCCATGAGAACTCTAGCCAGGAGGCAGCCAGGATTCCTAAAAATCCTCCAACTCAGTTTAGCCAGAAGGGCTTCATTAAAAGCTTTCACGTTCTTGAAACCCAGCCCGCCTGTCTGTTTTGGTCTGGCCATCTTCTCCCATGAGATCCAACACATTTTCTTCTGTTGATCATTTTTATCCCACCAGAACCTTGTCAGAGCTGACTGGATTCTATCACACAAGGATGCAGGCAGTTGAAAACACGACATTGCATAAGTAGGGATAGCTGTGAGGACACTCTTAAGCATGACCATCTTTCCCGCACTAGAAAGGAATCTGGAGCTCCAGGAGATTGCCTTTTGTCTGATCCTGTCAACAATAGAGGCAAAAAGATCTTTCTTCTTCTGACCAAAAAGCTCTGGTAAACCCAAGTACTTGCCCACTCCACCTTCCCTATCAATTTGTAGCCACTTCTTCACATTGATCCGGATCTCAGTGGAGGTGCGTCTTGAGAAGAAAACTGAGGATTTTTGCTTGTTGATTAATTGCCCTGAGGCAATTTCATACTTAGCCAAAATACTCATCAGTTCCTTGCAGCCCTTTGCATTAGCCCTACACAGGAACATTGTATCATCTGCAAAGAGCAAATGATTAATCCTGGGACTGCCTGTAGCCACTTTGATCCCTTGAAGCTTTCCTTCCCGTTGACTCTTCTCACATAGTCCTGAAAGCACATCACCACAGAGAATGAATAAATAGGGGGATAAAGGATCCCCCTGTCTAATTCCCCGTGATGGCATTACCTCTCCCAAAGGAACTCCATTAATTAGGAAGGCATAGGAGACAGTTGAGACACATTGGAGAACCCAATTCACCCACTTGGAGTGAAAACCTTTCCGGAGGAGGACTGCTTTGATGAAAGACCACTCCAATCTATCGTAAGCCTTGGACATGTCAGTTTTAACCACCATTGACACCTTCTTCTTAGCTCCAGAAGTCTTGAGGAAGTTAAGAGTCTCGTGGGTTATTAAGACATTGTCAGAGATAGCACGACCAGCAACAAAAGCAGACTGATTCTCAGAAATCAGGGGAGAGAGAACTGCCTTCAACCTCTTAGTTAGAACCTTAGAAAAAACCTTGTAGGTCACATTACATAAAGCAATGGGCCTGTAATCCAGCACCCTTTTTGGACCTTTGATCTTCGGAATAAGCCTGATATGAGTCTTGTTGATGGAGACAGGGATCAGGCCAGCATCGAAGTAGCTAAGCACTTCCTTAGTAAAAGCTTCCCCAATAGTATCCCAATTGGTCTGGAAGAAGCTGGCAGAGAAACCATCCGGTCCTGGAGCTTTATCAGGATGAATATCAAACAAAGCTTCTTTTATCTCTAGAGGAGTTGGCTCTTTAACCAGGAAATCATTATCCTTAGCAGAAACCTTGGGAGAGACAGCCTCCTCCACAATTCGCTGGACATCCGCAGGGCAAGCAAGTTGGGAAGTAAACAGATCTTTAAAACACTGCGAGATGGTGGAAGCAAACTGGTCATCATCATACAGCTTTTCTCCTTGCTCAGTCTCCAAAACAGTCATAGAATTGAGGCAAGCCCTTCCTTTAGTAATAGCATGGAAGTACCCTGAGTTTTGATCACCCAAGGACAGCCAATTCATTCTGCTTCTTTGCCTCCAGAAAGCTTCTTCAGCTAAATAAGCAGCGCTAAGGTCAGCATTGATCCTAGATAACAGACCCTCATCATGCACCAGGCTAACCATAGCTTGCTCCAGTTCCTCTTTCAGTCTCTCAATTTCAACCTGACTGTTTTTCTGCTTCTCCTTTGTCCACCTAATGATAGCCCCTCTGCAATTGCTCAACCTGTTTTCCACAAAACTCTCACCATCTTCGTTCCAGGCCTCCACAATGAGAGCTTTAACTTCTTCATTCTCTCTCAGCCTCCTATCATACCTGAATAACCCTTTCCTTCTCTTCTTTTCCTGTCCTAGGTAGGTAAGGATTGGTCTATGATCTGACCCTTCAAACTTCATATAGTCCACACGACCTCTCGAGAAAAAATCAAAACAGGCACTGTTTGCCATAGCTCTATCCAAACGACATCTTACTAGATGAGAGTGTCTCACACCTCTCCAGGAAAGGAAATTACCTGAATGCTTAAGATCAAATAACCCACATTCTGACATAAAGGCTCTAAAATCAACAAAAGATGCTTCAGCTCTTGAGGGACCTCCAGTCTTTTCTGAATTATCCAGAATTTCATTAAAATCCCCTGTAAGAAACCAAGGTTCTTCTCTTGAGTCAGCCAGAACCTTTAAAGTTTCCCACACATCCTTTCTCTTGGATTGGTCAGGTTCTCCATAGACAAAGGTTGCCAGGAAGGACGACCCTTTGAGGCTAATTCTAGCATCAATAAAGCTCTCACAGGAGGAAATAATATCCATCTCCAACTCTGGCTTCCAAAACAAAGCTAGACCTCCACCTCCATGTCCCTGAGGGGAGACTAGGAAAGAATTAAAATTACTTAAAAAATCCAACTTCTTACACACCACTTCCTTTGGATTCATAGTTTCCATCAGGAATATTACATCTGGGGAACACTTCTTATGGATATCCCTTACACGCCGGACTGTCTTGGGGTTTCCCAGCCCTTGACAGTTCCAGCCCAAGATTTTTACGGGAGCCTTTTGGTTGGAAGCCGAAAATCCAAATTCCTGGACAGAGAGGGACCTCCAGTTTGCCTACCTTCAGGTTGTTGATCACCAGCCTCTTCCAGAGAAGCAACCTGCTCCATATTCAGTCTTCTCCGGGGAAAGGGGATTGTTTGCTGACTAAGTAGCTTTTTCTTCTTTGATTTTACTCCTGCTAACTTTGAAGGAGTTGACTTTTTACCAGGGGGTCTCCCTAGCTTCTTCTTTACCATCCTCCTTTTCGGAGCAGGTAATTCTGGATCAGCAAAAGTTGGACCCAGCCTCTGGGAGGCGGGAATTCTTTCCAAGCTAAGGCTTTCTCCCTCCGAAAGGAGTTCACCAGGGGGAAGAGGAAGGGAGGAATGGGCAGCTCTAACCATTTGTTCAGCGGTTTCTTCAAACTCACCAAGTTCCTCAGCCTGTCTAACTCTTTCCCTTCTCGCCGCACTCTCAGTAGGATCTGGGCAGTTAGCATATTGAGTCATGACCTCCCGAAGCTCCCCCATAGCCACATCGAGAGCTTCCTTAGGTGCCAGGGGAGGCAGAAGGGGAGCAGATGAGGAGGAGAAAGGGAAACCCGGGTTAAGGCCATCCAATCTCAGACCAGAAGTGTTTCTAGGATCAGGAGAGGAGTCAACCAGCTTTCCTTTGCCTTTATCTTTAGGTAACGGAGCCTCTGTTTCACCATGTCTGGAGAGACTTTGAGAAGGGGACTGGTGCCTTTGAGATTGCTGATGATCTGAAACACTGTGTCTTCTTGACAGGGAGGACCGGAGGTCAGGTCCTGAAGTGGAACCCGATCGTCGTGAAGAGTCCTCTCTGGAGCTAACTCTGAGGGAGTCCCTCTCATCTCTTCTCCTGATAGCTCCACCTGTCTCACGAAAGCGTCTGGATCTCTCTGTTTGGTGTCCCGCACGGTGACGAGAAATACCTGAGGAGGAGGAACTCCTCCATCTTGATCGTGAGCTGCTATCCGAGATAGCATTCTCTCTTCTTCTTTCCTCAGACGGAGCCCTAGACAACTCCTTTCTTTCGTTGAATCTGGTGGAATGGGAATCTAATCCCCTCCTAGACAGCTCTCTACACACCAGAGGACAGTCTTCTTTAGTATGATCCAACATATAGCAAGCTTTGCAGTAATTCCGGAGCTTCTCATAGACGAGGGTTGCCTCAATCTCACTTCCATCCTCAAATTCCACGATTGTATTCATAATCAAAGGCTTCAGACCATTAATGGTAACTCGCATTCTGAAATAGGTGGGGGAAACATCGGACTTCTCCAGGTAACCAATTCTCTTGGCGATGCTCTCCAGAATTCCCACAGACCAAAGGTGCACAGGGATTCCTTGGACACTTATCCAAAAAGGGATTAGGGAGGGGAAGGATCTATAGATGATATTAATATTAGATGATATATTTAAAGTATAAATTGTTATTTAGATGGTTACAAAAACATTTAAAAATTTATACTTAAAATAAAACTTAATAATCTATTTTCTTGAAATATATATATATATATATATATATATATATCTTATATAATATGACAAGGTTTTTCTGTAAGGAGCTCTATTATCACGACATTTGTCACTTTCTTCTTACGACATGTGGCACATATATTTTTTTTTTATTATTACATTTAATAGGGAAAATTTTCTTTCATACCACTTATTATATACTTTAATATCCCTACATTTATATATATATTATATATATATATATATCACCAATTAAAATATATAAAAAGTTTAAATGCAAAAATAATTAAAAATATTGGAATCATAGAATTTGTTCTTTCATACAATTTATTATCTACACTAAAATCTTAGAATTTTTTCTTTGATACAATTTATTATCTACAGTGTATATGTAAAGACCAACTTTATGCCATATTAGTGTAAATCATTTATATATTTTTTGGCTTCATATACCATATTTTCCTATAATTTTATATATTTGTTCCTTAGATTATTTTTTTGGCTTCATATATAATTGTTTATATTTTATCATCATAATAATAATAAATAAAACATTAAATTATTTCACAATAATATATTCTATTCTATTCTTTTGGGATCGTCTAATAATAATTTCACAATATTAGTGTACTAAAAAATAATTACTACAACAGCTAATCTATTTTATAATTAGTTTATACTGCATAAGATATTCAAAATTTAAAGAACATGTGTAAGAAAAAAACTAATTCAAGAATTGAAATCTCATAAACAAGAAATTATTCAAAATATACCAAATAAAATAATGTTAACCACATAATCAATTATATATGTTTATTTAAATGCATGAAAGAAAATGTGTTTTGTTTAAACATTAATTCCAATTATTGGCATATTAATTCCTTAAAATGTAACCATAACTCCCATCATATTTGACCAAAAAGGCAAAATCACACAGAAAAAACTCCCATGACATTAATACACATGTAACTGCTAAGAAAGATTATTAAGTGTCCTTAGATTATTTTTGATATATCACTCAGAAAGAATACACAACTCACTTTAAATTACACCAAAAAAAAAGTTAGCCCAAAAATGACAAAGCTGTAACGTGTGATACTTAATTTTATGTCTAATTGAAAACTACAGTTAATATTCAATCAAATACCTTTCATTGTCGTTAGCATGTAGGTAGACTACATACAAAGGTAAATGCTATTACTGTATAACACATTTAATTCTACAAATGTAACGTAGCTCATGATGCTAAAACTACAATTAATTTTATTCACATATATATTATTAAAAGCAATTTATTATTGTTTTGACAATATAATTTCTTTATAAATAGTACGACATGTTCAATACTAACCATCATATTTCAAGCCCCACAAATTTTGTAACATTTTTCTATTCACTTAATAGTTTCTAATCTTCTTTTCTTCTTTTTTGCGTATTCTTTTTTTTTTTGTCAGTTCTTTCTTATGTTATGTTTGTAGATCTGGATATTTTTTAATATTTTCGAAAGTCATATGTTAAGGTGGTGACTATCTTAAAGTCAGTTAAAATATTCGAGGTAAGATGTCATTCTTTCCAGGTTTAGTTTGTGTTTGTTTATTTTTATATTGCTTCCAACGCACAAAAATTTGATTATCTATCTTTCGTTTATAGTTATTAATGAAAAATTTATTGCACAAAAAAATGGGAATGAAAAGAGTCTAATTCAAAAATAGATAGTTTGAAAATGGATATGAAGTATATAAGACAAGGTTTTTTGTAAGGAGCTCTATTATCACGACATTTGTCACTTTCTTCTTACGACATGTGGCACATATATTTTTTTTTTATTATGACATTTAATAGGGAAAATTTTCTTTCATACCACTTATTATATACTTTAATATCCCTACATTTATATATATATATTATATATATATATATATATCACCAATTAAAATATATAAAAAGTTTAAATGCAAAAATAATTAAAAATATTGGAATCATAGAATTTGTTCTTTCATACAATTTATTATCTACACTAAAATCTTAGAATTTTTTCTTTGATACAATTTATTATCTACAGTGTATATGTAAAGACCAACTTTATGCCATATTAGTGTAAATCATTTATATATTTTTTGGCTTCATATACCATATTTTCCTATAATTTTATATATTTGTTCCTTAGATTATTTTTTTGGCTTCATATATAATTGTTTATATTTTATCATCATAATAATAATAAATAAAACATTAAATTATTTCACAATAATATATTCTATTCTATTCTTTTGGGATCGTCTAATAATAATTTCACAATATTAGTGTACTAAAAAATAATTACTACAACAGCTAATCTATTTTATAATTAGTTTATACTGCATAAGATATTCAAAATTTAAAGAACATGTGTAAGAAAAAAACTAATTCAAGAATTGAAATCTCATAAACAAGAAATTATTCAAAATATACCAAATAAAATAATGTTAACCACATAATCAATTATATATGTTTATTTAAATGCATGAAAGAAAATGTGTTTTGTTTAAACATTAATTCCAATTATTGGCATATTAATTCCTTAAAATGTAACCATAACTCCCATCATATTTGACCAAAAAGGCAAAATCACACAGAAAAAACTCCCATGACATTAATACACATGTAACTGCTAAGAAAGATTATTAAGTGTCCTTAGATTATTTTTGATATATCACTCAGAAAGAATACACAACTCACTTTAAATTACACCAAAAAAAAGTTAGCCCAAAAATGACAAAGCTGTAACGTGTGATACTTAATTTTATGTCTAATTGAAAACTACAGTTAATATTCAATCAAATACCTTTCATTGTCGTTAGCATGTAGGTAGACTACATACAAAGGTAAATGCTATTACTGTATAACACATTTAATTCTACAAATGTAACGTAGCTCATGATGCTAAAACTACAATTAATTTTATTCACATATATATTATTAAAAGCAATTTATTATTGTTTTGACAATATAATTTCTTTATAAATAGTACGACATGTTCAATACTAACCATCATATTTCAAGCCCCACAAATTTTGTAACATTTTTCTATTCACTTAATAGTTTCTAATCTTCTTTTCTTCTTTTTTGCGTATTCTTTTTTTTTTGTCAGTTCTTTCTTATGTTATGTTTGTAGATCTGGATATTTTTTAATATTTTCGAAAGTCATATGTTAAGGTGGTGACTATCTTAAAGTCAGTTAAAATATTCGAGGTAAGATGTCATTCTTTCCAGGTTTAGTTTGTGTTTGTTTATTTTTATATTGCTTCCAACGCACAAAAATTTGATTATCTATCTTTCGTTTATAGTTATTAATGAAAAATTTATTGCACAAAAAAATGGGAATGAAAAGAGTCTAATTCAAAAATAGATAGTTTGAAAATGGATATGAAGTATATAAGACAAGGTTTTTTGTAAGGAGCTCTATTATCACGACATTTGTCACTTTCTTCTTACGACATGTGGCACATATATTTTTTTTTATTATGACATTTAATAGGGAAAATTTTCTTTCATACCACTTATTATATACTTTAATATCCCTACATTTATATATATATATATTATATATATATATATCACCAATTAAAATATATAAAAAGTTTAAATGCAAAAATAATTAAAAATATTGGAATCATAGAATTTGTTCTTTCATACAATTTATTATCTACACTAAAATCTTAGAATTTTTTCTTTGATACAATTTATTATCTACAGTGTATATGTAAAGACCAACTTTATGCCATATTAGTGTAAATCATTTATATATTTTTTGGCTTCATATACCATATTTTCCTATAATTTTATATATTTGTTCCTTAGATTATTTTTTTGGCTTCATATATATTTGTTTATATTTTATCAACATAATAATAATAAATAAAACATTAAATTATTTCACAATAATATATTCTATTCTATTCTTTTGGGATCGTCTAATAATAATTTCACAATATTAGTGTACTAAAAAATAATTACTACAACAGCTAATCTATTTTATAATTAGTTTATAATGCATAAGATATTCAAAATTTAAAGAACATGTGTAAGAAAAAAAAACTAATTCAAGAATTGAAATCTCATAAACAAGAAATTATTCAAAATATACCAAATAAAATAATGTTAACCACATAATCAATTATATATGTTTATTTAAATGCATGAAAGAAAATGTGTTGCCAATATTAATTCCTTAAAATGTAACCATAACTCCCATCATATTTGACCAAAAAGGCAAAAATACACAGAAAAAACTCCCATGACATTAATACACATGTAACTGCTAAGAAAGATTATTAAATGTCCTTAGATTATTTTTGATATATCACTCAGAAAGAATACACAACTCACTTTAAATTACACCAAAAAAAAAGTTAGCCCAAAAATGACAAAGCTGTAACGTGTGATACTTAATTTTATGTCTAATTGAAAACTACTTTTAATATTCAATCAAATACCTTTCATTGTCGTTAGCATGTAGGTAGACTACATACAAAGGTAAATGCTATTACTGTATAACACATTTAATTCTACAAATGTAACGTAGCTCATGATGCTAAAACTACAATTAATTTTATTCACATATATATTATTAAAAGCAATTTATTATTGTTTTGACAATATAATTTCTTTATAAATAGTACGACCTGTTCAATACTAACCATCATATTTCAAGCCCCACAAATTTTGTAACATTTTTCTATTCACTTAATAGTTTCTAATCTTCTTTTCTTCTTTTTTGCGTATTCTTTTTTTTTTTGTCAGTTCTTTCTTATGTTATGTTTGTAGATCTGGATATTTTTTAATATTTTCGAAAGTCATATGTTAAGGTGGTGACTATCTTAAAGTCAGTTAAAATATTCGAGGTAAGATGTCATTCTTTCCAGGTTTAGTTTGTGTTTGTTTATTTTTATATTGCTTCCAACGCACAAAAATTTGATTATCTATCTTTCGTTTATAGTTATTAATGAAAAATTTATTGCACAAAAAAATGGGAATGAAAAGAGTCTAATTCAAAAATAGATAGTTTGAAAATGGATATGAAGTATAGTTAAAAATAATATAGTTTTTTTTTTTTTTACAGTGTGACAATTATTGTATAGATGGGTGGTTCAAATTCTTGAGTCTATTCATGAACAACCCAACACAACAATTGGTTTGGAGATCGTTCAAGAGAGAACGACATGGCATATAGTTTTTCAAACATAAATGTTTTTTTTTCAAACAGAAATATTAATAGTATTAAAATTATATTTTTACAAAACTATCATTAAATTCTAATTGTATATTATCATATTTAATTCCTTAAAATATAACTGTAATTCTTATGCTATTTAATAAAATTGGCTTTATTTATCCCTAATCAAACAACAAATATAACCTATTTAATCATATACATTAATCCACCATTTAATACTAAATTGTAACCTAAATAATATAAATTGTATGATATATATTTTCTCCATTCAATGCATGTAACTCCCATAATTATAATTAATAATTTATGCATTTTCTAATGTTACATTTAAATACTAATTTACTATCATGTATTTCATCGTTATAAGATTAACACAATAACACCCTCTATTTTCATATATTTATATATGATTATGAATTGTGAGCTATTTAAATAGCTACTCAGTTTTTCATAATCACTTATTAGAATTCCGAACCTCATATAAATTTTTCTAAAAAGATATCCTACATGCTACACATATATAAAATAAATTACTATGAAAACATAGTCTACACATGTGCCAAATTTTATTAATAAATATTAATAAACATATTAATGCGTATATAGGGGTGTCAAAATGGGTAACCCAGCCCCTAACTCAACTAATTATCTAATGAGTTTACAGTTAAATGAGTTAATAGTTGACCAATTAAAATAATAAATTAATTAATAATCAATATAAAAACAACAATATTCATCATCATTTGGTGGGAAAATCACGGATTTACATTTTTAGCAAAAACGTTACAAGTTTAGGTTTTTGGTGGAAAATTTGCGGATTCATAATTTTTTGTCGCTGAGATTTGCGGATTCACACTCCGAGTATACATTGTATAAATTATCTTTTAATGATATTTAACTTGCCTACATTTTAAATAATTACTCCAACATTTCGTATATTTAAAATCAATTTACATGCACCAAAACATGGTCAAAGAAACCTTAGGATCTAATGTTCACTTTAATAAAAAGATAATGCAACATATAAAAAAGATTGAGAATTGAAAGATATGAAGGAGAAAATAGATATAAACTATCTTGAAAACTAATTTATATTCGAGTATATTATATATAAGCCAATATAAGGTAAAAAGAGAATAGATGTTGGGAGACGATGAGTGAATCATAGAAGAGAAAAAAAAAAGTTGTAATAAAAAGTGTGAGAAATGTTTTACTACTTTGAAAGATAATGCACATGAGTAAAGTAAAATCTTTAAAAATTCAAATGATTATATTTATATTTAAAAATTGGTATTGATAAAAAAATTAAAATAAAATCCCGCGCGATGCGCGGGTACAGAATCTAGTATATATATATGTATAGAGTTTTAGATCTAAAATATTTCATATGTCATCTTTCAAATTATATTGTTGTATCAAATACTTTTATATCATTAAAATATTTTTTTGTCAAAAATATATAATATATATTGTAGAGATTGATTAGTTTTTGTGTTTATATTCATAACCTTTAGAAAATATATATTTTAGAAAAATATAGAATGTAGGGAAAAAAACAGGATATATGTCTAAAAAGAAGAAAAAATTGATATGTAAATGAGTATTATAGATCTTTTTATAATAAAAGATATTATAGATTTTTGGAGATACAAAAATAGAAATGACATAAGGTTAAGTGACAAAATAAATATTCATGGGTCAAAAACAAGAATTGATCATATGACATAGGGGTCATTATGAATATTTTAAACCAAAATATCTAATTATCTTAGGAAACTTACCCTATAATTAAAATATTTATAAATTTTATGGGGGTCAAACTGACCCCCCTCCTTGAACGTTGCCTCCGCCACTGTTCCAAGCCACTCTTTACCATATATGGCGAGAGAGAAACGCAAGACGACATAGTGAAATCAGTTCACCATCAGCCCACCTCATCAAGTTAATTGACAAGAATGTGCGAAACAGAATCAGCTCAATTCGGGATACAAGAGACCATAAATATGACGACTGCCTCATGTTATGGTTCTCTACTCGATCTCCTCCTTAAGCAAGATTTCTCTGCATTTTATTCTCAGATTTTCCCCTCTGTTTTATTCTAAAAAGTTAAACAAACTGATGCATCTATTGTAAAAAGGTTTTTGGTTGAATAAATTTTACATTCAATTCAAAAAAAAAAAAAAAAATTTGAAAGAGAAGAAGTGTGGTAGTGGAAGTGATCCTTCATGATCTTTGTCAGAAAACGACTATACTAGTACCAAAACGGCAGATTAAGATTGTTAAACCCGCTGATGAATGTAAAAACAATAACAATTTGATAGGAATGAACCCTAATCAAGACCACACGACCTTTTGGTTTGAATATTCCCAAAACCTAGCTTAAGGGTTTGATGCCTTAAGTCTTATAAGACATTGATTTTGAGATATTTTACCTACATCTATATTATTAGCTCCCCTTTAGACCGCAACCTTCACGGAACTTGCGGCTATTTTGCTTTCTTTTAAGGTATTTCCTATTGGGACTCATCCCAATTGGGTATTTTCCATTTATAGTATCCTCTCCCTTGTACTCGTCTCCAAACCGCTGTCATATGTTAGGTAAGTATTTTACGGCAGGTCAGACCCACTGTTAGGAATTGGCCTAAATCAAATCCACAAGTCTTTGGGAAGAATACTCAAACCTAACTATGAAATACTCAAACATAATTTATGTGAATTTGGATGCCCTTAGGTCTTATAAAGAATTGATTATTTTCGCTCATAATCTAAGAAACATAAATTCACATTGCAACCCTAAAACCTAACTATGAAATACTCAAACATAATTGAACAAACATTAAAGCACCTCATCAGTGAAAAGAACTACATAATGGCATGGAAATATAAAAACTAGGCTTCATAAATCTTTTGAAAAGATGTAAACTCATTAATCTTAACGAGATAGATTTATAAAGATAGATTATAAAGGATGTACACACGTTTTAGCAACCACCTATCTTTTCTTTAGTTGAGAATAAGGGATACATACGAGCTTATCAATTACAAGTTTGGTACTTGTATAGTTGCACTTGAGTTGGGAAAAAAAATGCAAAAGTAAAGAGAAACCACAAATCACACATAAAATTCATGGAGTATATGACATGTGCACATCTAGACCTTGACTGTGTGTTTACCGATCTTTATTTGGCAACGTCTAGGCTTTAGAAAACCGATCACAGGATGTTACATACTATTTTGGTCTCATTATGCATGTCTTCATTTTCTAAGTATGATCTCTCAACTTTCTCTCTCAGTGCTAGTAACATTCTCTCATGTGAGGCCGATGACTCCTTTAGCGTGTCCTCCACCTGAAAGAGATCCAGATCTGGTTATTACCTGATGCATCAAGAATCAGTAGTGTTGCCTAGAGTTTATGGGAAGGAAATTACCATCTGTGCCATCATGTTCATTTGTTGGCCATATGATATTTCTAACTGCTTCTTCATCTCTTCTACCTCTGTTTTCTCAGGCTTCTTAGATTGTACCTCCTTTTGCTGTTCCATAAGCATCTCACCTTGTCTCTGAGAATCGTAAGGATTCAAACATATCAACAAATGTTATATAGGCAAAGTAGACATTAGAACTATGAAGAGGAGAAACATAGTAATCACAGTTTCACCTTTACATTTAGATCATTTTCTTCAGTAAACAACGCTTTCCCACCGTTGAGCTTTTCAATGGCTTCGACATGGGCAAGGAGCTGTTTAACTTGCTCGATCTTCTTGACTTCATCCGTAGTCTTGTTATTAAACAAGACCCTCCTTCCACCACACAATCTAAGAACTGTCTGAAAATGCAAAATTTTAATCCGAAGTAACATAAGATAGGCAGAGACCGATGTTGCAAATAATTTACATTATCAAACTAACTTGACCTTCAAATATTCAGGGCAGCCTCTGGACAAATAGTCGTCAAGTGTCTTGTTTTCCTTTTCCAACACATCACCACAAGTGAAGAGAACGACCAAATAGTCAACAATTTTACTGCCAAAAAGGAGCTGTAACTTGTTAAGTGCGGCCTCTTCCTCTTTTAAAATGTCAGTCCCCACCGCTAGCACTAACACCACAGCATGTAATCCTCCTTCCGTGAGCGTAAGGAAATTGCTGATCTCCTTGTTCATATAATCCGTAGACACGGACAAATCGAAGAGACCTAAATCACGAAAACCATTCCACAGCCAGACTTTTATGAACTATACAAAGGAAAGATTCCGTAACACAATCTAACAACCTTAAAATCAGATATTATGACCCAACAATCATAAAGGACATTGTGTGCTCATGGAAAGAGATATAGGCTCGCTTCATTCAAATATTAAAGGAGAAACATACCAGGAGTGTCAATCACATTGATTATCAGGCCATCTAGTGTCTTAGCTTTACATGTCTTACATTCCGTTTCCGAGACGAACACTTCTTTTCCGATGAGAGAGTTTCCGGTGGAGCTTTTCCCGTTTCCGGTAGGCCCTACAAGAACTATGTTTCTCACTGGCTCTGACTCTAAAGGTTGTGCCGGATCACTCATGTTTTTTCTGGTTAAGAAACAAAATTAATGGTAAATCTTATAAGCTAATAAAATCGTACAACATGTAGAACAATTACAGATGAAGGAGATTTTACTATGTAAAGAAAAAAGCTAGATACTGAAAAATATTGCGAGAAAAAGAATGATATAGGTAGGAAGGACACACTTAAGCACACGGCAACTCTATGACTTCCTCAGTTTTGACATTCTTTTTCTTAGTTATTGTCCGGCCATGTCTTGGCTTGTCTTCAAAGTTTTTGTAATTTTATTTTTGTCAACTATGTTTTTTTTTGTAGCTTATGTCATGTTGAATTTGAATAGAGTTTAGTTTGGAAATAACAAATAAAAATTTTGTGCCATTTGATTTTACTATGTTTTATAGTAATTGAAAAAGTCTTTTGGAGTATTACTTTTTTTTTTAATTCTTGGGGTATAAGTTATAAAATATATCAGGGATTATTCGTGAGGTAAAAAAAAAAGAAGAAGATTAGAACTGTGCATCAGTTAGAACTTCACGTACTTTAGCAACTGCATTATATATCTCCATTCACATATATTTTGTGCAGCTACAGGCTCAACCTCATTTAACAAAACTGTTATAAAAAAAATTGTTCGAATTTGTACGCGTACTGTAGCTCATTTCATTTGGAATGGAACAAATCGGTAAATTATTTGTGCTCTTTACATTTTCAATATCTTAGAACTAGTGGTCAACACCGACTACTTTGGGAGGTAAGCAGAACCCTTAATTGGCAAGAGTTTTTTGCTAGTCTACCACATTTTAATCACTTTGGCCTAAACCTATATAGGAGATCAAATAACCTAAAGAAGCGATTTAATTCGCAGATGGGAATCTAAACCAGGCACATTGAGATCAGACGGGTCCATACGACTTTCCAGGTCCATGTCCAAATTACTACTGCACCATTTCACTCGGGTTTCTATTTTTATATATATTCCAGTTTCATTATTTAATGCTTTTAAAAATTAAAAAATTAAAAAAAAAAGACCAACAATGTCCTGAGTGTTTTCTTCGATTGTTAAAGTTCGGGAAGACGTGATAAAAACTCAAAAAGAGTGATGAATCACAAAAAGTTGTCTCAAAACTTAAAGTCGTCTTGTCCTTTGTGGTTCGTTTACCGTTTCCGATTTATATAAAAAAAAAATAAGCAATTTAATTACCCTATTGCAATATCATAACAAATACAAAGTTAAAAATAAACAAAACTAGCTTCCACTAACATCTACTAAATATCAATAAGCGTTGGTTGCACATATTATCGGCAAGCCATCTCCTATTTAAACTTCGATTATATCATCGATTAACTTGTTGATTCATCCTCAAACTAGCAAGTGTATATACATACTCAAAATCAAAGCTTCTTCCGTTCCCCTATTACAGGTAAGATAAATTTGGCTTAATTGTTTTGTTTGGTCAACGAGCTAAGAGACTTAATTATGCGACATGGGTGCAAGGATTTTTTTCAGATGGCTGGACTTGAGGACACGACTGATCTGAGGTTGCCTTCACCATCAGAGCCAATCAAAAACATAGTTTTGGTGGGGCGTACCGGAAACGGAAAAAGCGCCACTGGAAACTCCCTTATCGGAAAACAAGTGTTCAACTCAGAAACACGAGCAACCGGTGTTACCATGAAATGTGAAACATGTATAGGGGTAACACCATGTGGCACGGGAATCAATGTGATTGACACTCCTGGTATGAAATCGCTTAAGACTTTGAATATAGCCTATAATTCACTTGATCTATGAGTTTTATTTCTTACATAGATTTGATGTTTCTAAAGTTAGGTAGTTTAGAAAATTTGTTTGCATACTCAAAGGCATGTCTATCTACAAAGTTAAGAATCCACAAATCACTTTTTTTAGCTCCGCCCAATCTGTGTTTGACAAAAATCTTAAATTAAACACGGTCGCTTTTGTTTTAGCCTGATTTTATCTCGTAAATGAGTTTGAATAATGTGAAACATAGAGACATAAATAGACTTGATATTTAAAAAAGTTAAAATCATATTTTGTTTTTTAAAATAAAAGTGAAAAACAAGAGAAACAAATTTGGAGTATTTTTTTTTATCTATATGATGATAAAAACTTGATTGGGAAAAACTTGACTATCAAAAACTATAACTTTGTATTTAAAAGTCCCTCGACCAATCACTCAATTCACCGGTTAGTTATGTTCATACTAGTCTTACTATATACACTTCTTAATACAAATAAACTATAAATATTAGGCTATGTATGGTAAAAATCGTATATCCACCAACATTATAAGACATTAATTTACTTCATCTAAGCTTTAACCTTGATCAGAGTTTAGGTACTTCTGAATATATTTGAAAAAATCTAACTCCATTTTGACTATGGTTGTTGATACAGGTCTGTTCGATCTGTCTGTGTCCGCTGAATATCTCAGCCAGGAAATCATCAATTGCCTTGTTCTTGCGGAAGAAGGACTACATGCTGTGGTGTTAGTCCTATCTGTGAGGACTCGAATTTCGCAAGAGGAAGAGTCCACGCTTAATACATTACAAGTTATTTTTGGGAGTGAAATCATTGACTATTTAGTAGTTTTATTCACTGGTGGTGATGAGTTGGAAGCAAACAATATGACACTGGATGATTACTTGTCCAAAGGTTGCCCTGAATTTCTGAAGGTCTTATATATCCCTTTGATTTGATCTTAAGAACTTGGATAGTGGTAATAGAGGTTTCCTCAACACTTACATGTTTTAATTTTTAAATATTGGATTGTGAAATCTTAGACAGTTCTTAGGTTGTGTGGGGGAAGAAGGATCCTGTTTGATAACAGGACTATGGACGAAGGCAAGAAGGTCAAGCAAGTTCAGGAACTTCTCGCCCATGTAGCAGACATTGAAAAAAGCACTGGTGGGAAACCGTTTACGGATGAAATGCACCGTAAAATACAGGTTGATATGCTTACCATCTACATCCATGTCTAGTGTGTTTTTTCCCTATAATTAACTAGAATAATTGTTGATTATATGTTTAAATCTACGGTTGCTCAGAAAGAGGAGGATATGCTTAGGGAGCAGCAAAAAGAGGTCGAATCTAAGGACCTTGCAGCTGCAGAGATTGAAAAATGGAAGAAGCATTATCAAGAAGAGCATGACAAAAATATGAACATGATGGCAGAGATGGTGATTATCTTATTCCCCCCTAATCTTTTTTTTTTGCTATGAACCCCCTAATCTTTATATATAAGTATATTTCTAACTAATCGGTTCTTGTTTCTCTTTCAGCTAGGGAATAAGCTAAGAGAGGATTCCGAAAGACAGGAGAAAATGTTGCTTGCGCTGAGAGATAACCTTGAGATTTCACAAAGACAAAACAAATATAACGAAACTACTGACAATGTGCCTGATCGCATACATTATGGGTGTTCACTTCCGCCAATGCCATGCAACATGTTATGATTGGTGTATCGGATTTCAGTTGAGGATAAGCTAACCAAAGATTTAAGCAGACACAGTTCACATCATTTCGTCCGAAAGGCCTGGTCGTTGTTTCTTTCCTATATCGTTTGTTTTATTTTTGCTTCGTGGTTTCTTTATTTGATAATAAAAATAATAAGAATGTGTTATTGCTGTATTTAAATATTTAATATAAAAAATAAATGGTGCATAAATTTATATCCAAATGTCTATTATAGTACGTAATTTCTTCTAATAACATTGTAAGCAAATTGAACCCAAACAATTCTGACCTAAGAAAAATAGGCAACATTTCATTTGCTAATTTGTTAGATGATTTAACCTGAATTAATATCCGATAAAGGACAGACAATAAAAATATGGAAAGACTCGCTTTTTAATTATTTGATCATTCTTAATATATATTTATTAACAATTTCATATGAACATCAAAATCAATACAATAATAACAATAAGAATCTCTCCATGCCTGACACATCAGCATTTTGGACTCTTCTGAAGCTGACACCTCATTAAAATCATCATCCAATAAAAACATTTCGATTAATACACATCACCTCTCCAGTTTGCCACATCAGATTTCCACCATGCCACATCAGCTTTTTATAAAAAAAAACATATTATTTAAAAAAGACAGCCAATCTAATTAATACAATCATACACATAATAATTTTAAATTTATTGATAATGATAAATATATTTCTAATTTGTTTACTAATTCAATATCTACAAAAAATGAAAAAGCTATCCTATATATTTTTTAAAAAGTTGTTTGACATCAAATGATTTCTAGAGAACACCATGCATGAAGTGAATTTAATAATTAGTTTACGCAGCGTGTTGTTTTTATAAATTAATTTTGTTTTAGTCTAAGTTTTTACGGTAAAAATGTAATAGGTTCTTCAGATATTATTTTACCTTTGCTTGTATTTTAATTGTTTTTTATTTTATTAGTTTATATATGCATATACTAAAAAAAATAATTTCTATATCTTACTTTTACAAAAAAAATGTACTGTGTAGTTGATATTTATAATTATTTTTTTATTATTTTATGTTTTTGTATATATTTAACTTTTTACAAATGTTAGTTTTTTTTTATATTGTGATATATGTAAATATGTTTTAGTGAATATTATACTCCAAAAATCTTAAATTATTTATGTTAAAATTATTTGTGGTACACCAACACAATTAGAATCATAGTTTATTCATAAGAGTTTACGATTGCTAAATTGGTTTACGTTTTTTTTTTTCAATTCAACAAATCTACAGCAATAAAGAACAATAGACTCTTAGGATTGTAATCTCACACTTGTTCTATTATCCCGTCTTGTTACTTCAAGATATATGGTCAAACTTGAATCTCTATATTCCTCTTATACATGTATTTTGCTTCACTTGATCATTTGCATATAAAGCGTAAAACTTTGTTAGTTTTTGTTCAAAAATGAAATCATTAAAGGGAAAAATGGTAAAATTATTCTATGATCTAACCATAGAGATGTGTAGTCAAGTGAAGTTTGCATTTGAAATTTGATTTATTTTGGATTTATGCTCTTTTTGTTATTTGTAAATTTTGGCTGAAATGTCACAAATGTTATTGATTAATTTGGTTATTATTAGTGATCTATTTTATAAGAATATATAATTCAGCATAGCAAAAAGTTGAGAATTAACTATGTATTTGTGATTTATGTTTTGAATGAAGGTGATCTCACGCCGGCTCAAACGCTTGATCTACTCTATTCCAAGAACATTTAATGGTAAATATAAGTTAAGAGAAAGACAAAGAGAAGATGAGATTCCCTTATAATGCTAAGAACTATTGGATCGTCATTCTCTAACTGTTTATCTTTGAACATTCTAATTTTAAGTCACGAACCAAATTATGTTAACCAATGTTTATGAATTGTTTAGCCTATTTATTTTAAAAACCCATAACAAAGTCTGGTCCATCTTTTTCGATTTCTATATTTTCATGGAATTTTCGTAATTTGTGTTTAATTAATTTTGTCTAATAATTTTCTCAGAGATTGATGTCTCTTGTGGCTGAGAGACTAATTGATTCCAATAGTAAAGTCAATGTAAAAAACTTTATTATGTTTGCATGTTATTTATTTATCTTAAATCATGGACTTATGTGGATAATCTTATTTGTATTTCTCGTAGTAGAACAAAGATGAACACTCTTAGACAAGTAAACAGAATTGTAATTATACTGTTTATTGTAAACATATCCTTTTGTTTTTTTTTTGGTTAACAGATCCTGTTTTTTTTTCTAAAATCCTCTTTCTTTTTATTTTTGTTGTAATAATATTGTTTTGGTTTTTGATTGTTTAAATAAAACAAATTTCAAAAAAATACCCGCAGCGTAGCGCGGGTTTCGATCTAGTATTATTAAAGGAATGAAAAAACTTAGGATGAGTGGAAGCCCTCTTGGCCCATTGGTTGACTAAGGGTTGATTAATGCTTCTACACCAAGAGGTCTGGGGTTCGAGTTCCAGATATTGCGATTTATTAACAAATTTGCAGATTAATGGAGGCAAGTATGCAGGAGATCTCCAGCGATGTACAATTATAGCCGTTCGCCAGGATTCTACGCAGAGAAGAAAGTGTGGCCAGATCGTGGATCATTGAAGGTATTCATCAAGATCATGAAGAAGGAAGTGTAGTCTGTCGTGGATCTAGTAAGGGTCGGAAGGAATTGTCAGTTGTAGAATCGTCTATGTAACAGTTCTCATAATTTGCAATTAATAATAAATCTAGACGACAAAAAAAAAAAAAAAAAAAAAACTTAGGATGAAAATATTAGTAAATAAATATCACAAAAAGAAAGAAAAACAAAGATTTATTAATCAACAACAAAAATTCAATGTCATACAAAGCAAGCCAGTTTCCAAGGTTGTGTCAGTGATTAAGAGAGTAAGAGACGTGACCACCACTAACATTACAATTTACATGGCTACAAGCGACAACCATATGCAGGAGAGATCACGCGCAAAAACCATATGGCTGAAGCTAGATACTCGGTACTAACCCATCCCAACATCAAGAAGAACCCAAACACCGACAAGGGTTCAAACACCTTTATCTCATCACTCTGGCAAAGAGCCCATTGTCTACTCTAGGAAGCATAGTGACTAACCGATTGGCAAATCACCTTCCAACCGCAATTCCAAAGGAAGCTCATAGTTTGAAGAAATGAAGAAATGGAGTTGAAATAACACGTTTAAATTTCCCAGGAAACAACTTCATTTAGCCAAAAACCTTCTAAGATCTGCATGCATGTTCCCGGTCGAGCATGCATTCACGTTATATAACAACTTACAATCAAATATCACAAAAAAAAACAACAACTAAACAATCACCGTGTAAACACAACCCGAAGACTGTCTAGGCATTTAGATCAGGATAACGCTCTTGGAACACGCCTTTGGTAAACACAATAAATTGTACCAAAAAACGATCAGGTGGAAGGTAACGCCACTCGATATTCCAATCAAGCAAGGTTCCCCACCAAAGAAAACATTTCCAACAGAAGCTGCGAATCCGATCAATGACGGTAACATATAAATAACTTCATTTAAAATCATATATAATTTTTCTTTCCAAATGTAAAACAACAATTTTAATTAATCCTAATTTTATGGAGTTGTTTTTTCCGCTGATAAATATAATTTTTTTTTATATAATATATATCAATTGACAAAAAAATATCAAAATTTAATAACCTTGATATGAGGTTCGTAATATAGTTTAATTTGAGTTGACATTATCTATTCCCAAAAGACTTCGTCAGTTATTTCAGGAAAGAAAAAGTAAAGAAACAAAAAAAAAATACTCAAATGGCACACTAAAAGATAGTAAACTCTAAACTTAAATCTTAAAAATTTCAACATGACATAGCATTCAAGAAAGATCGCACGACGATCCAGAAAACGCGTTGAGTAAGCGATCTTTTATATAAACTTTGGTTGTTAGTTGATTCATTTTGAGTTTTTCTTTTGTTATTTACCCTTTTACGTCTTATTTTATTCATCATATTGTAATATTTGAAGAAAGCTTCTTCTCACTTATTTGAGCTTCCCCGGGTAGATATGTATGAATAATCTTGCTCACAGTTGTTCCTTTTCTTGATTAAGACTTTTTATGTTCACCTGACAATCTGTTATCAAATATTTACATGTAATTTTATGTCAAAGCAGCTAAATATGAATCTTTCGGAACACCCTTCAGCGTATAAAGCAGTCAAAAACATAGTTCTGGTCGGACGTACCGGAAACGGAAAAAGCGCCACTGGAAACTCCCTCATTGGGAAAGACGTGTTCATCTCAGAAGCGAAAGCAACAGGTGTTACCAAAACATGTGAGACATATAAAGCGGTAACACCAGGTGGCTCGAGGATCAACGTGATTGACACTCCCGGTATGTTTTTGGTTTAATTTCAGCGAGTCTTATGTTTTGGTCATATTACTATTCTTTGACGGTTATATAGTTTTGTGGATCACGAATGTGTATAGTTCATCAAAGCTGTCACGGTTTGATTTGATATAGGTCTATTCGATTTGTCGGTGTCTGCTGAATTTATCAGTAAAGAAATCATCAATTGCCTTAGGCTGGCGGAAGGAGGATTACATGTTGTAGTGTTAGTTCTATCCGTGAGAACTCGGATTACTCAAGAGGAAGAGAACACACTTAGTACCTTGCTGGTCCTTTTCGGGACTGAAATCCTTGACTATTTGATCGTTCTATTCACCGGCGGTGATGAGTTGGAAGCAAACAATCAAACACTGGACGATTATTTTTATCAAGGTTGCCCCGACTTTCTTAAGGTCCGTTATTTGATAAAGGTGTTTTAGTTTTGGAATATTTGCAACGTTTTTCGGCCTAGTTATGTATAGTTTAAATTTGCATTGTGCAATTTCAGACAGTTCTTGATTTATGTGGCGATAGAAAGGTCATGTTTAATAATATGACTAAGGATAAACGCAAGAAGGTCGAGCAAGTCCAGCAGTTTCTTGCCCTTGTCGCAAAGGTTGAAGAGCACAATGATAGAAAACCGTTTAAAGGGAAAATGTACCGTGAAATAAAGGTGAATATATATGTGGTTGATACAAGGTTTATGTTAATGGCTTTCCGATAAAAAGTAACTGACAATAATGTTTGAATGTACCCTTTATCAGAACGAGACTAAATGGCTTAAAGAACAGAAGAAGGCAGTTGAAGCTAGGAACCTTGGAGAAGCAGAGTTAGCGAAAATGAAGAAGGAGATACAAATGGCATATGACACAAGGATGAGCCAAATGGAAGAGATGGTATATATAAGATATTTTTATTCATAACTCAAGGCCAATCACTATTGATATAGGTTTAACGAGATTTGGCTCTCTTTCAGGTGAAGAATACGCTAAAAGAGACTTCTGCTGTGCATGAGAGAATGTTTTCTATGCTAAATGAGAATCTCGAGAAGGCACAAAGAGAAAACATAGATCTGCGCAAAGAGCATGATCGTGAGCAAAAGAAGCGGATGCTGATTAAGCTTGGTTTTGGAGTACCGGGGGCGGCGCTGGGAGTGATAGGACCGGCGGCGGCGCTTGCATTGTGTAGCATCTTGTGATCAATGTACCCAGTTCAGCCTAGGGTGATAAAAGATTAAGTCAACGTCAATTCATCCAGGAGCTCAAGTCCTGCACGTCGTCCAATCTTCATGTACCCTTTTTTTATGTGTGCTTCTTGTTTACTTTTTCAATTTCTATTTTCTTTATTTCATTGCAACCATCAATGAAAATTTAATGGTCAATGAAGATGTTTTAAACCTTTATCAAGCCTTTCTTTAAAGCGTGAAAATTTAATGCAAACATCAAAGAATATATTATTAGGTGAAAATTTGTTTCGTTGCTTTTTGACAAACCAAGCATGACAAGAACATGCCGTCATCGTTGTCTCTGTATGTCAAAGAAGTGTTTGTTTCATAGCATGAATCAATGAGGATTAAGTAGGCATGCATGGTTGCTAGAAAATGAATCATGCTAGAATGAGTGAATTTTACTAGGTTCTACATTTCTTAATTTGTTGCATACTAATATATCCATTCATAGGATTTGTGATGCGGGATGGTATGGCTAGATGTATGTTTTGAATCATGTGGGTAAAATGGATTATCTTCACTGAGTAAAATGGATGCATGTTTGTTTTCTCAGGAGTAAATATAATTTCCAATTGTATTCAACAAAAAAATTGAAAGTTCTAAAGCCTACAAACCACTTAAAATATTGGGTTATAACTATAAGATGAAGCTTTCAAATTGTAGAACAGTATTAAATTATTGTCAAATGATTATTTTAATATTTGGTTTATATATATATATATATATATATATATATATATATATATATATATCTTATATAATATGAGAAGGTTTTCTTCTAACTTTTCCTACTATTGCGACATTTGGCACTCTCTTTTGGTGACATGTATCCTCTTTCATTTCATTAATGTTTGTTTTAATTTATTTAAAATCCTTAGTTTTAAAAGTTTGTACCTACAATTTAATTCCAAAAAAGATATTTCTCTTATCCTATTGATACATTTGACATGTATTTAAATTGAAATTTGTATCTAATTTGTTTTGCCAAAATTATTATCTACTTAATCACCACTTATTCATCTGATTCAAAATTATGGATCAGTAAAATTTTAACTTCACAAAATATTAGTACATTTTTAAAACTTCTCATAACATTAGTACATTTGGCATCTATTTTTACATTTAATTGTTTTCCTCATTTTTCTATCTTACATAATATTTTCATATCTCCATAAAATACATTTCTAATCTTTTCTAATTTGTCTCTTTTTTTTTTCTTCTTTCCAATCTAACTTTTTTATAAAAAAACATTTATAACACCAATTTATTCTCACCTGTTACAACTCCAAGTTGGAGTATTTATTTACAATTTTTATTACACAATACATTTAATGTATTTATATAGTATAATATAATTTACAGGAATTATTAATGTATTATTAATTTATTATTAAATTATTTAAAACCTCTATAAATTAATATTCTATACATTAATAACCTCTCTAAATTAATAATTTTTTTAGGTTCCGAGTTAGGACCAGTGTAAAATATGACATAAATCGATAAATTAATAAGATAATAATTTTTTTCCGAGTTGGTCCTAACATTATTAATTTATAGAGGTTTTACCGTATATTGTTTTATAAATGTCTCAGTAAATGAAATTCTAACTTATGTAACAGTTAATGTAATTTTAATAAAGAAATATAGTAACGTGCATTATATTAATGTATTGCTCCATGTGTTACGCCTTCTCTCAAAATAAATATTTGCGACGAGTTTTCTTCTCCAGTAACGCTTTTCATGTGGCTTCTAATACCGAAATATATTAGTGTTTTTATTTTTGTTCTGGAATTAGTTACCCAAAGTAAAACCCACAAATGAACTTATTAAAACATATGTAACGTCAAATAACTCTAAATTGATGCATTAGGCTAACAGATAACCACAATAACTCCAATTAATTCAAAACATTAAATCTAATTAATTTTAGAGTGTAAATTAATACTCTAAATATTGACTCCAATTAATCTACTTCTATATATTACCCACATGTGAAGCTAAAAAAACTATTGTAGAGTTTTTGCTTTTTCCGGTCCATTCTTTTATGTTTTATTGACTTTTAGTTGCTTTCTCTTTATTTCAGGCTATCGTCCACATAGTAAAAATATCTACAAAAGTTTTCTCATTTGGTGTTCAAGTTAGGTTTGTGATTTCATATGGTGTTCAAGTTAGGTTCACCAACACCATTAGTTCTACATAAAAGTGTTCTATTTTTTTAGAAGTTCTATTTTTAATTATTTCTCTATTTTTCAACTCACCAATAAGATTTATATACATACATTGAGAAAATTTATATCTATTTTTATGGTCAGTTAAAGTGTAATTATAAATTTAAGTATTTAGATAAATGGCATTACATTATATTTATTAAATTTTTTACTCTTATGATCTATATGTATTCATAAACTTGAAAACCATAAGTTTGTTAAAATATTTATGATATAAATTGAAAAACCATTTATGTAATTATTCTCAACATCACTTATCAAAAAGTTAAGAGTTTGTTTTCAAATTTATGAATACGTAAAGTTGTTTCAAGATGATTTTGTTCTTGAATACGTAAAACTCATGGGATCATGAGTCATTCTTTATTTGATAGTTTATGCCATTCTTTATTTCTTTTACATAATTACTCAACGTTTGAGAGGGATCGACGTTTGAGTTTCATATATCTCGAGTAAATAGTTTTTTTATTTTATTTTTAATATTGTATAACATTTGACTTGATTATGTAATATAGTTTTATTTTTAGTCAATCATACAAATTAAGTAAGAAATAAAGATCAATGAAAGAATATAAAATTTGTATTTATTTTTATCAAAGTTTCCATAAAACCAACCCAATGAAATTCAACCAAAAAATTTAAAATGTTCCACCAAAGGTTTATTTTTAATCTATCCTCATGGGATTTTTGAAAAGAATTATGTTTGCTAAGGGTAATTGCATAGAATATCATAATTGACTAATTCAGTTAAAACCTAACATGCCATTAAAGTATTTAGATAAACGGCATTACATTATATTTATTAAATTTTTGTACTCTTATGAGTTATGACCTATATATATATACAAAGTTTATAAAATGGCATTTTTTTTCAAACAATTCAATATATATATATATATATATATATATCAAAACTGAACTAAATTTTTTTAATATAAACTTTCAAAGATAAATTTTTTATTATATCATCTGAAATCATTTTCCTAAATTAAATATGATTATAATTAAGTGTAACATATATATTTGTTTTTTGTGCATAGGCTAATTCAATTTAACTTAGGTTTGGGCCAGGCCCATTACAAGAGAAACCAGAGACTGTTTTACCAATGAATCGGCATTTGAGTTCTGCAAACGGGGAATGAAACTAAACGAAATAATATCAAAGGTAGAAGATAAATTCAGGATATCGAAAAGAATCCCATGAAGCTCCTTGTGTTGAAGCTCCGATTTTTAAAGCTTTCACTAGCTGTGCTGAGTCGGAAGCGAGAGAGAGATGTGAAAAAACTAGATTAACATATATAAAATATGTTTTTGCACATTTGGACCACCTTGCTACTTTATTAAATTTAATCATTATCACAAATTATTTAAATTTTTCTTTAATTTTTAACATATGTAGATAAAATTTAGCAAAAAAAATAATAAATATGATTATGTTTTACCTTTGATCTCCTAATTTTATTATGGATTATACGGATATAATATCTAAAGCTTATTGTCAAGGGAAAGTCATGAGGTCAGGAAGATCTACCTTCTGATGAGATCCAACGAGGGAAAACGGCCAATATCAACCCCAATTATCAACTCGAACCCACATAAATTTCAAATAACAAACCTGAACTATGTAATCGTTAGCCAATTTTAACATATACCTGTTATTAAATAATGTAACAAACCTGAATTATTTAACCTTTAGCCAATTGAATAAAAGGAATGATTCAGATACAAAAAAAAACAGATAATTACGACTTAACAATTCTAATCGACATTAACAAATACAAAAAAAAACTATGTTGAAATTGGATAACGGTTAGATAGTTTAGGTTTGTTTTTTTTACATTGTATGAGTTCGGGTTGATAAGTTCAGGGGGTCAGAGTTTGGGATGAAAAAGCCGCATAGAAATAGTTGGAGTTGATTTTGGTCGTTTTCCCGATCCAAGGATCATGAATCAACAAACAAGAGACTGTACGATGAGGTATGATATATATATTTCCACAATAAAATATTTTATGTAAATTAAGAAAAAGTAGTGGTATATATTGATGTCATACCATCTTGAATAAAAAAAGAGCAGAATTTATTTTTTAGCAATTCACAAAAATACTTCGAAAATGAACATAAATGTTAATATTTTAAAAAATTCTTTTCAAAAAACTATATTAATAATCGAACGTATTACTTTAATACAAATTTCATTATTATTCAGGATTAATATTAAATATATAACCCACGCATCGCGTGGGCAGCTTTCTAGTATATATATATATATATGTGTTTTTACGAAATCCATTTTTACATTTTATTAAAACAATTGGTTTACATTTTGTTTTGTTTATTTATTTTAAATACCTTTTCACTACTAATCCATTTTGAACCAATACTTATGATAAAATAATGTGTTTATGATAAGTTTATATAGTTGTATTGTATTCGGTAATAGTGATTAGTAGAAGATCAATAATATCCATATGTGAAAAGTGCTACATATTTGAATTTAAGAGTTTCAAGCGTTTCCTAGTATATATAGGTGCAAAGACAAGATCCTTTATTAACAAGTGCATGTGGCACACATATAAAAACATGGAAACAAACATAATTATAGAAAAAGTCCACACAAAAAAAAGAAACCACAAAATCTCACTTTTGACACTGCATTTTAAACGGGAAAAACATAATAACAACATAAAGCAGAATTTTGAAAGAAATAAAAGACAATGGGATTGGAATTTTAAAGAACGAAAACCTCAGGGATTGATCGTCACATAGCAACCCAAAATCACTTTGATACTGATCTTTATTAGGCACAAGACACTGTTCAGAGAATGCTGCACGAGGTTCCAGGTATAGGCGGCATTGGGATTGAACTGTTAGCTTCAACGACTGTTCATCATCAGTTTCCCAGTGCACATTCTTGTCTTTTCCTACCTTGCCTAATGGTTTCTCCAGCGCTTCCAAAGCATCTTTCAGCTTCTTCTCCACCTTAAAAAAAAAGATCAAGAGGTTGCTAAGTATATACTCCCTCCGTTTTTGAATAATTGTCGTTTTAACTATATGCACACAAATTAAGAAACTATTAATGTTGTTAGTTTTCAATATAAAAATATCATTAATTATCTACCTAAACATAATTTAACCAATAGTAAATCAAGTTGCATAATAAAAATAAATATAAAAAATAAAAAAGTAATAAATTTTGCATCGAAAACTGAAAACGACAACTAATTAAAAACAAAAAATTTCTCTAAAACGACAACTATTCGAAAACGGAGAGAGTATATAACAAAGATCATCATTCATTATTAATTTTTTTTTTACCATGTTTGACAGTTGGTTCATATTCTCTTGATACCATTCATGTAACTGATCTTTCTTCATCGATACCATCTCTTTTGGATGGTTTTCCAATTCCAGCATCTTTTCCTGCTCTTGTAGTTTGTCGGTCTTTCTCTGAGATAGTTCATAGATAGGATCATTTATACAAATATCTTCTGAGACAATAAATTTAACTCAAGAGATGCAGTTGCTATATAACATAAATTCTACCTTTATCTCATCGTACATGTCATTGGTATATCCCTCTCCATGTTTGCTCCTTCGGATTTCATCTACCAGGGAGAGAAGCTTACGGACTTGCTCTGCCTTCTTACCTTCATCGCGAGTCTTGTTATCAATCAACACCTTTCGGTTACCAGACATCCTTATAACTCCCTGCATATCAATATATGAGAATCGTAAACCAAAAATTTGGTATTTTAGAAATCACACTGTCAAGAGTACCAACCTTTATGAAGTCAGGGCAATCTCTACCCAAATAATCATCCAATGTCTCATTGCACTCTTCCAGCACATCACCGCCAGTGAAAACGAAGATAACATAATCAAGGATTTTACTCCCAAATAGAGACTGCAAGGCAGTAAGTGTGTTCTCTTCCTCTTGGGTAATTCGAGTCCTTGCAGATAAAACTAGGAGCACAGCATGTATCCCTCCTTTCGCTAGAGTTAGGCATCTAACAATCTCACTGCTTATATTGTTAGCCGAGACCGACAAGTCAAACAGGCCTTACCCACATTAAGCAAACAATACGTATAATTAGCGCTATATATAAAATCAAATGCAATGATACTGCCAAAGCAATCCTAGTAACGATGTACCTGGAGTATCAATCACATTGATGGTGTTACCATATTTTGTCACAAATTCATGTGTCTGACATTTTATGGTAACACCAGTTGCATGTGTCTTTGAATCAAACACCTTTTTTCCAATGAGGCTGTTGCCTGTGGCACTTTTTCCATCTATAAAGGTATTATATTACTTTCGTATGAAATAACTATTCAAGGTACTAAGCGTTAAGAAGGCGGTGATCCAGTGTCTAGTGCATATGACGCCTAATCATAGCCTAGGCAATATTAGGCGGTTTAAACGTTTATAACATTAAACTTTACAAATATGATATTATATATTAAATTTATATAAAATATAAAAATATCAATTATAAAAATAAAAATATAAACTCATAAAAAATATTAGACAAAACCTTTGTTTAATTTATATCAATTATCAAACAATATATGAACGTTTATAACTATTTATATAGAGATAAAACTTAGCTCGAAATTGGATAAATACATTAAAACGAAACTTATGCAATTTTAGGCGATCGTCTAGGCGTTGCGCCTAATCGTGGTTTAGGCGATCGCCTAGAACGCTTTTTAAAAGTTAGTTTCATTAATTTTTCTCTTTATGCTTAATTTGTTTTTCCCAATAGCCACCGATCATTTTTCATACAGTATAGTGAAACTTAAACAAAGATACCTTCTAATTAGGGATGAAAGGTGAATTTATAAGTCTTCTTTTTTTTTGAGCAAAGGTGAATTTAGAAGTCAAGTTATCGAAAATTTGTTTTAAGAAAATTATAATTGAGTCAAACAAAAACCAAAAAGCCAAAAAAAATAAAAAAAATACTCATGGAAAAATAAAATAATTGGGTGGCAGACATTGTATGTGAGACGAGATCCCTTGTATAATTTTTTTTCTTTAAAAAAAAAAAAGACTTTAAATTGTTCTATTTAAAGTTGAAAACTAGCTTTGTGATTAACAACTTCTGCCTAGCATCTGCTCAAAGCTTGGTAAGAGCGCCATTTTCACACCTTTTTTTTTTTTTTTTTGCAATTTTTCATCGATCAACTTATATGGTTTTACATAGTCCATACTTGAATTTAAAAGCTCTCTAAGCTTTCTCTTGTATATTTAGAAAGTAATATAGGAGTATTAGATTCGTTCGTATCAGGATTAGTAATCGCATACGTTCACAAGCTTAATTAACGCTTCCTTTGATCCATATGTTTATAGCTTCCTTTTCTCGTAAGTATACATCAAAGCTTTTCAACGTTGTTAGTTTGATCGATTAGCTGATAATTGACATTTTTGACGTAAAAAATGAAGGGTCGAAGGAAATTTCCCCAGATGGTCATCATTAACGATCATGATGCGGCAGCTCCAGCGAAAGAAGCTGATAAGAATGAATATGCGGCAGCACAGGAACATATGATCGAAAACATAGTCTTAGTTGGGCGTACAGGGAATGGAAAAAGCGCCACTGGGAACAGCATCATCAAACAAAAGGTGTTCGACTCGAAAACAAGGGCAGGAGGTGTTACTATGAAATGCCGCTCAGTAAGAGCAGTGACACCAGAAGGCCCAATACTTAATGTGATTGACACTCCTGGTACGTTGTGTCATTTAATTTGCATATTTTAGTTTTCATATGTAAACAATTTATTAATGTGGACTGTGGTGGGTTGCAGGTTTATTTGATTTGTCCGTGTCGTCTGAATTTATTGCTGAAGAGATCGTTAAATGCCTAACTCTAGCGGAAAAAGGGCTACATGCTGTGCTCTAAGTTTTATCAGTGACGACGAATCGAATTACAGAAGAGGAAGAGAAGGTACTTTGTACCTTGCAGCTTATTTTTGGGAGTAAAATTGTTGATTACCTTGTCGTTGTTTTCACGGGGGGAGATGTGTTAGAAGAAGATGGTTTGACATTGGATGAATATTTGGGTAATGATTTACCGGACTTCTTAAAGGTTAGTGATTTGATCACACTTTTTTTATGAACTCTATGGAAACAAATGTTTTTAGCTTAATTAATAGAACTTATGAATTGCATTTCTGTGGTTTCAGAGAGTTCTCAAATTGTGTGGCAAACGAATGATCGTGTTTGATAACAAAACCAAGGACGAGGCCCGAAAGACAAAGCAAATCCGCGAGCTTCTTAAGCTTACCGACCAAGTCAGAAAGCAGAACCACAATATTCCGTATACCAATGAGATGTACCATAAGATAAAGGTTAAATATTTAATTTCCCTCTCTTTTTAATTCCATTTGCATCCATCACTAGCGTGCTTTGATTGCCGAAACCAAATGGTCTCCCTCGTCAGGAAGAAAATGATAGGCACAAGAAACAACAAGAAAAGCTTAAATCAGAAACGCATTCAGAAGAACGACTCGAAGCATTGATGAAGGACTTACAGCTAAGGAATGAAATGAACCTCAAGGCAATGGCAGAGATGGTATAAACTCCTCTTATTCATTCACACTTCAAAAACACACATAAGTGTGTTGAAGTGGACATTAACGAGATCTGTTTTCTGTTTTGTTCCTCAGATGGGAACAAATTTAAAAATTGCTATGGATGCGCAGGAGAAGCTCTTTGAACAAAGAGAAAAATTGCAGGAGAAGGGCTACCTCGAAAAATTGGATATGCAAGAAAAGTTTCAAAAGATGCAAGAATGCTGCATTCTCTGATCACTCACTGTGCGCTCTTCCACCCCACCCCCCACCCCTCCTTTTGCGCCTTCATGCGTGTTCTGAGTCTGTTTTTGGTTATGTGTTTCAGTTTCATTTCCTTTATTTCCCTAAATTGATTTGGCCATTCGTAGCCTAATCTTTGTTTGATTTGTTTCTTGTTTGCAATATATACAATAAGTATGTGTGTATATGCTTTGTGAGACGACACGTTTTTATTTGATTTAATAAAGAGTCGAGAAAGAGTTTTTTCTCAGTGAAAACTTTGATTTAGTGTCCAATTTTGTTTTCTTGCATTTTTGAAGATCAAGAGAATCTTCGTGGTATCTTGGTTGCGCATGTTTTGGAATCATTTCATTTGCATTTGACGAGATATATATAGAGCCAAGAATGGGTTTAGGGAGAAGAGCACCAGATCAAGAAACTTATCTAGAAAGGAGGCGAGGAAGCCAGTTTCATCTAGCCTTGAGTAAACCTTGGAATGATACGGTAGGAGTTACAAAAGCTCGCAAGGAGTGAACATCAACCAAAGGGAATGAGGAAGAAAGCTTTCAAGTGTACAGGTTTGGCATGCAAGAAAATCTTCACTGCTTCTAAGAGCATGTGCAATGGGGAAAACCTTTATTATTCTGTCAAATATATTATTTTAATAATTTTTTTATAATTTATTTTTCTTATTTAAAATTTAATTATAAATCAAACTCATAACCAATTATTTTGAGACATGTGTTAAATGAGTCTCTACAAAGGTTCTCAAAGTCTCTCAAATGAAAAATTCAATTTATTCTTTTTTTATATTTTTATTGTTTTATATATTTTTATGAGTGAGAGATTTAATGAGAGACTCCCACTAAACATGCTTTAACACGGGTATGATTTAATCAGTTGACTAAGCGCCTCCCAACTGGGGCCAATTTATCCTGCCAACCAAGCTAAAGTTGTTTCTAGACCAGCTTTCATGCTTGGTTGAGTTACTGGGCTGGCTAGAATATTTTAAACATGTACATCTTTCTTATTTAAAGAAGTTTTAAATAATTTTAACCAAAGTTTTTAGATATACTAGCGATGCAGATATTTGAATTTAGTCGACACATGAAAAAAAAGAAAAAAAGAGACTATACTCTATCCGAAAAGAAACCAATTCAACCCAAATTTCTATCTTAAAAGGTCCTCAAAATTTGAGGCCCGAATCCATGGTTTCAGTAGTTTGTCCTCTGGACCAGACCTGGTGCGGAGGTTGGTGGAGCAACGCTTGTCCACTTACTCATTTGAATCGTTAGACATATCCCTTGAAATTTATATTTTTCTTGGACATTTTGCTTGTAAGCTTTTGTTGTGTAATTGGATTGTCCTATTAGACTTGTTCAATTTCGTCAATAAAATTCAGTCTACAAAAAAAATATAAGATAATATAGAGGTTATCTACCTAATTCATCCTGGTATCATTTTCGCCACTATATGTAAATTTCCGTTTTTTCAAGACTAAGTTCTTAATTCAGAATTGAAAACCAAATAAAGTTCCACCAAAGAAAAAACAAAAGAATGAAATTTGTCACGACAGTCGAGGAGAATAAGGATGGGAAATATACATATGCATAAGTCTTTGATGATAAAACTTGAAAAAACCATATGAAACCCTTATCAAATGAAGCTTTCTTGATATTTCAGCATCAAAGATTGATGCACTTTCCCAGTTTTTTCTGGAGCTCCTTTGTCTCTTTTTCAGCCCTCTCCAGATTCTCTCTGAGCTTCTTAATCTCATCGCTCGACCGTTTCTGAACTTCGTTTACCTTCTTTTCCGCTTCAATTCTTGCGGCTTGCTCTTCACCCAGTTGCTGCTCCAGCCTCTTTGCTGTTTCTCTCAGCTTTGTCTCCACCTGAACAGCAACAAGAAAGCAGAAAGCTTATAAAGTTATGATTTAATCAATGTATACGAAAAAGCTTTTGATCCTAAACATTAACAACACAACAGCTTGCTAAACTAGACACCCTAACCATTAACTAAACAATGTATATACATAAGTCTAAGCACATGAATTTTAGAATTTTCCTAGCATTAACCCTTTTTCTAAAGATCAGAAATCAGAACTGTAAAAAAGATTGGTAAATATAAATTTACCATCTCTGTGATACGGCTAAGCTGCCGGTCATAAGACATATCAATCTGCTTCTTGAACTCAGATATCTCATTATTCGAGTAACCCTTCAACGCTTCAACCTCCTTTTTCTGACCCCTTAACTTAATAGCCTCTTCCTGAAAACGCAATCACAGTTAGGATTCTCTGCTTCAAAACAGAATAACTCAAAAAGCGAAAGCAACAATTTCACCTGTAGCTCATGGAACAACTCATCTGTATACGGTTTTCCATTGTTCCGTTTGACAATGGATTCAACAAGTGAAAGAAGCTTCTGAACTTGCTCAACTTTCTTCACCTTATCAGTAGTCTTGTTATTAAACAAGACCACCCGATTGTCACATATCCCAAGAATTTCCTACAAGCCACACCAATTCAAATATACCTAAGTAAGCTGAAAAAAAAATCCTTCTTCTCAAGAAAATAGCCAAAGTCGCTTACTTTCAGAAACTCAGGGCAAAAGTCAGCCAAATACTCCTCCAATGTCTCCTCATTCTCTTCCAACTCATCCCCACCGGTAAAAACAACGATCATATAATCAGCGATTTTACTGCCGAATAGCGCTTGCAAGAAACTAAGAATAGTTTGCTCCTCTTCAGCAAGCCGCCTCACAGAGAATACCAACAATATTGCATGAATCCCATCTTCTGCCAAACTTATACACCTCACAATTTCTTTCCCGATAAAATCGGCTGCAGTGGACAAATCAAACAAACCTATACCAAAAAATTCACCAGGTTAACAACTTAACATCAAATTCAAGAAAGTAAATCAATTTAGACTTCCAAATCCAATTGGGGAGCGAGCTTACCAGGAGTATCAACAACGTTAATGATATCACCATCTTCTTGAACAACTCTTTGTGACTCGCAGGTGCTCGTCACTCCTACAGTTCTAGCTCTTGACCTAAAAGCTTTCCTTCCAAGGATACTGTTCCCTGTCGCACTCTTTCCGTTACCAGTACGGCCAACAAGAACTAGGGTTCGTTTAGGGTTTGACGATGCCGCAAATTCCCAATCATCTTCCAACATGTCTCCACCCATCTTCAACAAACTCATAAACACTTATCTGAAAAATCAGTTAAAGGGTCACGTAAAGTTCCAATCTTTGACAGATAAATCACAAAATCGAAGTAAAAACAAACAAAAACAGTGACGATCGCAAGAACTTTACACGCACCAAACGCTCAAGTTTCCGATCGAATATTACTTACTTGTTAAGAAGAATTAAACAACAAAAACAGAGCAAAACAGAACCAGAAGAATCAAACCTAACCACAGAATCAACAGATCAGAAAGCAATCGAGTAAATAAGATAGAGACGAAAGAAGATTACTTGCTTATAAAGCGGAGAAGCTAAAGCGACAATCTTTAGCAAAATATCTTTTTTGGACTCAATTTATACGGAATCAGTAAAACCTGACAAGACCAGAAGTCTCTGCGAAACAAACTCGTAGTTATCACCTGCGACGCGGACCAGCTACTAGAACGATTATACACCGTACGATGTATTCATCCTACGGTCTAGATGAAAAGACTCCGGGCAGCACAATAACAAGTCCATTAAGGCCCAATATTGGCCCATATAGATTAAAAAGTCCACGTAGACCGAAGATTGATTTGTCTTCGGGTTCGAAATTTTCTTCTTATTTTTTTTTTCTTTTTCCAGAGGAAAGGGAAGAGAGGAAACAAAAATTAGGGCAAAATTGCGTCTTGATGTGTTTCACTTTTCTTCTTCGTGTTTGATTTGCGACTTTCTCTAAGGAAAATTTAGGGTTTTGAATAATTCTTGATGAAGGAACCTTTGCAGAAGAAGAAGGTGGTTGTTCGTCACTTGCCGCCTTCTCTTTCACAGTCCGATCTCTTATCTCAAATTGATCCTCGTTTCGCTGATCGTTACAATTGGGTTTCGTTTCGTCCTGGGAAGTCCAGGTTAGGGTTTCTTTCTTCTCGATTCTCGTTTGGTCTTGAATTTGGTATTTGGGTTTTTTAGGAATGTTGCTGAATTTTAGGGTTTCGATTTTTGTAATTGAGGAAGATTATTTGTTATTGTGTTTGATTATGTTTGAGATTCTTGTTAGTTAGTTGAATTTAGTGAAATTGTACTTAGTATTGAGTTTTCGTGATGTGTATGTGTGTTTGTTTTTGTGGTTTCTTCAGCTATAAAAATCAGAAGTATTCACGGGCCTACTTAAGTTTCAAGGCACCAGAAGATGTTTATGAGTTCGCTGCATTTTTCAACGGGCATGTGTTTGTTAATGAAAAGGGTATTTGACTTTTTAATCTGTCTTTGTCTGATGATTTGCATGTGTTTTTAGTAGTGTGTGTGTATTTGGGGATGTGATTTTTGTGGTTTCTTTTGGTTTAGGTGCTCAGTTTAAGGCTGTAGTTGAATATGCGCCTTCTCAGCGTGTGCCGAAACCGTTTGATAAGAAAGATCCTCGTGAAGGGACTATTAGTAAGGATCCTGATTATCTGGAGTTCCTTAAGGTTATTGCTCAACCTGTTGAGAATCTCCCTAGTGCTGAAATCCAGTTGGAAAGAAGAGAAGCTGAGCAGTCTGGTTCGTGTTTCGTATTTCAATCATCTAATGAATGAATCGAAATTACTAACGACAAAATCACTTTTTAGGTGCTTCAAAAGCGGCTCCCATTGTTACCCCTCTTATGGAATTCATACGTCAAAAACGTGCTACTGTGATGGGATCCCAGGTACATTATGCTTACGTTTTTACTTTTTCACTTAGTCTACCTATTGCAATATCAGAGTTTTCTTGGTATGGATATCTTTGTAGTTTATCCATTCGAAAATGGAACTTCTATTGTTGATCTCTCGTTTCTGTTCAAGCAACAGGGTTTATCAGATGTTCGAAGAGGAGGTAGAAGAGCCAGAGTAGTCTCTGCAAACAAGCCGAGTTCAAGGCCCTCAAAACGAAACTCTGAAAAGAAAAAGGTGTTTCTCTCACTATTTAGTGTAGTCTGCCATTTTACTCGACTGTTACCTTCTTATGGAGAATTATTTTGTGTCCATTTTAAATCTTTTACTTTTCATATTAGTATGTGGAAAAAGACAGTTCAAAGAACGTGCCTCGGAAGACTGCAGCAGACGTCAGCAGCTCTAAGCCAGATTATCGTCAGTCAAATTCAAGTGGAAATGAAACTGGTAATAAATCAACAGCTGTAGTTATTCCTAACTAGCTAATCACCTGATTTTAAAAGGCCACTTTTAACTCTCTGTCTCTATGCTACTCAATTGCAGCCCCTGTCATCGATAGCTCTCTCCCAGGGATCGCATTGACTATGGATTCTGGGAAGAAAAAGATTTTGCTCCTGAAGTCAAAAGACCGAGACAATCCTGATGTAAGATTTTTTGTTGTTTAAGAAAGTTGTGCAGACTGTCTTGTATTTTGATAGAGTTGTAAACAGAATTATAAGCCATGTAAAATTTCTCTTTCGTTAATGGTATTTTAGAACCCTCCACAACAACCGGAACAGCATATTGAAACTATTCTTTCTGGAAACTCCACGGCTTCAAGACAGAATCAGAAGAGTGATGTTGGTGGGAGATTGATCAAGGGAATACTTCTGAAAAGTGACTCACGACCGAGCCAGTCTTCCACTTTTGTCCAGCCTGAGCAAAGAGTGGAACCCTCAGAAGCTGAAAACTACAAACGACCTCCTCGGCCAGCCAACACTCGAGCAGGTTATAAAGCAATAGGATTTAAGTCAAAATGTTTGCTTCCCAAATTGGGCTGATAATTCAAATAGATGGTCCATGTGCAGGGAAAGATTACCATGCTTCTGGTACCATCAGTGAGAAGCAAGAGAGACGTACAAGAAACAAGGACAGACCTGATCGTGTTGTGTGGGCTCCTCTTCGTCGTGATGGCTCCAATATCAGTGAGGATCAACCACTATCTTCAGCAGGTTCTGTTTCTGTTGCTGACCATTAATTAAGTAATTAGTTTCATTTTCATGGTTGTGTCTCCTCCATGACATCTCAACTCTTCTTGTATATGTTCTTACAGGAAACAATGGAGAAGTGAAAGACAGGATGTTCTCTCAAAGATCTGGAGAAGTGGTGAACTCCTCTGGTGGTCACACTCTTGAGAATGGTTAGTTCATTTGATTGGAGAATGCATAATGTGCCTTGTGTCATTATTAATAAAGAAAAGTGATGTTGGTTCTGCCAAAACTTTTGACTTTATCCAGGTTCTGCCAGACATTCTAGTCGTCGTGTTGGAGGTCGCAATAGAAAAGAAGAGGTGATGACTGGTGAGGGTAAAACCTCCCGGAGAGGAGGAGGTGGTGGTGGTCCCAATTCACAAGAGGCAAGCCAAACCAAAGCCTTTTTTACTACACCTTAATGTCCTCTTATAACCATGTTTGGAAGATTCATTTTTACTGTGTTGCAGAAGCAAATGTGGATTCAAAAACCATCATCGGGTACTTGATATATTACATAACATTGTGGTAAGCTTCTATTACTCTCAGCATTGAACATCAGTTTGTTTTCTTCTTCTTGAACTATTGGATGGGTTTGTCAACACAGTTTTATGATTGTTCTGACCTTTCAGGCTAAATATATGAGCCATTCCAATGGATTTTGTCCTTCCAACGGGAATCTATAGATCTCAATCGAAATGGGGAGTAACACTATCAACATCACTCGGGTTTTGGAGACTTTTGGTCCAATGTCGTAAGTCGTAGTATTGCACATAAAAGAGGCCGTTCTAAAAGTAGGAATCAGCTCAAGATTTATGAGAGAGAGACAAGAAAAGACTCGTTTGCGGTTCACGGTACCTGCATCCCCCCTTTTGGCTTGTGCGGTGTTACAGACAAATGGGTGAGAAGTGAGAACTTACTCCTACGTCTGAGTAATGAAAATAAAGTCAAGTGTATAGGGAGCGGGAAATACAGTGTGTCGGGTTTATTTTGGGTTCCTGAGAGGCCTTAGAACGTGATTGCACGATTTTAACCATATAATAGTTTGATTACTGTGAAGTTAATTTCTTGCTAAGTAATAGTTTCTTGTGGAAGTTGGTTTATTTCATCTGATTAAGCCACCTAAAGAATGGTTTGTTTACTTGTCACCAACAGACAACAAGATATCTGGAGACTTTAATTTTCTTCTGAAATCTCTGTGACTCTGTCCATCGATTCACAGTGGTTATCACTTGTCACCTTTATCTCTTCTACCAAAAGTAAAGTTAAAAGTCCCCAACTAACTTTGTCTTTTAGTCTGCACCCTGTTCTAAAAATCTCCGCCTAGGCCCGATTACTTCCCGCTTAATCGCTAGGCCCACCCTATCCGCCTCGATTAATGACTAATCTCCTAAAAAAATCAGTTACCCGATTATTCTCCGCCTAATCCGATTACTTTCCGCCTAATCCGATTACTCTCCGCCTAATTTTACATATCTCGATTATTTTTAGATTGCAAGTATAAAAAACTTTTTATTTTTGTTATTCAATCATTTAAATTGGGAGTTTGTGATATTTTACAATAACTTATGTTCAAATTTTAATAAAAATCATAAATTTGTAATAAAAATCATAAAAATTTATCTCAAAAATACAGTTTTATATGTTTACTGCAATTTTGAAAATAATATTTGATTAATATGTTTTAAAAATATTAAAATAATTCTAAAACTAATCCCCGATTAATCCCCGATTTAAATCCGATTTTCCGATTAATCGCTAGGCCCATACCTAGCGCCCGACTAGCGCATAGCGATTTTTCAAACAAGGGTCTGCACCAAGCCACCAAATCCAATATAATGCAAATAAATTTTTGTTGCTAGGTTATTGAGCATATTCAAAATTTATTTTAGGTTAGATTTCTTTTGTATTTTGTGGCATTTTGGGTTAGTTTTCAAATATTTGATCACGAAATTGGTTATGTCAGCCTCTTATATCGAGATTCAAACACAAGGATAATCTAATGATTGCCTCATCCAACTTATTCAAAGACTCATTGATATGAAAATATCTAAGTCAGTCTTCTCCCGAAAAATCTCATTCTGGACTCATCCCTTTTGGAACTCCATATAGCAGTCCATATCCATGCACCCGATTATTTTCTCAACAATCTATACACCGTTGTGCTTAAAGAGCTCAAAGGGTTGCAATGGAACGACAAGTGTTTTTGTGGTTAACTACACATGTGTTTTTGTGATGATTCCAAACAATTGCTCGAGAAAGTTTACAATGCCCAAGTATTTTAAGACATAAACCTTGTAGCTTATGATACAATTTCACCTTTCATATACTCTAAATGCTTCTTCTTTTTTCATTTTCATATACAATTTCACCTTTCATATACGACTTTGAGGGTTTTTTTGCACAAAACCCTTTTATTTTGTACATAATGGTGAAAATAGAAAGACTGATGTCTTAAACTTAAAGTATCCCCAACTTGTAACAAAGTAACAAATGAAATACATGTCACATGTGATATTTATATACAGACTACAATGAAATCAAGTATGTTGACTAAGAAATGTCAAAAATTTTAGAAATTCTCACCAAAATCATAAGATAGTAAAATAATGTTAACAGTCTCAGGAAGCAACAGTGTGAATACATATCTTACAAGAGATTGAGGAAATCTCTTACAAATCTACAACCTCAACTAACTTTGTCCAAATCTGTCTCTATCCTCTGTTTTATTTTTTCTTCCGGTGGTACAAAATTCACATTGAACTGTTTATATCACAATTAATGACCGATTGCTTCTTCACCTACTCTCTCTCTCTCTCTTTGGAAGTAGTAACAAGCCTATATGCTGATCCCATCTAGGGCCAATTCTCTATTCTTTAAAAACTTTGACTTTCTCGAAAAACTTCCATTTTCTTGAGAAGTTCCCTTCTGGGTTCTTGATTTGGAAAAATGGGTAACAAGATAATCTCAATGATGAAGAAAGATAGCAAAGATGGAGGAGGAGGATCTAAGAGCAAGAGAATGAATCGGTCACAAAGGAAATTACTTGCTGATGAAGAGATGTTGCATCGTCGAGCTTTGTCCATGGCTATTCATCAAGCTCAGCTTTCTCAGAGATTTGATGGATCTATGTCTAGACGAGTCGGGTCTACTAGTACTAGGAAACGAACTCTCTCTGACCCGTTTTCTAATGGCAAGCAGGTAAGTCACTACTGATTCTAAAAGTTTCAATCTTTTTCTTGAAAAGTTCAAAGCTTTCATTTTTATATGATTTAATGATTGTTTCGACTGAGTCTTCGCCTTTTTGCTGGTTTTAATGATTGTTTGGGAACTTTTTCTATATTTTGGTTACTATAAAAGTGGAGGAATAGAAGATTCTTTGTTAAAATTAGAAAAGAGATGTGAAAAATGTTAACTTTATCATGAAAAGAAATGTTCTTCAGTCTGATACTGACACTGTGTTGGGACCAGATGAGCTATAAAACTATTGAGTGTCTGTCTTTAGCCATCCCCATAACATTACAACAGAAGTACTGATAAACTTTTTTTGTCTCTCCTCTTGTGTCTTTATAAGCTAGTCATTACATTACAGTTTAAGCTGCTACTGATTGTAACTAAAGTGGCTTACTATGAAAGAATTGAAGTTGCATCACTTTGTTGGATAGTGGATCGTCTTTGCTGATTGTTTGTTCCTGTCACACCTTGTCTTTGATATATAGATTGATAGACTAGCTTTCAGATGTTAGAGCAATGAATCTATGTTCCTTCTTCAGGTACCTGATTTTTCAGAGAGCTTGATGGTGAAGAAATTTGTTTTGGTGCACGGTGAAGGGTTTGGGGCATGGTGTTGGTACAAGATGGTTGCTTCATTGGAAGAGTCAGGACTGTCTCCGACTACAGTTGACCTCACTGGGTGTGGATTTAATATGACGGACACAAACAGTGTCTCTACCTTGGAGGAATATTCAAGACCGTTGATCGAGCTCCTCGAAAATCTCCCTGAAGAAGAGAAGGTAGTAAGAATTTGCTCTTTGTTTGGAGGAATGTTCAAAACCATTTGACTGGAGGAATGAGGCAATGAGATACGAGTTTGTTGTTTTATGCAGGTTATTCTAGTGGGTCATAGTACTGGAGGTGCTTCCATTTCATATGCGTTAGAGCGGTTTCCAGAGAAAATCTCAAAAGCTATATTTGTATGTGCAACCATGGTTTCTGATGGCCAAAGACCCTTTGATGTTTTCTCTGAAGAGGTAATAAACACTCTTTGAGTTCATATCTGTCATGCATTAGAGAAAACCGTGATGTAGTCTTTGTACTTTGTGCTCACATTTGTGAGAAACTGTCTACACTGCTGCAGCTTGGTTCCGCAGAGCGGTTCATGAAAGAGTCGCAGTTCTTGATCTACGGGAACGGAAAAGACAAGCCTCCTACGGGGTTTATGTTTGAGAAACCACACATGAAAGGCTTGTATTTCAATCAATCACCCAACAAGGTACACTCCAAAACTCTAATTCTTGAATTGTGCATTTGCATTTGGTAATCACTGACTGATTCTTGAATAGTCATCAGCAAAACTCTGCAACTTTTTAAAGTGATTTGGTTTATGTTTTTGCAGGATATAGCATTGGCAATGATCTCAATGCGGCCTGTACCACTCGGACCAATGATGGAGAAGCTATCTCTGACCGCAGAAAGATACGGGAAAGGGAGAAGATTCTATGTCCAGACACTAGATGACCGTGCGCTCTCACCAGATGTTCAAGAGAAGGTAGTGAGAGAGAACAGCCCTGAAGGAGTCTTCAAGATCAAAGGAAGTGATCATTGTCCTTTCTTCTCAAAGCCTCAATCTCTCCACAAAATTCTTCTCGAGATTGCACAGATTCCTTAACAAAGATCAGAGATTCTTTGGAGGAGAGAATACTGATTATACTTTTTAAACGAGAATACACTTTTATTTAATCCTCAAAACATCTTTTGTATGCAATTCTAGAATCGATACAAGATCGTATTTATACCATTTGAAGATAAAGTGATTGAATACACAAATGGCCCTGTATTTAAAAATCTTAGAGATACATATACAGGAAGAACAATAAACAAGAAGAGGAATCGGAGACAAGAGAGATGGGGTCTGTCTATATATAACAACAACACTCTTATTATTCCAAGTCTACAATGCCGAAATTCGAGAGAAGGATCTTAACTTGATCAACAAGGTCTGATCCTGTTGCATACTCTGTGAGCATCCCGACCGCGAAACCAAACATAGCCCACCTGCAAACAAACACACAGAGATATCTCATGTCTAGGCAGTACCAACTAATTCTTATAACAACCACAATTCTTGTGTGTGCATTATTAAGAACTAGATACATTCAAACATCGATAATTATAAGCAGCAGATGCGATTGAGTGTTTTGTCTACCTAAGACAAATGCACAGGCAAAATTGGGTAAAAACATTCAAGACAGATCTTATTAAGTGTGAAACTTTAGACAAAGAAACATCAATGACCAGTAAATTGTTTTAAGAACCAAAGCTACCCACAAATGCAATTGAGATCAGGTCTTGAAGTGGCAATAACAACTTTCGCAAAAGTAATGAATCATATAGCATCAAGATGCATATAAGTTTATGAAGAAACACTAAACACAAGCAAACCCGCAAAACAATTAGGACCCATCAATCAAATTCAAGAATTGAGATCATAGCTTAAGTAAAGGAAGTACCTTCCATTGGAAATCTCATTTTTGGGTTGGAAACCAAAAAAAGGACCTTGACCAGCAGCTTCAAGCTTCTTCTGTTTAAAGTACTCTTGAAGCTCCTTAGCCTTCTGTCTCTGAAACTCCACCGTAGTTACACTCTTCCCATCAACAGCCACAGCTTTCTGCGGCGGTGGAGGAGGAGGAGGAGCGGAAGACGGCTGCGATGGAGGGACAGGTATTTGCGGCTCCCGGAGAGTAGGAGGAGCCGATGGCCTTCTTAAGGGACCTTCGGTTTGCGAACATCTGATGATGAATACACATGGCTTAGTCGTCGTTGAGAATCTAAAAGACGACGAAGCTGTTGAGGAACAAGATGATGATGAAGAAGATGATGGATTTAGAATCCTGATACATTGAATCGGTGAAGCTACTGACATTTTTTTGTTAGTTGAATTGTCTGATTTTCGAAGCTTTGGTTCTGTCTTTTGGTAATGTCTTTGTGGATGTGATTTGGCCAAGTCTGAAGCTTAAACGCAAATGGTACTTTTGGAATCATCCCACGCGCGTGGATGGCGCGTGAAGATAGTTTAACAATAGTTTGACTTGAAGCTAAAACAAAACTAAGGAATGATGATTGAGAATTTTTTTTGGTAATTAAACTTGAAATTTCGAAGAATTGAGATTGAATTATTTAAATTCTTTGTAATACCGAACCGAAAGGAGACGATTTTTTCGGTTATCGGTTAACCAAATTATTTCTAGAGGGTTATCGAAAAGAAATTCGGTTCGGTTTGCTTTGCTTTGGTTCTCGGGTAATTTCGGTCTTGATTTTTTTTTTGTTGAATTTCGGGTAATTTCGGTCTTGAATTTGGGTATAAACCGGTCTAATTTTGGTATAGTCTAGTTATTTTAAAAAGAACAATTACCCGAGAAACCAATCGTTTTAACCGGAACCAAACCGAAAGTTTTGGATAACCGAACCCAAATTGAAATCATTCCAATTGGTTTTGCCGAGAGAACTAAAACCAAACCAAAAACCAAAAATCTCGGTTCGATTCAAAACCCCGGCTTTGCCGTGAGAACTAATATCAAACCAAAAACCAAAAACCAAAAACCAAAAATCTTGGTTCGGTTCAAAATCCCAACCCAAATATTTTAAATGGATTTTCTTTTCTAAAAGTTGTGGTGTGGATTTTATCATTACAGGACAGGGCAGCATAGAGAGATGATGTACATAGAATAATCTAAAATACAGCACAAAATTGACAAATCAAGTGGCTACAAAAGTACACATCCAAAAGTTGCTCTTCTTATCCAATCTTTTGCAAATCCTCTCTTCTCTCTTTATATATATAATAACAAAAGTGCACATGATAAGAGAGCAGCTGCATCAACAATATGGAAAGCCTTTTGTTTTCTGCAACCAATCTTTAACTTCCAATGGGTCACATGATTGTGCACATACAGCTTTTTCCACTTCCATGATGAAACTCATCGTCTGATTCATCAACTTCACTGCAAATTCAATCAGATCACACTGTTTTTGACAAGTTCACCAAAAAAATGGAATCGTAAAAGAAGCAATGATGATACTTGGTATGACAAAGAGAAACGAAAGACGAAAACGCGAATGATTGCACAACTACATCACAATTTCTTAAGAACTAAAAACCATTGTGTCAAGAGAATAGATATCACTAGTCTACTAAAGAAAGTTATGAGTAGTATCTATTCAAGAATGAGCTAAAGACTTTTTGGGTCTATTAAACTATTGCTTATTCATGATCTAGAGTGTTATTACTAGTAAATCTCAAACTATGAGCTTAAGTTTACATGGAAGATTGCGGTAAGATCATGATAAAAAGATATTCCCAAAACCATTTTAAGCAGACAGGGAGGGATCAAGCTACTTTTCTTTCCTATGAGATGTACCTGCATTTTTGGAGTTCTTCCCTACTCTACTCTAACATACGCGAAAACCGACATCTAGTAGCTACACATGCAAAGATTGATCAAACCGAATCTAATATCATAAGAGAAAGAGCTCCATACCTAGGCTCAAATTCTCTGACCTCAGCAATCTCAATACCACATGTATCAGGCCATTGCACTTTCCTTCTATCTGTATGATCCACCACACCATCTCTACTCACATCATCATCACCAATCACAACATCGCTAAAAGACCGTTTCTTCAAGCTGCTTTTAAGTGCAAACCTATTAGTAACTTCAACATTATAGTCCACACTCGGTGCATCATCCTTTTTCCCCTCGCGATAAACCGAAGAGTTAGAAGGGCTGACTCGAATATCAGATGGACTTTCCAGTCTCTCGGATTTTCGACCAAAACATATAAGAGAAGTGCAGGCAGAAGAGAGCCAATTCTTAGACGAATCTAACCGAAACCCGGTATCAGATTCTTCAACAACCAAATGATAATGGTTCCATTGTGATGATGATACCTTAATAGGTTTTTGTTCATTCTTTTGACCTAATAGAAGAAGCGCTAAACCATTGCTATAACCAGAAGCTGATGAAGAGAAGAATCCTCCTCCTTCTGCTGCAAATAACATTTCCAATAATGTCTCATTTGCACATTCCAACAACAGTTTTTTTTGTACACACACTTCAAATCCCTAAACCAAAGTTCATAAATCAAAATCGTTAGTCGAATCATAGTTATGTAATTCGACTAAAAACCCAGAAAACAGGAAAAAGGAAGAGGCTTGATTTAGAATCAGAAACTAAATCTACGACAAGTTCAACATAATGCTGTGATTCATCTTCAGATTTAGAAAGGAAAGTAATGTTTTTTTGAGATTGGGTAATCAAATGGGGAAGAAACGAGGATGGTGAAGATTCACCGGATGGATCTGAGAGACGTACCGGAGAGAATGCCGGCGGGAGCGTAGAGAGAGTAACGGCGAGACAGATAGAGAGAGAGAGAGAGATTTGAAAAATTGATGGGCTTTGTTGGGTTGGTTTACTTTGTGATGGAAAAAGCAAAGCACATATAATAATCTTTTATTTTTACATATAATAATATTACATTTTTACAGTTTTTTAATATAATATTAAAATTTTAGTGTGGTTTAGTCTTTATATAATCTTTGGCACAAATATGAGCTTATCACAATGATTCAAAGGGACCAGATCAGTTCTTATGGGGACATGCATATATGATTTCAGGCCACAATTCTTGACTCTACGTACATATGTGGGATCAAATTAGAAAACACTTTTCCTCGGTTTCTTGGAGCAAAGTGGTGGTTTGGCCAAAAGATGAAGTGTGGTTTTCTTTTTTTTTTACTTGGTTAACGATGCATAATCGACTATCGACGAAAACTCGAATGTGTGGTTAGGGATAAATTCAAACATGTGTTTTCTGCGATGAATCGGATGTATGCAGAGATCATCTTTTTTTGTCTGTCTATTTTCTTTCACTGTTTGGTCGGCGGTAGCTGGGTCTCTTCTCCGAAACCATCATGATCGAGATTGGGGAGAAACATTAAAAAGGCTAATCATAAGCACTGGTAATCAACAACATGACATTATTTTCACCTCTGGTTTCAAACGACAATCTATCTCATATGGTGCTATAATTCACTGGAACGGATTCGATCATCGGTTACTCAACATAATAGCAAATTGACAAGCTAATCCGTAATCGATATCTTATCTCGATTGCACGATATTCTCGTAATCTACTCCAGAAATGGTTTGCAGCATCACCCCTCTCTAAGAGAAACATCTAAATCACAATATTTGATTCTTTGTTTTTGTTTTGATTTACAACCACTAGTTTGGCTCTGTTTTTGGCTTTCTCTTTAACTCATTTACTACAATTTGTCCATAATTATTTTTTGGCACCATGATCAATGAATTAAGGGTGATTTGCAAAAGTGACGCTTTTGGAAGATGAACTTAAATATATAGCACTATAATTGGGGAAATTAAGCAAGTAACAGATGAGGGTGGGGAAATGTCGTCAAACTCCCTCTTAGAGCAAACACAACGGTACAAGTTTGTGTCGGGTGTGTGTATTTTTTAATTGTGAAATATTGGAAAAGTTGTGTAAGAAGCTGAACTCGGGTGCAAAGTTGCATTCGGATGCAACACTTTTTATCTCTCTCTCTCTCTTTCTTTCTCTCTCTCTTTTCTCTTTTGCTTTAAATTATAATACTAAAAAAATACTTACACCCACACAAACACATTTGCCACTGCTGATGCTCTTAGACGAATCAGCAAGTGCACACGCGCGTGGAAAGTGAATAATGTGGCTCTTGTTTTAAACAACAATTTTAATACTATCTCTCGTTATAGATAAAATAGTACATAAAATAATATGTAATCTGTTTCATCTAAACTCCACCGAAATTGCAGACTAACTGTAATTTATGTGTTAACACGAGCACAAGGTATTAATACCCACATCGAAAACAAATCAACGGCTCATAAGAAATCGTTGGAAGTTGGGAGAATTGCATCGATGGAGAATACGTGATACTTAAAGGAACAAATCGATTATTGTCGTTGGCCATGAGTTCGATGACCATCTTAAACCCTTGATCGCTTCTAGATCTAAGAAATCCATAACTAAATTTTCAATTTACTGGTTTCGAGTTCTCTATTTCATTTCCATGGATCTAAAAAATTAAAAATTCTGGTGGGAAAGTGAAGATTAATCAGACAGAATTTGGCGAAAGGATTTCACCGGAATTTGCTAGCATTCTCCGGCCGACGAAGAATAAAAATAGTCGGAGTTAGGGACTAAGGTTGTTGCGTTGATGGTTGGGTTTGTGGCTAATGGTGTTATTATATAATAGAGTGAGTCAGGTTTCAGTGATCTAATCCATAGTTAACTGTGATCCTTTGATAGTTTTTTTTTTTTTTTTAGTTGGTGATGTATGTAAGTTTCGTAGGAAAGGAGGCAGAGAGATAAACCAAAACAAAGAGGAGAGATGAAAAGAGCACAGTTCACAAAAGGGAAGAAGAAGAACAAGAGCGTGCACTTCACACCTAGGGTAAACATGTCTTTATTACAGAAAATATAGAGAATATCTCTTTTCTTTTTTTGAAGTGTTAGTTTCTTAATTAATAATTTTTTTTTGGTTATAGTGTCAAATTTCTCATGAATTAAACATTTTATAAAACAAAAATACAAAAACAGTTCTCGGACTGCAGATAATAAATTTTGTAACTAAAATGTTATACTCGTTTACTTAATAATCATTTCATGCATACATAGAACGGATAAATGACATAGTTTCGTTCTTAAATGACTAGAAAACTAAAGTGATAATCAAACATATGTATATTTCATAAGAAAATTTTGGATTTTTGAACCAATTAAAATACTTAATTTAATATATCATCTTAAACTCTCTCTTTATGATTTTGGCTCGCATTATATATGATCTCATGACTAAAATTATCGTTTTACTAATATTTTTTTTTTTTTTTGGTAAGAGTTTTACTAATATTTATTTGCACCAACACATAATACTAAAAAAAAAAAAAAAAACACAATACTAATTGATACGTTTTAAAAAAACTGTATATTCCAAATATGAAAATTGAGAAATAAAAACTTAAAATAAATAACAATAACGAATTTGCTTTAAACATTACTCTCTTCTCGCTCCACGAGCCCTACGCTTCCCAACTGCCTTTTTCAGATTACCTCCGATTTCTACCACTCTCGCCGGTGCTCCGATCATCTCCGCACGATTCATTTCCGATTTGCTCTCTTCTTGCGTTTTTCTCCTCTCTAGGTAACTCCACGCCGTATCCTCCGATTCTCCTTCTTCTCTCTTCAATTTGTTTCCTCTCCTCAGATTTGATTTCAATCAGTGAATTGCTTTGTCGAGATTATTGATCTATCATCTTAGATCTTATGGTAAATTCGTTCCGATTTCAATCTCCGGTGCCGGATCCGATCTGATCGAAATTGATCGAATCGTACTACATTCAAATTATACTGTTGATTAGCGATCGCGATCGAATTCAATGAGTTTGAGGCTAGTTCTTGGTTTTACGATTATCGATTTTGTGATATCTTCATGACTCTTGATTCATTTCTCGATTCTTTAGCGGTAAGTGAGTCTTCTGGAGAATGGGAGATTGAACAAGTAAGAGATTCACTGATTGAGGAAGAGAGAAAAGTTAGTTAAAAATGGCTCCTGTGAGTAAAGCTGATAAGAAGGCAGCAGTAGATGCTGCTGCGTGGATGTTCAATGTCGTCACTTCTGTTGGTATCATCATTGTTAATAAAGCTCTAATGGCGACTTATGGTTATAGCTTTGGTAAGATTCTCTTTTGCGACTTACTTAAGCCTTTTTCTTTTAAAACCTGAAGCTATTCTTCTAATTGGTTTACTTATTGTGTTGCAGCTACAACCTTAACCGGTTTACATTTTGCTACAACGACTCTGATGACGATTGTTTTAAGATGTCTTGGCTACATTCAGCCTTCTCATCTTCCGTTTACGGAGCTTTTGAGATTTATTCTGTTTGCGAATTTCTCGATTGTTGGAATGAATGTCAGTCTTATGTGGAACTCTGTCGGTTTCTATCAGGTGATAATTACAATCTAGCTCTGTACCTCTGCCATTGCGCAAAGAAATCTACTCCTGATTTTATGATTGTCCTGTTTTTGCTTGTCAGATTGCAAAACTCAGCATGATTCCTGTATCCTGTTTGTTGGAAATGGTTTTCGATAAGATTCGTTACTCCAGAGACACAAAGCTTAGCATAGGACTGGTTCTTGTGGGTGTTGGTGTTTGCACTGTTACTGATGTTAGTGTAAACACTAAAGGCTTTGTAGCTGCTTTTGTTGCCGTGTGGAGTACTGCTCTACAACAATACGTTAGTGTTCTTAAAGCATTTGTGCTCTTATGAAATAACATATTGTTCCTTTGTTTAACACAAAACTAATATTGGTGTGGTTTTTACATGATGCAGTATGTACATTACCTTCAGCGCAAGTACTCGCTTAACTCATTCAACCTATTGGGACATACCGCTCCAGCCCAAGCTGCAACATTGCTGGTAGTTGGCCCATTTCTTGATTATTGGCTGACAGAAAAAAGAGTAGACATGTACGACTACAACTTGGTCTCAGTGGTAAGTGCCATAAACCTCAAGTTACATCACCTAGTCTCATACTTGACTCTCCTTGCAAAACCAAATCGCGTCATTATGTCAATACCAATAATATTCGGCACTACCTTGTGAATCTTGTGATAGTCTCTTTGTATTTTTGTTGTTTGGTTCCGATTTTTAGACTACTGAGCCAACCAGATTCCATACGGGTCTACCTTGTTACAATGCATTTTTTACTTAACTTAAGAACTGTTTCTCTATGCTCTCTGAAGGCCAGATCGTGTTGCTCCCACACGGTATAAACTCATTTGAACCTAACTCGTTCTTGAATTCTGCAGCTGTTTATAACCCTGTCGTGCACAATAGCGATCGGAACCAACCTAAGCCAGTTCATCTGCATTGGGAGGTTCACCGCTGTGTCTTTCCAAGTCCTGGGACACATGAAGACGATCCTGGTGCTGATAATGGGCTTCTTCTTCTTTGGTAGAGAAGGTCTAAACTTGCACGTGGTTGTTGGAATGATAATTGCAGTACTGGGTATGATCTGGTACGGTAATGCCTCTTCGAAGCCAGGAGGCAAAGAGCGACGAAACTATTCTCTTCCAACGACCCGTCAACAGAAACTTGGAGCTGCTTCGGATTCGGACGACAACGAAGACAAAGCCTAGTAGTAAGTAGTAAATTATCAGGAACATCACATAGTTACATCTCTGTTTTGAATTGTTCTGTTTTTTAGTTTAATTTATGATTCTCGTGCTAAATTTTGGTTTGGTGCAAAAGAAAGCGATTTTTTCATACAGACGCTTGAGATTTTTGTAATGCATTTTTGCGGAATCAAGTTACATCAACGCACAGCTTCCCATATTGCAATAAGAAATTCATTTATTATTTAGGCTTGTTTATTGCCGATAACCATACATGCTGCACAGGCTCTTATAAGTGCAGGCACTCGAAAGTCTAGTGGACAATGGAGAATAATTTAGTCTGGTTATCTGACAAATCACCTAAACCCCTTGATTATTGTCCTGAAAAAACAGATCATCTGTCTACTGTCTGAATATAAGTATGTAGATATAGAGGTTTCAGTGGTACTGGTTGAAAATGCAAGAGAGTAAAACCAAAACTTGATCCAAAATATATTTTCAAGGGAAGATGCTGAAAAATTGGAGGTGAGCTGCGTTCCCTATTTGCAAACTTATATCAGCTGTACTCGCTGATGGACTTCCCCCACAGGAGAAGCTGATACACGACTCATATCCATGGATCCTGTCGAGGCTTGTAAATCAAAGAACACTTCCTTGCCAGAGAGGGATCGATATCTTGGTGACTTGGTCCATGGGTTCATTCTCAATTAGTCTTCCTGGACTGAGGTCACGACTATTCAGCGAAGGAAACAGCAGATAGAGCACTGGAGGAATAACACTCAACTCAACCTGAACAGAAAGAAGAGGAGTATCCCTCACAGGCAGGGCCAGTAGTAACTTGGATCCCTCGTCACGAAATTTTGGTGTAATGTAAGATGGCTCTCGTGCCCTGCCAAGACTCAACAGCTCTATGGATGAAGAAATAGTTTGTTGGGAAGAAAAAAATGGCCAACTGAAAAATCATGCAACTAGAGAAGTGATATAAAGATCCAGTAACAAAATATTATCTTAAAAGTAATAAAACGGTAGTAAAGATCTCTTATAAAAGACCCACAATCGAGTCGAGCAAAATTATGGGGATCACAAAACTTAAAATCGGTGCTTATCAATAAACCAATCCAGCTTCAACTAGCAACATTGGCTTAACGCTTCTTAGACACACCAACAGTCTTTCCTCTGCGACCAGTGGTCTTGGTGTGTTGTCCACGGACTCGGAGACCCCAGTAATGTCTCAGACCACGATGGTTTCTGCTCAGCGTAAGAAAATTTAAAACCAACCATTAGAAAAAATCCAAGAGGACAGTTATAAGTGATAACAAGTTAATTATATGAATTGGGATCAGTATTGAGTTTACCTGATTTTCTTGAGACGTTCAAGATCATCCCTGAGCTTCATGTCAAGGGCATTGGAGACAACTTGAGAGTACTTGCCGTCCTTGTAGTCTTTCTGTCTGTTCAAGAACCAGTCTGGAATCTTGAATTGTCTTGGGTTTGCAACGATGGTCATGAGGTTGTCAATCTCAGCAGCAGATAACTCACCAGCCCTGAAGAGTTGAGATCAAAATTAGACACCAAATCCACTGGTAAAACAGCAAGTTGGTATACACAGGAATGTTACATATATCACTAGCTATTTTACAGTCATTATAGTTCCACTGACAATCAACGACCGGCAAAGTCAAATGAAACAACTCAAAAACACATACACTAATCTATCCGATGCAAACTAATATCGATTCAAACTTTCCAAATGTTGAATTCTGATAGACAATGAATACCTCTTGTTCATGTCGACATCGGCTTTCTTGCAGACAATGTTGGCCAATCGCCTCCCAATACCTTTGATAGAGGTAAGGGCAAACATAATCTTTTGCTTACCATCAACGTTAGTGTTGAGCACACGCAAAATGTGCTGGAACTCCTCATTTGCTACCAGAGACTACACACAGTAACAAAATCACACAATTACATCAAAAAAAAATCCCCAATCAACAGCTACTCGGCTTTTCGATTCATGAAACTAACACAAAACCTAATTTTTCAATTCGATGTGGATTTGAACCGATTAGGCCAAGCTACTATTGTAGATCGATCGGAATCAGGAAATCGAAGTAATAAATCTGAGTTATATAGTACTTGTTGTTGAAGAACAGATTAAGATAAGCGAAAGGAAAGCGTAAACCCTAATTACCATTGTGAATTGTAGAGAAGAAGTGCCTGTGAAAAGATGGAGCTCTCGCCGTCTTCAAGCTTTCCCTTCTTCAGTACAGCGAAAGCTAGGGTTTATTTTTTGTTCGGTTTATATAGCTCATTTTTGGCTATAGAAAATACTTAATATGTAAAAGACTATTATACCCTTTAAAATTTTCATTATTTACACTCGATCTTATTTTTTTTTTTTGTCGAACTTACACTCGATCTTATAGTTACACCAAATTTTGAATAAGGTATCTATAAGACATGACCATAATAGAATCATAAATTAGTTCTCTCTCTCATCACTTTTTGACTTTTACTGTATATGTTATAAAGACAATTCAATCCCTATTATAACTCTCTTTCTCTTTCATGTCTCTCTTTCTCTTTCTATTTTACGCTAAAACCACAAAAATTCAACAAAAAAATTAAAATGGTTTAAGAAAAAAATTTGCAGAGAGCCAAAGCTGGTTGGAGAAGCAAATTGGTGAGTTGTGTGGTTAACTTGTGACAATGGTGATTTTAATTCCGCAAAAACAATAATCAAGGGAGAAGAATAGATATTATCGGTAGAAAACGACCATTGTCACATTCGTCATGGTTCAAGCTGTGTTTAAAAATGATAATGATCGATTTGATTTTGTGACAGAGAGAACCGGTCGATTATGGTTGTCCCGACTTTGATTCTATGAAGGTTGAAACCAAGATACAATGGTAGTTTCAAATCCCGGTGGTTATTTCGAAATCCGGCGGAATTGTGGAATGAATAATTTGTTAGTTGGATTTTGATGAGGGTTATTGAGCAAAAGAGGGGAACTGGTATCATTGGCAGCAAGGACCATTTCTCATTTTTCTGGGTTCGATTTCATTATATGGGTAACAAATTAATTAGCAACACATACAAAAAGGCTAACGTATAAGTTAAACGTGATAACTAAATTATCATTATAAATAAGTATGCTAATATAAAAGTTAACGGTTATAATTAATTATTAGAGTAAATAAACAAGTTACTATATAAGTTAGTTGATACCAATCATATAGTCAATGATTTAACATGAGAAATTTGAGCATACGTTATATAAATTACATGATAATATAAATATTATCTATATATCTAATATTTTACTATGTTTATACAAATATTATTCAGATATGTAATATGTTAGCACGTTATCATTCTATATTAACATATAATTTGTAACTTATCGCGATACTAAATTATTTAGCATGTGTCATCCGCATATTATTGTGTTGAAATGAACAGTGTCGCCCGCATATTAACATTTTTTTAATAAGTGGCATTTTTGTAATTAATCCAAAAAAGAAGGATATTTTTGGTTTACATTTTCTTTCTCTTTCATACTTACCTAATTTTTAAATCACCATGGATTTAAATCTAATTTTTTGGTCAATTGTGGTAATTAATATAACCCTTTTGAATACTAAAAAGACTATTATTATACCTTAGTTAAAAGCCCCGTTATAAAAATCTCCGCCTACCCCGATTACTCCCCGCTTAATCGCTAGGCCCACCCTATCCGCCTCGATTAACGACTAATCCCCTAAAGAAATCAGTTATCCGATTACTCTCCGTCTAATCCAATTACCCGCCTAATCCGATTACTTTCTGCCTAATTTTACATATCTCGATTATTTTTAGATTGCAAGTATAAAAAACTTTTTATTTTTGTTATTCAATCATTTAAATTGGAAGTTTGTTATGTTTTACAATAACTTATGTTCAAATTTTATTAAAAATCAAAAATTTATAGTAAAAATCATAAAAATTTATTTCAAAAATACAGTTTTATGTGTTTACTGCAATTTTGAAAACAATATTTGATTAATATGTTTTAAAAATATTAAAATAATCTTAAAACTAATACCCGATTAATCCCCGATTTTCCGATTAATCTTTAGGCCCATACCTAGCGCCCGACTAGCGCCTAACGATTTTTCAAACAAGGGTTAAAAGCCATACAAATGTTGGTACATCCAAGCTAGTTTGATAAGCAGATCCATAAAAATTATTGTTTAGATTATGCACTTAATTTCTTTAGGTCTTGAACTGTCTTGAAGTAATAAACTAAAAATTAAATTTACTTACAATCGGAAAGAAAAATTGAACTAAGAGAATTTTAGAATATTTATTATGGAATAAAACGGTGAAACGTGTTTATACGCTTATCTTATTGTAACCAGGCCCGTTACGGATTCGGCTATCGGAGGATTTTAGAGTATTCATTATGGAATAAAACGGTGAAACATGTGTAGTTGTTTACCGTTTCGAGATAAAAATTTTGCAGATGAAAACTTAGATCTAAAAACAACAAAAAGACTTAGTTCTAGAGGTTTATATTTAACAGTCAACGTGAGAATTATATATATTTCGGAGCAGATTATTCTCATCATAAAATATGAAAAAAAAAAAAAGTATCTATACTAGTATTTTTGCAACACTTTGGTGACGGGTGGGTAAAAATGCTTCTGGGTTAATCAGATATCCGACCCGTTTTTTAAATTCTTTCACAAAAAAATACTTGGATCGGGTTAAATAAAACCCAACTCATACACCAGATATTATATATTTAATAATTTAGATATTTAGAAGATTTGATTAAGATTTAGAATTATGATTCTCCTATCATCTTTGTTTGATTTGTTTTAAACTGTTTTGAATCATCATATAATACATAAGTAAAAAAAAAATCATTTTTTTTTTCTGCATATACTATGATTCGAAATTTTAAAAACGGACATATATTATCCAATTGACGAAAATGTGTGTTCAACGTTCTACATCGATTAAAATATTTAGACAATGATTCAGAATCATATCATAAATAAGATCAACACTAATAAAATAAATGAGTTTTTTAGCGGGAAGGATTTGGCGGAACGGATTTTTGAATCAACAATAATAAAAAGATTAAAATATCATTAATCCGCCGCTTCAATACGGATTAAATCCTTAAATTTTTTTAATACCACCAATATTAGACATATTAAATCAGTCTCATTTAGAAAAGATTGTATAAAACCAAAAATTGTCCTGTGGTATAATGTTACTTAATAACAATTGTAAACTATAAAATATAAATATCTTAAAAAATTATAAATTTGCAAACTTTTATATATAATAAATAATCGTTAAATTTTAAAAATTACTACTTTTAGAAAACAAATCACGGGACGGGTTAAGAAGTTACAGGACGGGTTATATTTCGGAACTAAGTTATATGGTGGACGAGTTTGAATTAATATTTATAAAATTTTAAAATATCTTTAACATGCCGCTTTAATACAGATTAAATCTTCAGTTTATTAAAATATAAATATCTTAGAGAATGATATGATTTGTAAGCTTTTATATATAATAAATAATCATTAAATTTTAAAATTAAAATAAATCACGGGACGGGTTAAGAAATTACGGAACGAGTTATATTTTGGAACGGGTTTATATGGCGGACAAATTTGAATCAATATTTATAAATATCATTAACATGCCGCTTTAATACGGGTTAAATCCTCAGTTTATTAACAATTTTCTCGTGGACTCGTGGTATACCGTTACTTAATAACAATTGTAAACTATAATATAAATAAATATTTTATAAGAAAATACAATTTACAAAATATTCTTATACTAACTTTAAAAATAAATCATCCCGCGGTGTACCGCGGGTTAAAATCTAGTAATAGATTAAGAAATTAGGGGAGTGCTATTGATACAAACATGTAATCTTATTCAAATACACAGTGGTTTTAAAATAATCTCTTGTTGTCCCCTCACTGTCAAAGGTCAACTCTTTCAATAGTTGTACAATTCAGGTATCAATGACTCCTCCATTTGGCCACTAAAGATGATGCATAACAAGCTACTCGTTGCAGTGTCGATCATCTTGAATGTTCTATTCACCATTCATATTCTTTATAATATTTCAACCACATGGAGTCCAACGTGGACCAATAGAGCCGCCTCGGAGGCAGAAGCTGCAGCCTCTGTTTCATGCTCAGGCCATGGCAGAGCTTATGTTGACGGTCTTGGTGTCCTTGACGGCCATAAACCTCCTTGTGAGTGCCATAATTGCTACACAGGCAAAGATTGCTCCTTCTTTGTACCAGATTGTCCTGTCGATGCTGACTCGTAACAACTTTCCTCCACTTTACTTAATTTCATCGAAATGTTAAAAATATGTTTTCTAAAAAAAAAAGTTTTTCTTGAATTTGAAGAGGAGACCCTTTGTTTTTGGAGCCTTTCTGGATTCGAAACGCAGAGGGAAGTGCGGTTGTTGAGTCAGGATGGCACAGGATGAGTTATTCCTATGAAGGAGATGCGTCCGCGTGGAAGAGGAGCGAGCGCAATGATAATATGACACAAGTTATAGAGATAGTGACATCTCCGAATAATCCAGATGGGAAGCTTAAAAGAGCGGTTCTTGATGGTCCTAATGTCAAAAACATTCATGATTATGCTTATTACTGGCCTTATTTTTCACCTATTACACATCCAGTTGATGAAGATTTGAGCCTGTTTAGTCTCTCCAAGACTACAGGTCATGCTGGCTCAAGATTCGGGTGATAATTAACTTTGACTCTCCTAGTACTCTATACAAAGCTTTGGATTGGTCACAACAAATCTCAAGTGTTATTGTTGTTGTTGCAGCTGGGCATTAGTAAAAGACAAAGCTGTTTATGAAAAAATGAAAACATATATAATTCTAAATACTATGGGAGTTTCAAAAGACACACAGCTTCATGCTTTGCAGTTGCTTAAAGTAGTGATTGGCGATGGAGGGGATGAAATATTCAGTTTTGGTTATGGAACCTTGAAAAAAAGATGGGAGATTTTGAACAAGATCTTTTCCATGTCCACGCGTTTTTCGCTCGAGACTATCAAACCTGAGTATTGCAACTATTTCAAGAAAGTTAGAGAGTTTACTCCTTGTAAGTTTTTCTTCTATCAGATTTTCTTCATTTCGAGCAATATAACATTACAACATATTTGTTTGAGAAAAAAAAAAACTATTTTTCCTAACGTAGATTTTTTCATATGCAGTATGATCATTTACTTTAATTTCTCGAAAATCTTAATGCAAGAGAGTACTGAGACTTTTGGTTTGGTACTATAACTTATAATTAAGTCTCTCTTTTTTTTTCATTTGAAAGCTTATGCATGGGTGAAGTGTGAGAGACCAGAAGACAAAAACTGCTATGAGATTTTCAGAGCGGTGAAGATAACAGGACGCAATGGCAATGTGTTTGGATCAGAAGAAAGGTTTGTGCGATTGAGTCTCATCAGATCACAAGACGACTTTGATCAGCTTATTGCTATATTGAAGAAGTTTGTCTCCAAGGAAGCTGTCGTAGTTGACTCCGTCTAAGAACTTGATGTTGTGATCACATGTCTTCAATTCCATCATATAAAATAAATATTTTTTGGAATACTCTGACAAATAATTGAAAGAGACAGTAGCTCAACTTCCAATCATTGTTCTATTTTTTGAAAAAAGTAGCTTATTATCATTACAAAGACAGCATTACATTATAGACTTATAAAAATGGACATAATCTAATCATATCATGATTATTTACAGATCTTAAAATCTTTGTATCAGTTTATTATTGAGTCAACTTGGAAGATAACCAAATTTTCCGGATGTTATTATGAAAATAAGTTTAGGTGCATGTTTCTTTAATCTTTATCATGGTTGAGTAACTACTATACTAGCCTCCTTGCAAAGACGGAAAATCAAAATATATATATATTTTTTTTGAATAACCGCGGGTCTCCCATAGGCTTCGTAGGCCCAAGGACTAATCCCACGAGGCTGACAATTCTCCTATGTAAACCTGCCAGTGGCCGTGCCTCGAACCCAAAATATATATTGCGTAAACCAAATTCCTTTCCACACTTTTTGTCTTCATGAGAGCTGTGAGATATAATTATTTTGATTTGAATTCTTCATACCACGTACGAGAGGAGAGATACTAGTATGTATTTAAAGAGATACTAGTGTAAACCAAATATATTGTGACATAGGTTTGGATTCTTACGATAAGTAGTGTATAGAATAACGTCTCTAGTTTACAATCCTTCTCCTATCGCCTTTTTTGTAGATGATGTGTAATTAGTATCATGTAAAGTTCAACATGACTTCAGTATATGTAATTTTTAATATTAGTGTTTTATAGGGGTTTATGACTTTAACGTCAATAGTTTACGAACCAAACTATAGACGTTCAATTCTATCAGGCCTCAAGCGAAAGGCTTCTAAAGCTCTTGGTCCATCGCAATTTGGTGTTTCACAATCAGTATTAGCCCTTCTACTTTTGCATCTCATGCGGGAAGGATAGAATTGAACGTCATCGTTTCATCTTTTCCCATTGCTTCATCGCAAGGTTGAGAAGATGGACCGAAAACTTGGTTTTAATTAACCGTCTTTATGCTTCCATGTTTTTATTCTTTTTTGCCATGGATCCATATGTATAGGTTTCAAATTCTATGTTTGTAACCTAAACTGTTTTCATTATCAATGAAATATTTACCATTTAGCAACAAAAAAAAAGTTTACGAACCAAACGGCACAAACCTATAGCACCCCTAATACAAAAGCAAGGGCAACGCTAGACCACGCATATATATGTACGTGTATATAGTCGAAACAGGCATGTTTAGATAATCTATTTTTAGTCGAAATTCTATAGTTTCTTATACACAATGATTTTTGATATATTTTCATATATATACTCATTAATCTAGAGAAGTTAGTATCTATTTTTTTCATTCTTTCGTTAATAAATCTTGATTGAGATTTCAGCATTGAAACAATCATGGTAATGTATTGGATAATAAAAATAAGATATTTATAAAGAAAAAGGAAAAATTATTTACAGTTAAAATAAAATGAAATGCATGCTGGATAGATCCGAAGAAGTAACTAATAGTACTAGGTTAATAAATAGTCCTAAGCCAATGAAAAAGCAGAGTCCATGAACAAGTTCTATATATTCTATAGTGAATATTTCTTAACACATCATTCGAACCAATATTGATTGCATTGATCTTGGTAAGTTTTAGCATTGGAGGTACCAAGTGTCAGCATAAATCCAGCTTAAATTTCTAGTTAAACCACTTGTACGATTAAGATGATGCAATAATCATATATATATATTTGAGAATGAAACATACATGTTTAAATCTGACTTTATTGTCTAAGATTGCGCTTAATATTCTCGGGACATAAATTTGAATGTAGCCGGGCATGGACTGATTAAACACAAAACACAAAACGATTTTACGATTAACAATGAAACAAAAGTAACATGAGCTTACATTTTGGGGCAAGCAAAGTTAAGCTTTGCCCTTGATGTTTTATTTGGAAGCAAAATAAACTTGAACATTAACATACACACATGGAATGTCCACACACTGAACGAAAGAAAAAGTTACACTTGGTGAGGTTATCAAGACGTTCCGTAGCAATGGCAGTGATTCACGCCTCCCTCAACTTCAACACGTCCAGCACATACTGCAGATCCGAATATTCCCACGCAACAGCTTTTGCAATCAGCATTTGAACCTGGGAACGGGACCGCCCCACACTCGCCTAAGAACTTGAAGCATGCAGCCTCGGTCTCTAGGATTCCTACATGTAGACATTTTCATCAAGTTAATCATCACAAGATAATTAATTTTTTTTTTTATTCGACTGCATAATTGATAACTTCGTGAAATAAATACCAGTGGAAGCCATCAAGAGGACGAACAAGAGAACGGTAAAGCTGACAGTGTTGAGGTTCTTTGCCATTTCTTTTGTTTTCGCTTTGCCTTTTCAAAACTTATTATTTTTCTTTTGCTCTTCAATAAACTTTATCTTGTGTGATACAAATCCATATGTGTGATGATCTATTTATAGTCGAAATTGTGTAGTTTGTTATAATTGTTTAGTCCAGATCTTCTTCTATTTTTTAAGGGTTTTTCCTTCTTCAGCAAGTTCATAATGTCGCCACAATTCCTTTTTAATTATCATAGATTTGATTAAATAATTAATCCATAGAATGGTCGTTGTAACAACATTTTTTTATATCTATTTTTTTTCTTTAGTTCTAATTAACTATTGTTTGACATTGATAATGTTGTTGTCATTGACAGAGTAAATACGAATCTTGGACATTTTTAATTCCTATAGTTAAATCTTTGGCTTTATTAATTCAATTCAAAAACTTTAGGGTTTTACCAAGCAGCAATTATGGCGACACTATCTCGACACATCTCTTCGATCGTATGCATGCCATGATGTTCCGAAGTTCTTTTGCTGTTCCGAAGTTATTTGGCTACAAAACAAGAAAAAAAAAATGATGAAAGTCATGAAGAAAGCATGGAAGAGGCGAATTAGCACTCTAGAAAACGTCCATTACAACTCGAACCCCCAATATTAGCAAACTGAACAGATTATACCTACTAGATCATCATGTTTCGCTACCATAATTTTGTAAATTTGATAGAAAAACTAATATACAAATTAAAATTAGATTAATCCCCGATTAATCATTGCTAAATCTATGATTTGTTTGCTAGGCGTTAAACTAACCTTAACATCCGTTTAACGCCTAGAGTACGATAAACTAGTTTTGAACGTAGGTGAATTACTCATTGGATGAGCTTTCGAAAAGGTCCAATAGATTTAGCGCTTTGCCTTTGTACTTATGATTCTTATAGTTTTGTCTATAAAATACAACCGGGACACTCATAACAACTTTGTAATTAGAAAGAGAGAAAAAATAGATAGAGTCGTTTTTCAACCGACGATAAGAAGATTACACAACTCCGTCGTTGGTTGGGTTAGAATTGATATATTTTGTTTCTAAGATTGTGTGGTGGTGGCCAGCTGTTTTGGGTCAAAAAAATTTGATGTTTCTTCCTTCTACCATTGCCTTTTTTTTTTTCTTTTGGCTCTCAACCGGTCGATCTACAACTTTTCACATCTAGTTTGGTAGGTGAAGCGGTTAGATGACTTTTCCAGTTTCTTCCACTTGAGTTCAAGACCAGATTTGGTCGAGATCTGATTAATTTTTGCTTTCTCTCAATCTGACTTTACTTGAGTATATCTCGACGTTACCACTATCAGTGAATAACTGATGGTTCTAAAATCTCAAAAGACAGTCCCATCAAGTCGGAGTAACTAAGCATATGTTTCAATTTAAAAAATCTACAAAACATCAAACAAGGACATGAAGACTATAATGTTTGGTGAGATTTGTGATTTTAATCAATATCAAGATAATTTTTGTTCTCGGAAAAGAAAAACCAGTTAATAGGTTTAAGATTTCATTTGGTAAAAACTTGGGTTTAGCGGTTTTGATATATACTTTTCTAGTATTTTCCAAAACATGTCTCAAATTTAGAGCTATTATTTCCGGAAATTTTAACATTTTTTACCGGTTTAGCTAGTTTTCAACAATTTCGTTTTTCCGCTAGCATATGTAGTTTTACCGATTTTTTAATAAAATTTTCGTTGACAAATGAAAAAGAACTTCGTACTTAAAACAATTGTGAGATTAAGCTATATTAATTTATATAACATATATTGCAATATTTTAGATAATGACATTGTTATAACAATAATTTTGTAAGATTCAACTTCACTTAATACATATATTTTCATTTATTTAATAAAAGCCTAAAATGGTTTGAGGTTCTAGTTAAGTGTTCTAAAATGGTTTGATAATCATCGGCCTACCGCTTTTGAGTACGGATTTATACTAAACACATTACGTCATAATTAATCCTAATCCTTACTTGCAAAAAAATATTTATAATTAATGAAAACCAAAACTTGTCGAACACGTTCAAGTCCATAAACGTGATTGATTCAAAGTTTCAAACCCAACTAGTTAATTAGAAGATGTACTGCATCATATAATCGAATTATTTTACTCTGATTGAAAATAACAAGTAATTGTCCAAATGTCTCTACGGGTGCAATTTTAATATTTTTTTCTCTTTGTTTTTTACGTCTCAACGTGTTGACTTTTAACGGATGCTTCTTGGAAGGGGCAGAAACAAACTTATAATACGATTATATAAAAGATGACATCAAAAAAGTATTTAAAGCAACCCATCAACAGATTAATTCATACCAAATCTCAACACAATACAAGACAAAAGTCACCTAAAACCATTGGAGAAGAAGAAGATGGTTGCAACAGTTATCGATGCCATCCTAGGAAACGACGTGGCCACTTTAATCGCTCTCGCAGAGGAGAATCCATCGGTATTGAGGGAGAGATACCACATGGATACTCTCGGTGAGACGATTTTGCACCTAGCGACTAAGCTTGGGCGTAAGGAAATTTTCGAGGCGATAATTAATCTTGGTCCTTCTCTTGTCGGAGTTACCAACCTTGATGGCGACACTCCTCTTCATTTTGCTGCACGCTGGGGACATGCGACCATTGTGGCTCAGATATTAGCGTCTGGCTATGCTGAGTTCACCGCGCTCAACGGACGAGGAGAAACTGCCTTCGTTGTTGCTTGCCGCTACTCTCACCCCGATGTCGCTAGTCTTATATTGGAAGGAACAAGTTCTATCACGATCGGGGAATTTTATGCGACTTTTGTTCTTGGAGAATATACGGGTTAGTGTGTTTATTTATTTAGTTTTTCTTACAGGTAAAATGGTATAAAACTGTACATAATACGGAACTTGGTCAAGAATAGGCAACTTGTGTTACAAAAAATGTTTTCTATATATTAAGTCAGAATTAGACGTAACTCAAATTTTGTTGGCCTCTTGGTTGATAAAGTTTGATTGTAAGTCCAATTTACTATGTTTTTTCACAAAGGCAAAACAAATATTAACTGACGTATAAGAAATATACTCGAACATGAAAAGGAGAAATATAATTGAAGATTTAATTAATCCTTTTGAATATATAAAAATCAACATGAGTTCATAGAAACATGTGGGACAAACTGTAATAAATGGTTTCAAACTTGATCACTGAACCTATTATCAACATGTATTTATATAACTCGAGTGTGTGTGGACCGATGATCAGATATCGCAAGGAGAATGCTAGAGAAGTTCCCAAAACTAGCCTGGAATGCCGATGGAGAATTGTCCACCCCATTGCATTATGCGTGCAATGCCAACAACCTCGAGATAACAAAAATGCTGCTAGAGATTGATGAATGCCTTGCAGAGAGGGTCAACAAAGATGGTTTCACACCTTTGCATTTGGCGGCCATGAAATGCTCAATTCCAATTCTGAAGGAGTTTTCGGATAAGGCTCCAAGATCTTTCGACATACTAACACCCGCAAAGGAAACTGTTTTCCATCTAGCTGCGGAACAAAAAAATACGCCAGCGTTCTATTTCATGGCAGAGAGTCCCGATAGAAACAATCTTCTCCACCATGTGGATAGATATGGCAACACTGTACTACACACTGCGGTCATGTCCAGCTGCTATTCCGTGAGTTTTTTTCTTGCTCTCTTAATTTTCGTATGGAAGCTTAAAAGACACTTAGGCGTTTTAAATATATTAAGCGGCAGGGCCCGTCCGAATTATTTTGGTGTCTAAAATAAAAAAGATTTTGGCACATTAACAAAAACTGTTGAAAAAAAATTACAAATAGACATACCACTACACCACTTAACCTTTTTTTTGGCAAATGACGCCCTTAAATATATTTATACGTATTTGCTGCCTAAAACCTTGCTTCATGGGCTTTAGCAATGGGCCGGCTCTGTTGAGCGGAATGGACGAAACTTACTAAAAACGAGAGTGCATTTTGGCACTACGTACTTTTTTGGTAAGATTCATCTGCTCCGTTCCATATGACCTTATTCTTATCATTCAAAGATACATGGTACGTCATAGCCACCTATTTCTAATAATTCAAAGCAGATATAATCATTCATATTTTCCTAATTGAATGTAGGTGATAGTCTGCATCACTTATGATACAACAATAGATATCTCCGCCAAAAACATTCGAGGACTGGAAGCGGTTGATCTTATCAATGTCGACGATGAAGATTATGATAAGATATCCGGCTGGCTTAGGTTTGATGCAAAACAAATTCGAAATCCTATTGGTCCTCAACAAGGAAACTATAACATTGGGAATATATCTGAATATAAGATGCAAATGCTTGAAACATATGAAGCACCCACAAACAAGGAAAGTAAGATGCATGCAGAAGCATTGCAGAACGCAAGAAACACGATCACAGTGGTTGCAGTTTTGATTGCCTCGGTCGCCTTCACTTGTGGCATAAATCCCCCTGGCGGTGTCTATCAAGAAGGTCCTTACAAAGGTAAATCAACTGCGGGGACAACGTTAGCCTTCAAAATCTTTTCCATAAGCAACAACATCGCATTGTTCACATCTCTATGCATTGTTATCCTTCTTGTAAGCATTATACCTTACAGGACGAGACCACTCATGAACTTCTTAAAACTAACACATAGGATGCTTTGGGTGGCTGTAGCATCCATGGCACTCGCTTATGTTGCTGCAGCTTCCATAATCATACCGCATATCGAAGGAACAAGATGGTTGTTCACAACTGTTCTTTCTATCTCTACCGTGATGCTGGGAGGTTTGTTTGCGTTTATGACCTATAAACTGTTCAGACACTGGTTGAGGAAGTTTGTATGGAACCTAAGAGTTACATCTCTTTTAGCACCGGTTATTTCTTTTAAATTTTTTTTCATAAGTGTAGCCACTGACCGGCAAGTCACGGATAATGATGGCTATTACTTCTACTAACAAATGGTTTTAAGCCTGTTATACCTACATTTTTAAGAAACACTTGGGGGTCTTTTTCCAGTTTCTTGTTTGTAGTTTGTAATTAATTAACCGTTTTTTCCCACAACTTTTCTTGTATCATTTTGTTTGTATTTGGATCATAAATCTACCTTTAATAATACAAATTTAAAGCAAGAAACAAAATGGACACATGGTTTGTTGGTTTACCCTCAACCAGGGTTGACTCAAGAAAATTAAGGATTTTGAGCTGGAAAAAAGAATTGGCCCTATTTTCTTATGTCTTTTTTATATAAAAAATTTTGGACCCTAACTTTAATAAATTTAGTTATAAAAAAAAAAGATAAAATTATATGGACTATGTGCATCAACACCTCTATCACATGCATAGAGCCGGACTTGCCCTCAACATGAAATTTATGTCTTGTCTTTAATTGCTGCATAGATAACAAAAATCCGAAGTTACAACTTTTCTCTCTTTCTCGCTGGTTAGCTCTCCAACTCTCTATTTTTCTATATTTAAGAGAGAAAACAAACTGGAAAAATCATTTATATATAAGAGAGAGTTTTAATACAGAAAAAGAAAATATAAATTCTGCTCAGTGACCTAATTATCAAAGTTAGAACTTTTGATAACAGAATAGGTCATCCAACAATCAAGATTTCGGATTACATTTACACAACTACACATACACTTCAATCAAGACCAGTTTTGTTCGGTATGTCTGAGTGCCAGTGCTCGTCCAATCCAGTTCTGTTCAGCAAGCCAAAAGAGCTATATCAATACAAACAATCCCACCATGCGACTTAAACATGCTCACTACCCAAGGTTTATTTATAAACATAACTTACTCATCTAATTTCTTTTAACTATAAAGAAGGAACACTCAAGGTGTAAATCCATTTTGTACAAGTAAATTCCCTTTTGGTCCATGCTAAGACAATTCTAAAAGCCGAGCACAACACACTAGTTAACCAAACAATGCATCAAATCCACAACACACTAAAAGGGTTTTGACCCTTTGTCTTGGATTCCTTCTTGTTTAGGTTCTCTTTTTTTGGGAGATATTATTGATTCGCTATAGGAGGTTTCGCTAGTTGCATTATCATCTTAGGTTTAGAGAGTATTGTTGGCATTTTTAGATTTTAGAGTTCTTGGTTTAGTAGTTTTAGGCTTTGTTTCCCATTCTTAGGTTACCAGGGATATTCTGTTTTCAGCTGGCTTAGTTTTTAGAAAGATTTCGACTCTTGCCGGTTATGTGTACCAAAACCATATTCTACTATGTATTCCACGTTCGTATAATATAATGGATAAGATTCAAACGAAAAAAAACAAAAACAAAAACCTGCGCAAACATTTATTTACTACGTTTACAAATTTTTTTATTTCAAACTAGACTTACCAATCACTTAATATTGATACCAAAAAACTAGAATACCAATCTAAATAGCCCTTCTTTTCTCACGAATGGAGATTTATGGGTCTGCTAAACCGAACCGAAATGATAGATTCTGATAGAAACGGAGGTTTTATAGAATGGGCCTAACGCTAGGCTTAATTAAAGAGGCCTAAGTAAATACTAAATACATCAAGTTGTTCAGATGGAGTCAGTTCCTACGGCTTCCTCGGAGACTAACTTCTTCAACATATCAATAAGCTGATCAAAGTCATCTTGTGATCTGATGAGACTCAATCGAACAAACCTTTCTTCTGATCCAAACACATTGCCATTGCGTCCTGTTATCTTCGCCGCTCTGAAAATCTCATAGCAGTTTGTATCTTCTGGTCTCTCACACTTCACCCATGCATAAGCTTTCAAATGAAAACCAAACACATAATTATAAGTTTTACATATATAGTACCAAACCAAAACAAAAGTCTCACTTTCTTGCATTAGAAGAAAAACTTACAAGGAGTAAACTTTCTGACTTTCTTGAAATAGTTGCAGTACTCAGGGTTGATAGTCTGGATCGAGAAACGCGTGGAAATGGACAAGATCTTGTTCAGTATCTCCCATCTTTTCTTCAAAGTTCCATAGCCAAAATTGAATATCTCATTTCCTCCATCGCCAACTACTACTTTGAGCAACTCCAGCACATGTAGCTGTGTATCTTTGGAAACTCCCATACTAGTTAAACGTATATATCTGTCCATTTTTTCATAAATAGCTTTGTCCTTTACCAATCCCCACCTGCATCAAGAAAAACTTATGAGTTGTTGAGACCAATCCAAAGCTTTGTTTAGAGTACTAGGAGGGCAAAAGTAAATCAATCACCCGAATCTGGAGCCAGCATGACCTGTAGTCTTGGAGAGACTAAACAAGCTCAAATCTTCATCAACTGGATGTGTAATAGGTGTGAAATACCAGTAATAAGCATAATCATGAACTGTTTTCACATTAGGACCATTAAGAACCGCTCTTTTCAATTTCCCATCTGGATTATTCGGAGATGTCACTACCTCTATAACTTGTGTGATATTATCATTGCGTCCGCTCTGCTTCCACGCAGACGCATCTCCTTCAAACTTGAGATGTGCTGAATTAAAGAACTCAGCTTGGTCCTTGTACATCTGCATACACAGGCTGATCAGACACAAACAATCTAAAATTTTAAACTCTTCGGAAGAGGTAAAGGCCGGCTTACATACAGAGTAGTATGGAATAGAAGTCAAAAGCCTTGCAGGTGATGATAATGATGAGTTTGTCAAAGACAGGGCATGAACAGCTGCTGCCAGCAATTGTGTGGTTCCAGATCCAAAGATTACGAATCTGTTATCTGTAACAGCGTTTCCCACAACACTATGGAGTTTCCTAATGACCTTCTCGAGCTCTCGAGACACATATGTCCCATCTTGATAAATGTAACTCATCATGTGCCATCCCGAGACCAAAACCGCGCTGCTCTCTGCTTGTCGCATCCAGAAAGGTTCCAAGAACAAAGGGTCTCCTCTTCAAAAAACACATTCAAACACAAAATCAATCCACTTTACAGATTAGTTTGGTCATAATGATCAAAATGAGGATCAAATGAAAAGTTGTGCATACGAGTTAGCATCGACAGGACAATCTTTGAGAAGAACGGAGCAATCTTTTCCTGTGTAGCAATTGTTGCACTCACAAGGAGGTTTCTGGCCATCAAGGACACCAAGGCCATCCACAAAAGCTCTGCCGTGAGCATGAAAAAGAGGCTACAGTTTTTGCTTCCGCGGCAGCTCTATTGGCCCACGTCGGATTCCATGTGGTTGAACTATAATAAAGAATATGAATGGTGAATACGAGATTCAAGATGATTGACACTTTAAGAAGTAGCTTCTTCTGCATCATCTTTACTTAAAACCTGCAAAAACTTAAGCTTCAACTTTTTGTGTCTCTACATCTCCTAGAGGCGGGGAGCTTATATATCTAGCTATGACATATATCCTTTCTAAACAGAGCATTACCAGATTCTAAGGGATTCTGCCTCAGATCAGTAAGTTTTAAAACTAAATGGTAGCAAGACTAATGTATAAAGCTCGAGAAGAGATTCATACTAAAACTTGAATTTTATATACATACCAAATGTGCAACAGCACTAAGATTTTCTGGTAAAACATTCAGCAGCTTCTGTTTGGTTGGTTCATATACACCAAAAAATAGAGCTGAGGCACTAAACATGTAGAAAAACATTTTCATTTGAAGCAAAGAGTCGCAGGTTTTCAATTTGTTTTCAAAGAGTCACATACTTCGGTAAGACACCGACAAGATTTCGACCAAGACCAGAGTATAGTCCCTTCCATATTATCTTTCCTCCATCCCGAGCTACCTAAAATAGGCCTGTAAACGGAGCGGATATCCGACTGTTTTATGATATATGTATCCGTATTGTAAATGTTTATAGAAGTGATGATTTTATTATATTCAGAGACTGAGAATATATATACAAGAGAGCGTAGCTAGGGTATACAAAAGTAATCAATGAGAGTATATACACATTACATATTTGAATCCTTGACATAGGCAATCTGAGATATGATTGATATCTCTAATACGTATCCGCATTATCCGCCAATTTAATATCCATATCCGGATTCAGAAATTCCGGATATCCGGTATTCGGATATTCGTTAAAAATCCAGATATCCGCGAATTCGGAAATAGTGTTTTAAAATCCTGAATTCATTAATATCATACAAAACATTACAAAAACAAAGAATTTATTAAAGTAGCAAAAAGTTCAAAAGATTCAAGTGATGCTCTTAAAAAAAAAAAGACATTAATCAACTTCTTAAATTCTTCTTAGAATTTATTTTTATTTTTGTCATATGATTTAGTTATTAACATTGAAAATAAAATAAAAACAATCAAAAAAGTTGGGATTACAAGTATAGTATTTTTGGGCTTTAACACTTGAAAAATGGAGTCATTGGGCTTTTAAGTTATTAAATCTTTTATGGACCTAGACATATCCCGGATATCCATTATCCGGTCCAAATTTTAGGATTATTCGTATCCGTATCCCTATCCGCAGTATCCGTCAGTTATACTATCCGTATCCGTATCCGGAATATCCGTTATTTTACTATCCGTATCCATATCCGTTTGGATGTATATCCGTAAATATGCAGATTCATTTTTTCGTGTAGATATTGATATTAATTTAGTTCAAATGTGTGACCTTGTGTGGATTATATTTCGTGTAGCTAATAATCTGTTTCCCTATTTTTAACCTCTATTTATATTGCTTTGGGTATTTATAAAACTTGACCACAGACAATCCATAAATTAGTTCTCTCTCCTCCCCATTTTTGACTCTACTATATACATATGTAAATGACAATAATATCCTTAACTATCAACTAATGTTTCTCTTCTTTTTATTCCTGTCTTTTACTTTTCTTTAGTTCTCTGTATATATGTACCATTGTCATGATACCACAATTGCACGACGGCAAGATGAAAATGAATTCAGAAAAAAACCCACTAAAAACAAAATTTGTCAAAATAAGAATTAAGTATCAAAGGTGCGAGAGAATGGCGACGGCGTATGTGCTAGGTTTTTGAGATGGGATTTTCAGATCTCCGATTTCCATGTTTGTTTGTGTGGTTTCGTTTCTGGGTTTTGGTTTGGGAATGGATTTGGCTGGTTTTGGTGCTCTGGTTTGATGCAAATCGAAGGAGATTTCAAAGTCTTCAAGAATTTAATTGTAATCGATTCTCTGGGATCTTCAATGATATCCTCTTGTCTGGCGAGATAAAGGATTCTGTGAGGAGTTTCAAGGGTTCTGATTATAAAATCGATCTAGTTTTCCATCTTCGATTTGATGAAGGCAAACAATCGGGAATTGATTTCTGTTTGATTGAGGTGAAATCTCCTAAACGAGGATTCGTTGGAGGGGGATTATTTGAGAGATCTTCTTGGCGTGGAAGCTTCTTTAGGAAGGATCAGGATGATCCGATCTGCTGGATACGTATATCTTGTGTCGCCGGATATGGTAAGATTTTGGAGACAAATTATTTGATATCCAAATTCTCTTCGTACTCTTTAAGTTTAGAGAATTGGAAGGATCTGATCCTGTTATTGTTTAAGGCTTGTGGGGTGATCTCGTGTTTATGGGTTTGCATCTGTGGCGATTCTTTAGAGATTTTTTCGTCGTGCCTATATAAACTGATCAGACAAGGCTTTTGTTCTCTCATCACTCTTCAGTTACAAGACACAGAGCAAAAGCAAATCATACATTCTGTTCTTCGGGGTTCTGTCTTTATTATTTACAAGGTCCTAAGGCTTTTGATTTTTCTGGTCACTATGTGACGTAGGAGGGACTTAGTTTAAGCAGTTTTACTTTTCTTTTGATATTTCCTTATTTCATGTTTCTATTTTGCTTAGAGTTTTCTATTTTATGTTTTGGTTTCTTCTCTATATAAAGAGAGATCCTAGGTTATTTGAAAACACGTTTTATCATTCTAATTAATAAAAGCATAGAGCTTTTCTCTAATCTGGTGGATTTCCAGAGTTTCAACCCTTCAAGTTCGACGCTTGCGAACTTGATTTCTATCTACGCATTGTGTTTGCTATTCCTAGAGATTCCGACTGCGTCAAGTGGTATCAGAGCAGGCTTTCTCCTGTCTCTTTTTAAAGCTTGATCAACTATGGCAGATCAATCGTTGACCAAAGCAGACTTACAGGGTTTTACCGAGGCTATTACCACGGCCCTGAATGCTTTGACCAATCAGATGACGATTTTGACAACTGAGATCAGAAACACTAACAACAACGATAACCAGCAAAGAGGCAGAGAAGGAGAACAAGTTGTGCTTAACGAAAATCAACAAAGAGGCAGAGAAAGAGAACCGGTTGGGCTTAACGTAAATCAGCATAGAAACCAGGGAAGAGGAATCCCAAGAGTGGAAAACAATCGTGTTATTATCAATGAAAATTCAAGTTCTGATGAAGAGGAATTTGTGGAAGAAGAGGTTGAGCAAAGGAATCGACAGAATAATCACGATTACCGCGTAAAGGCTGACATTCCATTGTTTTATGGAACTATTGGAGTTGAGGATTTTCTAGACTGGCAAATAAGTGTTGATAGATTCTTTGAAGTCATGGGCGTTCCTGAAAACAAGCAGGTTAAGATGGTAGCGATCAGGCTGAAGAGTACTGCTGCTGTTTGGTGGGATAAACTTGTTATTCAGAGGCAAAGACAAAGAAAAGGGCCAGTCAAAACATGGAGGCGAATGAAACAGCTCATGATGGAAAGATTCCTACCGGAGGACTATGAACAGATCCTCTATAAGATGTATATTGAATGTGTTCAAGGAAAGAGGACCGTGACAGAGTATACGGCAGAGTTCTTGCGATTCTCTGAGCGTAATGACTTAGGAGAGACAGAAAATCAGAAAGTGGCAAGATACATCAGTGGGTTAAAGAGTTCTATACAAGAGAAGATGGGTTTGCAAACTGTTTGGACTGTGCAAGAGGCTTCTAGTCTAGCTTTGAAAGCTGAGTTAATGGAAAAATCTCCCCGTAATTTTACTCCGTTTAGAAGATACTCACCCCAAAATAATTCTGAATTAACTGGAGATAAGGAGAAGAGTGTAGTGTCAAAGGATGCTAACCTTGGTAACAAAGGAGCTGGTAGTTCTAACAATGGTTCTAACAATGTTCAGCAAAGTAAAACACCAATCCAAAGGCAAGGTAATAATTATGCGAGACCATCCATAGACAAGTGTTACCGTTGTCAAGGACAAGGTCACAAATCAAACGTTTGTCCGAGCAGGAGAACTCTAGCTTTTCTAGAGGAAGAAGAAGAACGTGAAGAAGAGGATGAGTATGCAGGTGTTGAATTTGCTGAAGAAGAGTCGAATGAGATTATAAATCTCGTACTTCAAAGGATCCTGTTATCATCTAAGGAAGAAGGACAGCGAAAGAATTTGTTTCGAACACGGTGTTCTATTAACGACAAAGTGTGTAACTTGATTGTGGATAATGGCAGCACTGAAAACTTAGTTTCTCAGAAACTGGTTGAATTTTTGAAGTTACCCACAACGTTACATGAAAAGCCATATGCTTTAGGATGGGTAAGTAAAGGCTCTCAGTTTGGAGTAACATTGTCTTGTAAAGTTCCAATCTCCATTGGAAAGTATTACAAAGAAGAGGTAATTTGTGATGTTCTTGACATGGATGTTTGTCATATCATACTTGGTCGTCCTTGGCAGTACGATAATGACGTTACGTATCGAGGAAGGGATAACGTGCTAATGTTTACATGGAATGGGCACAAGATCGCTATGGCTCCTGTTTCACACTCCAACCAGAATCTAGGGAAGAAAAATTCAAACTTCTTGGTTTTAACACACAGTGAAAAAGAGCTTGATGAAGCAATTAAAGAAACTGAATGTATCTGTCCAGTGGTGATTAAGGGGCTGATGAGTGTTGTAAACGAAGACGTAACGACCCCAACAGAAATATTAGAGATTTTGAAAGATTTCAAGGAGCTTATTGCAGATGAGCTGCCACACGAATTGCCTCCTATGCGCAACATTCAACATCAGATTGATCTTATTCCGGGATCAAGCTTACCAAACCTTCCCCATTACCGTATGAGTCCTAAGGAAAATGAGATTTTGAGGGAACAAATCGAAGATCTGTTGAGAAAAGGGTTTATTCGTGAGAGTATGAGTCCTTGCGCAGTGCCAGTTCTTCTTGTTCCTAAGAAAGGTAACCAATGGCGAATGTGTGTCGATAGTAGAGCCATCAACAAGATAACTATCAAGTATCGTTTCCCAATTCCTCGATTAAACGACATGCTTGATGAGTTAACTGGTTCTAAGGTCTTCTCCAAGATAGATCTTCGCAGTGGATACCATCAGATACGAATTAGGCCTGGAGATGAATGGAAGACTGCTTTCAAGAGCAAAGATGGACTGTACGAGTGGCTGGTGATGCCATTTGGATTGTCAAACGCCCCTAGTACCTTCATGCGACTAATGAATCAAATTCTTCGACCGTTTACAGGTTCTTTTGTGGTGTTTTATTTCGATGATATTCTGATTTATAGTAAAACCAAAGAAGAACATTTGGAGCATGTGAGACAGGTGTTGCAGGTTTTAGAAGAGAATAAATTGTACATCAATCTGAAAAAGTGTACATTCAGCACCAATAAGTTGCTATTTTTAGGCTTTGTTGTTGGAGAAGAAGGAATTCATGTTGACGAAGATAAAGTGAAAGCTATTAGGGATTGGCCTGCCCCGAAATCAGTCAGTGAGGTACGCAGCTTTCATGGTCTTGCTACCTTCTATACGAGATTCATACGTGATTTTAGTACTATTACTTCTCCTATTACTGAGTGTCTGAAGAAAGGAAAGTTTCATTGGGGTCTCGAACAAGAGAAAAGTTTTGATTTAATTAAGGAAAAGCTTTGTACGGCACCTGTTCTAGCATTACCCGATTTTGATAAAGTGTTCCAAGTTGAATGTGATGCTAGTGGAGTGGGAATAGGTGCTGTCCTGTCCCAAGAAAAACGACCAGTGGCTTTTTTTAGCGAGAAATTGAGTGAAGCTAGACAGAAGTGGAGCACCTATGATCAAGAATTCTATGCAGTATTTAGAGCTCTAAGGCAGTGGGAGCATTATTTGATTCAGAGAGAGTTCATTTTGTTCACTGACCACCAAGCTTTGAAGTTTCTTCACAGTCAAAAAGTGATAAACAAAATGCACGCTCGTTGGGTAAGTTTTCTGCAGAAATTCCCTTTTATAATCCAGCATAAGTCAGGTGCTCTTAATAAGGTGGCAGATGCTTTGAGTAGGAGGGCGTCATTGCTACTTACTTTAGCACAAGAGATTGTGGGCTTTGAGTTCATGAAGGATTTATATGAAAATGATGTTGAATTCAAGGAACTATGGGCCAAGTGCAACGGGAAACATCCTTCTGCAGATTTTCATATCCGAGAAGGCTACTTGTTTAAAGGAGATCGATTGTGCATCCCTTGCTCATCGCTAAGAGAGAAATTGATCCGTGATTTGCATGGGGGTGGTCTTAGTGGGCATTTGGGTAGAGACAAGACCATTGCTAGCCTAGAGGAAAGATATTTTTGGCCACACTTGAGGAGAGACGCTGGAGCTATTGTCAAAAGGTGTTATATTTGTCAAGTATTAAAAGGTCAATCTCAAAATACTGGTCTTTATATGCCTTTACCTGTTCCTGATGATATTTGGCAAGATTTGGCTATGGATTTTGTGTTGGGATTGCCTCGTACACAACGAGGTGTGAATTCTGTGTTTGTAGTAGTTGACAGATATTCCAAGATGACACATTTCATTGCATGTAAGAAGACTGCTGATGCATCCAACATAGCCAAACTGTTTTTCAGGGAGGTGGTGCGCCTTCACGGGGTTCCTAAGTCGATTACTTCAGATAGGGACACGAAATTTCTAAGTCATTTCTGGATTACTCTGTGGAGGATGTTTGGAACAGCTCTTAACCGAAGTTCTACAGCTCATCCACAAACGGATGGGCAAACTGAAGTAACTAATAGAACCTTGGGTAATATGGTTCGAAGTATTTGTGGGGATAAACCAAAGCAGTGGGATTTAGCTTTGCCTCAAGTAGAATTTGCTTACAACAGTGCTGTACATTCTGCGACAGGGAAATCACCTTTTTCTCTAGTGTATACTTCTGTTCCTAAGCATGTGGTTGATTTGGTTAAGTTGCCAAAGGCTCCTGGAGTAAGTGCATCAGCTGAAACTATGGCTGAAGAAATTTTAGCTGTTAAGGAAGCTGTCAAGGCTAAGTTAGAGGCTACTGGGATGAAGAACAAGGTCGCTGCTGATAAACGTCGGAGGTTCAAAGTTTTCAAAGAAGGTGATGATGTGATGGTGTTCCTCCGTAAAGAGAGATTTCCAATTGGTACGTACAACAAGCTGAAGCCTCGCAAGTATGGCCCGTTCAAGGTGTTACGGAAGATCAATGATAATGCTTATGTTGTGGCTCTCCCGGAATCGATGAACATTTCCAATACCTTTAATGTAGCTGACATTCATGAGTATCATGCAGATGGAGTCCTTTATCCAGAAGAGAACTTGAGGACAAGTTCTTCAGAGGTGGAGGAGACTGACATAGGAGGGACTTAGTTTAAGCAGTTTTACTTTTCTTTTGATATTTCCTTATTTCATGTTTCTATTTTGCTTAGAGTTTTCTATTTTATGTTTTGGTTTCTTCTCTATATAAAGAGAGATCCTAGGTTATTTGAAAAACACGTTTTATCATTCTAATTAATAAAAGCATAGAGCTTTTCTCTAATCTGGTGGATTTCCAGAGTTTCAACCCTTTAAGTTCGACGCTTGCGAACTTGATTTCTATCTAGGCATAGTGTTTGCTATTCCTAGAGATTCCGACTGCGTCACTATGGCTCAATTAGGTTTGAATAAGAGTAAAGCTGCGATGGTTCGTACTGAGGTTGTGAAAATCTCAGGTTCGAATTTATCTCAAAGAATTCAACAGTTTTCTCTTACGTTGATCGGGAGATTGATGAATCCAAGCATCCAAAGGATGGATTCTTTGGTTGCAAACATGCCTAAGATATGGAAGATGGAAGATAAGGTGGTTGGGGCAGATTTGGGGAAAGGTATTTTTCAATTCAACTTTCAATCTGAGGAAGATTTGCAAGGTGTTCTTCAGAATGTTCCATACCATTTCGATGGATGGATGATTTCTCTGGTTAGATGGGAACCTATAATCGCTCCTACTTACCCGTCGGCTATAAACTTCTGGGTTAGAGTATCTGATCTGCCAATGCATCTATGGGAAGAAGCTACATTAAAGGCAATAGGGAAACAAGTGGGACTGGTGGTGTCGTTTGATACTGGTGATGAGGTGGTGGTTTCTTTAGATTATGAGAAACTAGCTAAATTTTGTCAACATTGCTCTAGGCTCACACATGAGATGAGTGTATGCCCAGATTTGCAAAAGAAATCGGGGAACAGGGTGTTTGAGGAATTTGGAGATAGGAGAGGTGGATCAAAACAACAACATAATGCAAAACAAGTGTCTCAAGGTCCAGAAGGTGGCTAGGAAAAACCCAGGAAACCGGCTGCGAAACGAGCTTTGGAATTCAATGGTGAGGAAGCTAGTGGAGGATTTAGATACAAAATGGAATTGGGAGATAATAGTAATCAGTCTCTTAGGCGTTTTGATAAAAACCAGGGACTGAGCTGGGGTCAAAAGAAAATGTTACCTGGGACTTGGGCTGAAAACAGTGATTCTATTGGGAGAGAGGGAGTTAGGGATGGCTTTAAAGACTCTCAATACTCTTCACAGGGCACAGGATATGCAAGGAAAGGGGCAGGCCCGGTGTGGCCAAAACCTTTATATCAGCCTAAATCAGTTTCTAAGGTGATGCACGATACCGAAACGGCTGCCCAACCTCCTAAAGAACCGGAGTTACGAGATGATCAGACCGATATGGTGACGGAAGATGTGCCAGTGATGCAAGAGAAAAATCCTTCTGAGGGTTTGATTTTTTCAGAAAGCACTGACGATCTTCTGGAGGATGGAGAATGTCATGTAGGTGACGACATTGACATTCAGGCTGTGGAGGAAGAATTGTTGGAGGATGAAGGAAAGGGGAGCTCTACGGAGGAATCAAATGTTCAAAAAGGTATTTCTCAAATCTCTGTTGAGTTGCCTGTGTTTAAGGTTAGTCGGAGATTTAATCGAATTAGTCTTGATGGCAATAATATTCAGAAAAATAGAATATCAAGTTTACATGGAATTAAAGGAGTAAAAGGTAGTAAAAATTATGCAACGATTGTGGCCTCACCAGGGAAAAGACTGTTGTCTAAGGTAATGACTCTTAAATCTACAGGTGATGTACACAAACAGAAAGCAGTGGGCAAGAATAAACCAAAGGATGGTGCAAAAACGGTTGGTGCAAACCGTTCGTCGAAGAAAGGGATGGTGGCGCTCCTGAAACCACCGGCAAATACGTGAAAGTCTTAAGCTGGAACTGTCAGGGAATAGGAGCTGACCTGACAGAGAATTATTTAAGGGATTTATGGCGTAAACATAAGCCAGACTTTTTATTTCTATCAGAAACAAAAAAATGTCTTTATTATTTACAGAAATTTCAATCTCAGTTTGGTTATGATAATTTGTATTCAGTTGACCCTAGCGGTGCTAGTGGGGGCTTAGCTTTATTTTATAATAATGGAATAAAATTAGAGATTCTTTATAAAAGCAATCGGATTATTGACGTTAAAGCTTTATTCGGAAAACAAATCGTTTTTATGTCGCTTATTTATGGTGATCCTGTAACCACAAAACGCGATATTGTTTGGGAAAAAATAACACAGTTGGGCTTAAACCGGAAAAAACCATGGTTAATGATTGGTGATTTTAATGAGTTAACTGGAAATCATGAAAAGACAGGTGGTAATTTAAGATCAGTTGCGTCTTTTGTTCCTTTTAATCTTATGATTCGAAATAATGGTATGTTAGAATTTCCGTGCTATGGTGAAAAATTATCATGGAGAGGTAATAGAAACCAACAGATTGTGAGATGTAGGTTTGATCGGGCACTGGGTAATGAGGATTGGCATCATTTGTTCCCTTATTCAAAAGTGGAATATTTGGATATGATTGGATCTGATCACAGACCGATTATATTGAGTTGTCAAAAATATTTGGCTAGAAGGAAACGGCAATTTCGATTCGATAAGAGATGGGTTGGGAAGGATGGTCTTACGGAGGCCATAGATTCGGGTTTGAATCGAACAAGAAATTTTAGAATTCCTGTTTTTGTGGATAAAATAAAAAATTGTAGAAATTCCATTTCATGGTGGAGGAAAAATAATATCCCGACGGGACATGCAAATATTTCTTCCCTTAAGTTGGCTTTGGAAGAAGCGAAGAACGATGATTCGATTCCGCAAGAGGAGATAAAAAGAATCGAAAGTAAATTAAAGGAAGCTTATTATGAAGAGGAAATCTATTGGAAACAAAAAAGCAGAAACTTTTGGTTAAAAGTGGGAGATAAAAATACCAAGTATTTTCATGCTTCTACAAAAAAAAGAAGGGCAAAAAATAAGATTTCAGGTCTATATGGACCTAATGATGTTTGGGAGGAATCAGAGAGAGGGATGGAGGAGATAGCAACTAATTATTTCAAAGAACTTTTTAAGGTTTCCAATACGAATGGCATCGCTGAGATGGTAAATGAGGTGTCTCCAATTATTACGGATAATATGAATAATGAACTAACTAAGGAGGTTACCGAAACAGAAGTAAAGAAAGCCTTATTTTCTATGCACCCAGAAAAAACACCAGGTCCAGATGGTATGACAGCTTTATTTTATCAAAGGTTTTGGCATTCCTTAAAGGAAGATTTGGTAGGACTGGTCAAAGATTTTTTCCGAACTGGAAGTTTTGATAAAAGAATAAATGAAACAAATATTTGTTTAATTCCAAAGACGGAAAGCCCTCAGAGGATGGCAGAGTTCAGACCAATAAGTCTTTGTAATGTGAGTTATAAGATAATTTCAAAAATTCTTTGCTTGAGGCTTAAAAAGATTCTACCTGGGTTAGTCTCTGAAACACAATCGGCTTTCGTTTCAGGAAGACTTATTACAGATAATATCCTATTAGCTCAGGAGATGTTTCATGGCTTACAGACTAATAGAATGTGTAGAACGGATTTTTTGGCAAATAAAACGGATATGAGTAAAGCGTATGACAAGATAGAATGGAACTTTTTAGAGGCGGTTATGACTCGGTTGGGATTCAACTCTAATTGGGTTTCTTGGATCATGTGGAGTGTTAGTTCGGTATCATATCAGGTTTTATTGAATGGGGAACCGAGAGGAAATATCATTCCCAAAAGAGGCTTACGCCAAGGTGATCCCCTTTCTCCATATTTGTTTATCTTATGTACGGAGGTACTGATTGCAAATATTAACAAGGCGGAAAGAGAGAAGAAGCTAACTGGAATTAAGATAGCGAAAAGAAGTCCGACAATTTCACATTTGCTTTTTGCGGATGATAGTCTCTTTTTCTGTAAAGCGGATACAGAGCAATGTAAAACGGTGATGGATATTATTGGGAATTATGGTAAAGCCTCAGGGCAAGAGATAAATCTCAGTAAATCATCGGTCATGTTTGGTAAGCGCGTAGCAACCCAAACAAAAGATCAACTTAAAAACATCCTTGGAATCACTAAGGAAGGTGGCATGGGTACCTATTTGGGTATACCAGAGAGCTTAGGAGGCTCGAAAAGTAAAATCTTCAATTATGTCCGGGAAAGACTTAACGAACGGATTAACGGCTGGTCAGCTAAATTTCTGTCGAAAGGAGGGAAAGAAACAATGATCAAATCAGTGGCTTTAGCACTCCCGACCTATGTTATGTCTTGTTTTAAACTCCCTCAAGAGTTAACTTCTAAGTTAACAAGTGCTATTTCCAATTATTGGTGGAGTTCCAATGGGAGAGATCGTGGGATCCATTGGATAGCTTGGGAGAAAATGTGTAAGGATAAAGAAGAAGGAGGTTTAGGCTTTCATTCCCTAGATATTTTTAATGATGCAATGTTGGCTAAACAGTATTGGCGATTAATCCAATTTCCGAACTCATTAGTAGCTCGAGTACTAAAAGGTAGATATTTCAGGAATATTCACCCGGCCCTTTACATGCAAAGAAACCAAACTCACCTTCGTTTGGTTGGAAGAGCATTTATTCGACTAAAAGTCTAGTTGAAGCGGGAGCTATATGGTCATTAGGTTCGGGTTTTAACCTATCGGTATGGCGAGATCCTTGGATTCCTGATGTTAATCCACGACCCGCAAATGGAAGAGGAAAATCATTACTTCCAAGTTTGATGGTTAACCATGTAATTAATCCGGCTTCTAAATAATGGCATCTTCCCATTTTACAAGATTTTTTGGATCCAGTGGATATTCAGCTTATTAGAGGACTGACTGTTAATCAAGTTTATAAACCAGATAGACTTATTTGGCATCATACAAAATCAGGAAGATATACAGTTAAGTCAGGCTATCGGGTTGCTCGAGAGTTGACAGGAACGATTGAATGGGGCCCAAATTATAAAATATTACAAGCACATGCTTGGAAAGTCAAAGCCCCTCCAAAAATAAAACACTTCTTATGGCAAATTGCTTCGGGATCCCTACCAGTGACTTCAAAATTAGCACATCGAGGAATTCAATGTGATATTATCTGTAAAAGGTGTGAGATGGCAGAGGAAACAATAAATCATGTTTTATTTGAATGCCCTCATTCTCAGGAAGTATGGGAATTATCCACAATACCTACGTCCTCCGGTATATTTCCTCTAAGCTCGGAATTTTTAAATCTAGATTATCTTTATCGGAGGTTACCATCTACTCCAGATGGGGGAGAGATCACATACTGTTATGCTTGGATTTTGTGGTTCATATGGAAAGATAGGAATAAAAAGGTTTTCAAGGGATTACAATCAGTACCCATAGATATTTTAAATCACGCCTTGAGCGAAAAATTAATGTGGGAAGAAGCTCAGTTGGAACCGGTCGAAACTAGTTCTATCACGGAAACTTTGGAAAGCCCAGTTCAATCAATAAGATGTCGGATTGATGGCTCTTGGAAATATTCGGATCCAACTATGGGTATAGGATGGTGGTGTTTTCAAGGAATGGATCAGACGATACTGCTCAGTGCAAAGTGTCTAAGGAGATGTCCCTCCCCCTTCATTCGGAGATGAAAGCTTTAATTTGGGCTATGAAGAATATCCTTTCAAGAAGGATCGATTGTCAGGTGTTTGAAACAGATTGTTCAGAACTAGTCTCGATGATACAGTCACCTGAGGAATGGCCTGCTTTCTCAAATCAGCTGGATGAGTTTGGTTTACTCCATGCCTTTTTTCCATTCTTTTCGCTTTCTCTCATTTCTCGTTTATGTAATGTTAAAGCGGACTGTTTAGCCCGTTCTTCTAGACTTTTATTTTCTGAAGTTATATTTGTAAACTCTTCTCCTCCTAATTGGGCAACCAATCAAGGAGTTTTTTCTTAATTAATGTGTGGTTGACAAAAAAAAAAAAAAACAAAATTTGTCCGCAAAAGGAAACCGGTGAACTGTGTGGTTCACTTGTGACAGTGATGGTATTGATTGACAAAGACGAAATATAAAAGAGGGGAATGGTATCGTCAACGGCAACGACGATTGTTGTATTTTTCCTGGTGACAGTTGCGTGTCGAAGTGAGAATGTTCGATTTGATTTTGTGGCAGAGAAAGACGGTCAACAGTGGTGGTTTCAATTTTGAAACTTTTTATATATTCGATAAAATCATTAAATATTATATCTTTGTTTTAAAACTTTTATAAACATTAAATATTAATAAGATTGAAACTTTTTATAGAGTTTAAATATTATTAAAATTCAATGTTTATAAAGTTTAAATATTATTAATATGTTCAACTTTGCATAAAGTTTAAATATTATTAATATTTTAAACTTTTATTGAGTTTAAATATTATTAATATTTTAATCTTTGCATAAAGTTTAAATATTATTAAGATTTTAAACTTTTATTAAGTTTAAATATTATTAATATTTTAAACTTTTTAAGTTTAAATATTATTAATATTTTAAACTCTTTTAAAGATTAAATATTTATAATATTTGAAAACATTTAAAGTTAAACTATTTATAATATTTGTAACCTTTTAAAAGTTTAAATATTTTTAAAAATTTATATATATTCGATAAAATCACGAGTTCAACTAAAGAACCAAATTATACCGAACAAAACTTTTAAATTTGGACGCCTGATAAGTCAGGCTTCCTGCTCATTCATATCTGAGATCATTTTGGTGTTTATATAGATGATTCTGAGCCATTACCCAAAATTCTTAGCGATGTGGGACATTTGGTGATCATTTTGTTAGGTATTATTATTTTGGAAATCTAATTAATTTATTTTAATTGGTCACAATTTTATATTTGGTAAGCTTGTAGATTTGTAA